GCCAATTTATTTTCAGATGGCATTTTCGTAATTTTTTGGGCGTCGAGAGGTTATTTTCTTTGGATTTTGAAGGCTACCGATCACGGATTCGGTCTGAGGCTATTCTTCAATGATGATTAAGTCCATTAAGCACCGATCTGGGCGGATTTATTTATGGTCAATTTTTGGTAGATTGCAAAGGCGTATCATCACAGATTTTGGGCGATTTTTCCGAAATGTCATTTTCTTTCAATTCTGGAGGCTACAGATCACGGAATCAGGGCAAGGCTATTCTCCACCGATAATGAAGTCTATTGATTCTATTCTCCACGAATGATAAGTCCATTAAGCACAGATTTGTGCCAATTTATTTTCACATGGCATTTTCGAAATTTTTTGGGCGTCGAGAGGTTATTTTCTTTGAATTTTGAAAGCTACCGATCACGGATTCGGTCTAAGGCTATTCTTCAATGATGATTAAGTCCATTAAGCACCGATCAGGGCGGATTTATTTCTGGTCAATTTTTGGTAAATTGCAAAGGGGTACCATCACAGATTTTGAGCGATTTTTCCGAAATGCCATTTTCTTTCGATTTTGGAGGCTACAGATCATGGAATCATGCCGAGGCTATTCTCCACCGATAATGAAGTCTATTGATCCAATTCTCTACGAATGATAAGTCCATTAAGCACCGATTTGGGCCAATTTATTTTCAGATGTCATTTTCGTAATTTTGTGTGCGTCAAGAGCCCATTTTCTTTGGATTTTGAAGGCTACAGATCACGGATTCGGCCTGAGGCTATTCTTCAAGGATGATTAAATCCATTAAGCACCGATACGAGCGGATATATTCCAGATCAGTTTTTGGTAGATTGCAAAGGGGTACCATCACAGATTTTGAGCGATTTTTCCGAAATGCCATTTTCTTTCGATTCTGGAGGCTACAGATCATGAAATCATGTCGAGGCTATTTTCCATCGATAATGAAGTCTATTGATCCAATTCTCCCCGGATAATAAGTCCATTAAGCACCGATTTGGGCCAATTTATTTTCAGATGGCATTTTCGTAATTATGTGGGTGTCGAAAGGCCATTTTCTTTGGATTTTGAAGGCTACAGATCACGAATTCGCCCTGAGGCTATTCTTCAAGGATGATTAAGTCCATAAACTATCGATCTGGGTAGATTTATTTTGGGTCAGTTTTTGAGTAGATTGCAAAGGGGTACCATCACAGATTTTGAGCGATTTTTCCGAAATGCCATTTTCTTTCGATTCTGGAGGCTACAGATCATGGAATCATGCCGAGGCTATTCTCCACGATAATGAAGTCTATAATTCTCCACGGATAATAAGTCCATTAAGCGCCGATTTAGGCCAATTTATTTTCATATGGCATTTTCGTAATTTTTTGGGCGTTGAAAGACCATTTTCTTTGGATTTTGAAGGCTACAGTTCACGGATTCGACATGAGGCTATTCTTCATGGATGATTAAGTCCATTATGCACCGATTTAGGCGGATTTATTTCGGTGCAATTTTTGGTAGATTGCAAAGGGGTATCATCACAGATTTTGAGCGATTTTTCCGAAATGCCATTTTCTTTCGATTCTGGAGTCTACAGATCATGGAATCATGCCGAGGCTATTCTCCACCGATAATGAAGTCTATTAATCCAGTTCTCCACGGATAATAAGTCCATTATTTTCATATGGCATTTTCGTAATGAAGTCTATTAATCCGATTTAGGCCAATTTATTTTCATATAGCATTTTCGTAATTTTTTTGGCATTGAAAGACCATTTTCTTTGGATTTTGAAGGCTACAGATCACGGATTCGACCTGAGGATATTCTTCATGGATAATTAAATCCATTAAGCACTGATCCGGGCATATTTATTCCGGGTCAGTTTTTGGCAGATTGCAAACGGGTACCATCACAGATTTTGGGCGATTTTTCCGAAATGCCATTTTCTTTCGATTCTAGAGACTACAGATCACGGAATCAGGCCGAGGCTATTCTTCACCAATAATGAAGTCTATTGATCCTATTCTCCACAAATGATAAGTCCATTAAGCACATATTTGGGCCAATTTATTTTCAGATGGCATTTTCGTAATTTTTTGCGCGTCGAGAGGCCATTTTCTTTTGATTTTGAAGGCTACCGATCACGGATTCGCCCTGAGGCTATTTTTCAAGGATGATTGAGTCCATTAAGCACCGATCTGGCGGATTTATTTCTGGTCAATTTTTTGTAGATTACAAAGGGGTACCGTCACAGATTTTGGGCGATTTTTTCGAAAAGTCATTTTCTTTCGATTCTGGAGGCTACATATCACGGAATTAGGCCGAGGCTATTCTCCACCGATAATGAAGTCTATTGATCCTTTTCTCTACGAATGATAGGTCCATTAAGCACCGATTTGGCCAATTTACTTGCAGATGGCATTTTCGTAATTTTGTGGGTGTCGAGAGGCCATTTTCTTTTGATTTTGAAGGCTACATATCACGGATTCGGCCTAAGGCTATTCTTCAAGGATGATTAAGTCCATTAAGCACCGATCTGAGCAGATTTGTTTCGGGTCAATTTTGGGTAGATTGTAAAGGGGCACCATCACAGATTTTGAGCGATTTTTCCGAAATGCCATTTTCTTTCGATTCTGGAGGTTACAGATCATGGAATCATGCCGAGGCTATTCTCCACGTTAATAAAGTCTATTGATCCAATTCTCCACGGTTAATAAGTCCATTATGCGCCGATTTAGGCCAATTTATTTTCATATGGCATTTTCGTAATTTTTTGGGAGTTGAAAGACCATTTTCTTTGGATATTGAAGGCTACAGTTCACGGATTCGACATGAGGCTATTCTTCATGGATGATTAAGTCCATTAAGCACCGATCTAGGTGGATTTATTTCGGGGCAATTTTTGGTAGATTGCAAAGGGGTACCATCACAGATTTTGGGCGATTTTTCCGAAATGCCATTTTCGGATCGATTCTGGAGGCTACAGATAATAGAATCATGCCGAGGCTATTCTCCACCGATAATGAAGTCTATTAATCCAGTTCTCCACGGATAATAAGTCCATTAAGCACCGATTTAGGCCAATTTATTTTAAGATGGCATTTTCGTAATTATTTGGGCGTCGAAAGGCCATTTTCTTTGCATTTTGAAGGCTACAGATCACGGATTCGACCTGAGGCTATTCTTCATGGATAATTAAATCCATTAAGCACTGACCGGGCAGATTTATTCCTGGTCAGTTTTTGGCAGATTGCAAAGGGGTACCATCACAGATTTTGGGCGATTTTTCCGAAATGCCATTTTCTTTCGATTCTGGAGGCTACAGATCACGGAATCAGGCCGAGGCTATTCTCCACCGATAATGAAGTCTATTGATCCTATTCTCCACGAATGATAATTCCATTAAGCACAGATTTGGGGCAATTATTTTCAGATGGCATTTTCGTATTTTTTTGGGCGCCGAGAGGCCATTTTCTTTGGATTTTGAAGGCTACCGATCACGGATTCGCCCTGAGGCTATTCTTCAATTATGATTGAAGAATAGCCTCGGGCGATCATAATTGAAGAAAAGGGCATTTATTTTTAATTGAGTGAGAGAGATGTCATTAAGTTTTTAATTTTTAACTTTTTTTAATTTTTAACAAAAGAAAAGGGCGATCAAAAGAAGGGAAGGTTTGAACATGAGTGAGAGAGATGTGGAAGGGGGAAAAGGGCATTTATTTTTAATTTTTAATTTTTTTAATTGACATGTCATTAAGTTGACGGTCCAGTCAGCAGTTCCGTTTGCCACGTCATCAAAAAACTAATAGAGTTAACGGAGACTAACGGCCGGTGACTAACGGTGAAACGAATCGTAAAGTTAGTGGCGAAGTAGAAAGAAAAGTAATTCGGATGGTAAACGTGAAAGATTTATGTAATTTGAGTGACCAAACGTGTAATTTAGCCTTTTCTTTCGATTTTAGAGACTACAGATCACGGAATCAGGCGGAGGCTATTCTCCATTTTTCAAATTCAAATATCACATTAAAGATCATTGAACTTAAATGTTTGATAGGTCTCCCATGTTTAAGAAGGTTCCATTTTGGCCCCCATATTTGCTATGCCAATTCTTCCCCCCCCCCCCCCCCCCTTCCTTTTATTATTATATTTTTGTTGGTGTTGCTTGTGGTTGTAGCTTTTTACCATTGACAAGATTTGGTCTTCTTCATTATAAATATTAGGGGTATTGCTATGCTAATTAGATATGGTCCATGCCATTATCCTCGAGATTATTGCCTTTAATTTCTTTAATATTGTCATGGGTCACAATGTCCATCACATACATGGATGATATACTTCACCTTGTATTTTCCATATTATTACTTGCATAGCCATTCTATGTGTTCTAGTGGTATGTTTTTCAAAGTAAATTAAAATAATAGAGCGTATAGTTTATGAGCTAGACAGTTATATTCCTTAGATTATATAATGTTTTGACTATTCCTAGGGAGATATTTATTTTTAAACCGTGAATTAATATGAATTTGGGGATGAAATTGTATCATTAACTCTAATGGATAAACCTCATATCTGATTCGTCCTTATGTCGGATTCGTCAAACTAAATCAGCAATTCTGATTTGACGAAGTACAACGAAATACATCCAATGGTCAGCTCGCTTGAAATATGGTATACTTCAGGAGTATATCTATGATCATTACTTATAGAATACAAATAATTTCATAGGGATATCTAATAATAATAATAATAATAGTATATGAAGATAAATAATATCAACCTCATGAAGGAGAGACTCAACTCAAGGGGTAAGATATGAGGGTTGTCACTTGTCATTGAGCAACCTCATTAGATTTAATTTTCACAATCTATCATTACAAAAAGATATAATATTAATATCTATCGATGAAACTATAAGCTCAAATTGTGCCCGCTCTAACCAGTTTCCCTAGTATGAGTATCTATATATCAACCGCACCTTGAAGTTGAACCAAGAGACTATCAACTATCCGATCGAAGAGTTAATAATGGGCATAAACCATTCAAAAAACACTTAGGTTAGGAATGCATCAATTATAGGGAAGTTGTTAATTAATTGGGTGGCATTGTTATCAAGTCCAAACAAAATCAAAATCGTCGACTGGGGTGGGTTTGCGTTGGACTTTTGGAGGAGCTAGTGATAATTGATGAGGACATGAATTGAGGAAGTAAACGTCTCAATCTCCATCCCCAACTAACCCTCCCAATTGCCACCACAATTCTGACTGAGCCCCACGAGCCCCACAAACAGTAAAATCAAATAAACAATAACATACCGTTTGGTATAAATGAATTTTATAAATTTGGAGGAATTTATTTTAAAATGAGATCTTTTTGTGTTTGATATATGAAAGAATTCATTTTAATTCTAAATTTTGAATTCTAATGAATTGGAACTAGTTATAACAATTCAGAGGAATTGAGATGGAATTTCCAAATGAATTCCACAAGTATCTACTATTTTTAATAGAATGATATAATTATCCTATTTTATTAACTAAATTACTTATACATATGACATACCAAACACAGGAATTCATTTGACAATGAATTCTACACCGCTATTTATTGTATTTCTAAAGATTTGAATATGACATACCAACATACAAGATTTCATTTGAGAATGAATTCTTCACGGTAATTCATTTTACAATGAAATGAATTCTTGATTCATTTGGTACCAAAGCAGTTCTGATCTAGAAGGTTGCAATTTAGATAGGGTGACATGAACGAACGTTTAGCTTTCCTTCATTTCATCCCCTTTTCACGCTATAAATCTCGAGAGATATCATTTCAATTCAACCTATGTTTTGTTTATCTTTTGAAATAGTCAATCACGACACGTCTGACTAGTCTCTAATTAGTTGTTCATCAGAAACAACAATCGCACGTACATGTTATAGTATCATACTTCGAAATGCACCGACCAGTTCGATTAAACTTTTATGTGTGTTTATTCAATCAATCACAATAGATTTTATAATTTAATAAAATGTTAGAAGTAAAATTTATGAATTTCTATGAATTCATTTTCTTAACAATTTAGATATCTGTAATATACTGTGTGCAACCAAATCAATTACAAAAAAACGCTGCCAAATAAATAAAGGAAAGCAATTAGAAGACGACACTTCCGTTAATTAACCACTCTGCCATTTGATCTGTTCAACGAAGCCAACAAAACCTCTGCCAGAGAAGTAAAAGACGAAGAAGCAATTGGACTCTGTCCTCTCTCTCTCTCTCTACTTTCTCTTCCTTCCTCTTTCTCATCTTACCCTTCTCGCCGGAGACGGTCGACGCACGGCAGCGGCAGAAAGGAGCGATGGACGGGCTGATTCCACTGGTGTGCCGGGCGTTCAAGAGGAACAAAACACGTCAGCACTACGAGTGCCTCTCCTCCGGCGCCGCCGCTCAGCCGTACAACGCCGCCGACTTCCTCATCAGTGCCGCCGACCACGTCCCGTCTCTCTACACCAACATTCCTCCTCCCCGATCGGAGTTCCAGGGCGACCGTGGCGACGGGGGCCATCGCCGGTACATGTCGACGGCGGGAGATTTCGCGCCGGAGCGTCACGGATCGCCGGCGGTCGTGCGGAGGAGCTCGTCCGTGGTCGTCGCCGGCGGCGGGAAGCAGCAGGAGATGGTGAGGTTTCGGAGCCACCGGCGGATGTTTAGCTGCGTGAGTCTCGGAGAAGATTAGTAGTTGCATTAATTAATTCGTAGGGAGCGTCTGTCCAAAATACACATAAGAATAAGAATCAATGGAGCATCTGTGGCTCCAAATTCTTAGCTGGCCGCCGGCGGTTTGACTTTCTCAATTCTAGCAAGTTGAAAAAAAAAAATGGACACTTTGAATCATTCTATGTTCAAATGTTTCAATCGAATGGTGTGTTTCAATCGTTATGTTTTAGTTATATGTTATTCTTTTTTACTATGTTTGATGGTTAGATTCGTTTGTTTCGATGGTTTTTCGAGTTCAATTTTATTATAGGACGATTTTACTTTTTCTTGTCTCGTTATATGTACATGTCCATGCTTGTAATCTCAATACACATACAATTGTAATAATACCCATTAATGGATGTTACCTAAGAGGTCTAGCCGTTTATATAGTTGATTTTCAACTAGAGGTCTCATATTCAAATCATTTAGATAACAAGTAATAATAAAAGATGTCACCCTAATAAAAGAAAACATTACCTGTTACTATATACTTCAATGCTAAAACCAAACTGCACAATTGTATGGAAATCTTCTTGTTGTTGGCATTGAATTGATCTAATAATTAAACGAGTGGTGGAAATGAAGCCGTTATACACGTTTTTATTAGGTCAAACTCATTTCTTAATCTTAGGATTTCTCTCAAATTTGACTTGTACGAGTAAATGAGCTGAATATGTGTCATTGTGTCCAATAAATATGCTTTGTGTAACTACATTTTATACGAATTACGAATAATTGAACACAACGGAATTAAGATTTAGTTAGTAAATTAGAATAAAAAAAAATTCAACAAATTTCAATTTTGCGCAGACCATATTGCTTGAAGAAACAAAGACTGCAACCCATATAAATATGATTGAAAATCGAGGAAGAACAAATACAGTGTTTGGTCTATAACAGTTTGAAGGTTACAACAAAGAGACTCAGCGCTTATCTACACCTTGAACAGTTGATTTTTGTAACATTGTGTCCAATCTGAGTCATCCGATCGAAATAGAGCATCAGTACTTATGTTCATAGACTCTGCAGGCAGATCACAAGAGACCTTAGCAGGAAGAAGAAGACCATCTTCAGCTTTCCCATCTAACACATGATGTTGCCCTTCAGCAGAAGATTCAATTGATGCATTCGATGTTCGAATGTCCTCTATATCGAGATCGATCTTGTGAGTTTGATGAGGTTCATCCTCTAAATCCTCTTCTTCGTCGGATAAACACTTGCAGCAGCAATCCAGCTCGTCCATCTCAAAGATCCGACTCACCAACCCGTCTCTCCACGAGATTCTGACTTCAGAATGCGACATATCATCGAAAGTGGAAGTGGAAAGCTGGGATTCCCTGATGTCGAGAGGGTTCTGAAACCGTGAGAGATCAACAACAGAATGGGGAGCTGTAGTTGGCAAATCGAACCGGAACGATGAACTAACTGGCCAATGTTGATCGACTGAATCCAATTCGAAGCCCCAGCCATGATTGTTTTTCTTGCCTTTCTCTCCAGAGTCAGATTCTGGGGTTTGTACTAAATTGACACTGCACAATAAGTCCATGGAGAATGGAGACCTATCTTCTACACCACAGCCAGTGATTTTCTCTTCCAGAGGAGATATGTCCATATCAGAAGATGTGACAGAAGAAGCACGTCTCATTCTCCCCCCAGTGTTCTGTGCTCCACCATTTCCAGAACTACACTCATTCTCCTTGTTAACGGGCGACAGAAGCCAATGCATTGAAGCCTTGACAGGAGAATTCGACGGTGAAAGATTGATCTCATTACCATCTACTATAACATCATCGGCATCATGATCATCATCAATGTCAAACTTATCAACAGGTTTAGCTTCCCCTACTACAAGTAAACCCCTAGGCCGACACTTTCTCTTGTCGGTAACCCCTGAGAGAAGATGCCCAGCACCATAACAAACTGGTGTCGTAGTAGCAGTAGTCCGGTTGGTGGCAGCAGTCGAAATCGCCGACGATTGACATGGTTGTTGTATCTCTGGAGACACCGAGGCATGAAGTGGAGGCGTTTTCGTGTTGCTGCTCCCTGAATTCGAATTAAAGCTACTGCCTTCCTTACATCTACTCATTGTAACATTCAAACCAGACCCAGCTACAATCATTCTCAAAGGAGTCGAATTCCATACCTCCACACTACAACCTCTATCTCCAGATCCAGAATTTTCCAACTTGCTCACAGGATTCCCCATAGTGTCCAACTTTGAAACCCTGGAATTAGGTTTAGGGTTCATCCCAGATTGCCGCTTGTTCAAGTATGCAGAAGCGATCCCTTTAACTTTCTCCGAATTTCGCCTACTGGGTCTCGAACTAGGGGCCGAATTCGGGGTTTTGCAGGGTATGGATTTGATATTCACCGGTCTGTGATGGTTACTACGATTGTTTCTATTACTGACCTGGGGTTTTGAACGAGAAGCAGCGGAGTGATTGAGAAAGAACCTGAGACAGCCCCGAGGAGCTTCGATTGAGGAAACCGAAGAAGAACTAATCGTACCCATGCTGCTACTGACATCCACGAAGCTGCCGCCATTGCTGAGATCTTGAAATGGGTTTCTATTATTACTATTGCCGCTGCTGTTCCCCTGTTCTTCTCTTCCTTCTTTCTTCTTCTTGGTCGTCATCTTCGACGAGTTGGAGGAAGTGGAGTTTCCTTCCCGCCGGGGGATTCCGCTCCGGGAAGTTGACGAGAACAGTGGCTGCTTCATCCGTGCGAGAAGCACAGCGAAAGATTGTAACTTTTTTGTTTATCTTTGGAACTGACGGAAGTGGGAAGGAAGAAGAACTGTGTGTATGTATGCCGTTGCCCGTTAGTTTGGGATTGGGGGAAATGTGGCAAAGTGGGGTTACTAAGGGCTTGTTTGGAAGTATTGAGACAATTAGTGTATTATCATTTGATGTATTGAATCAATTGATGTATTAGGCAAATATCTTGTTTGGAGGTTTAGATTGTGTTTTTGTTCTAAAGGTAAAAAAGTTAGTTTTGAGTGATTGTGAAGAATCACAACAAAAAGTAGAGATTGTAAATCCCTCAATATTGAGTGATTGTGGTGGGACCTCCAAAAAGTAAATACATGTATTCTAGTTCTATATACGTCAAAAAAACGACTTAATCTCACAAATACATGAATTAGGTCAATACACCATTTGAAATCACAACTTTCAAACGACCCCTAAAAATTTGAATTTCGGGCCATTAGATTAATTCCGGGAAATTTAATAAATTATGGGCTTATATACATCCAAAGTGGGGAACATGGAATAGTTCCGATTCAGTCCCCGAAGTTGAAGATGGTAGCTATTCGATCCTTAGTAATGTTAGATTAGTTTCTTTTGGATCTCCATCCTTGAATTATACTAACCTTTTATCTTGCATTTTATCAATGTGTAATTGCACCTATCTTGATACCAATATATACATACATATATATATATATATATATATATCATTCTAACTATTCAAAGTAATAAATGGATTCCAATTCGACTCAAACTCCACTCTAGAGTCCGCAGACCTTCACTTATGAAGGGTCGTATTTCACTAGACATGCCTCGTGTTTTCATGAGATAGATAATGATTAATATGTCAAGATCAAGTATGAAAATCTAGACTTTCATTACATTTATCTTCTCATAATCGAACCTAATAATAAATATGAAAAAACGAGCGATGATATATTTATAGGTTGCGGTTGAAAACATACGAGGCTAAAGGTTGCCTGCTCTTGTGCCTAGTACTAGGGGTGGACATGGGTTTGCCAACTCTTGTGCCTAGGAGGGTAGGACACCCTTTCCTTGTTGGATTCAAATCCTCAGTCTACTAACTAATGAGCACTTCTACTATGCTATATAGTATTGATACTTTAATGTACAACTCAAAGTTGTACCATAACATTAAATGTATAAGTTTAGGTTGTACCATAAAGCAATTTGTATCATTATGTTACGGTACAACTTTACAACTTGAAGTTGTACCATCACATAAAGGTACAAGTTCAAATTGTACCATAAAAGAATTTGCACAAAAAGTATAGGTAGAATCTGAAGTTGTACCATAACATAAATGTACAATTTTAAGTTGTACCATAAAGACAAAAACCTATAGCACCAATACTATATAGCATTATAAAATTTCTCCTAACTAATTTGTATCATACTCTTTCCATTTTGGTAATGTTTTAATAAATAAAAAACCTAGTCTAAAAAAGCCAGCCATTGCCGACTTTTGTACTTTTCTATTCTATTTTTCTTCCGCATTCTTAAATTTGTGCATTTTGTTGGAAAAAAGGCGAAAATAAACCGAGGTCCTAAAGTCTAGTCAAGAAAACTACACCCTACCCAAAAGGGCCAAAACAAACGTTGGTTGTTGGTTGGCCACATTCTTGTTCAAGAGATTTTGAGGGGAGGCGAACCAAACAGTGCCGATACGGAAGAAATGCTGAAGAAGTGCAGGTAAAAGTGACCGAAAGAAGGAAAAAGGACAATAGCATTTAGCCAAAGCTAAGCTAAATCCACCAGCAAGGGTTCTCTCTGATTCGCTTGCCTTGCCTGCCATTACCATTTCTGCTGTTACTTTCACCCCCTGACATCAACCAACGAGTTCTGAACTCTCATTCCTCTGAATTGGAGATGACCCTCTATTTCTCTTAGGGTTTACTTCCATCTGGACAATTGTACTTGATGATGATGATGGTGAAGAAGAAGACGATGCAGAAGGAACTTGTGGGATTCAATAAATCTGCCTTCTTGCTACCTCGCGAACCCTAAAAAACTGCAACAGAGATGGACAGTTGGAGGCTCTTTTGACTTGGGTCAAACCCCTATACGTACTTGGCCTGAACGTTGGAGTAAAGGTCAGATTTTCAACTGTTCTTGAAACAACCCAGATATTTGGAGCCCGATCTACAACATCTGCTGGTTTAATTTCGATTTTTCCTCTGCCGATCTGGACAAATTCACTGGGATCGTGGTGACTGAACGTATTTTTAGCTTAAAGCTTGCATCTTTACTTTTGTTTGCAGGTTTTGGGGTTTGGGTCATTTTGGAATCTGGGTGTGGGGATCACAACTTGACTTGGTGGGGTTGGAAATATTGAAGGGTAGTTTGGAGGGGCTGCCTAATTGAAAGTTGTGAACTTGCAACTCTTTCGCATGTCATAAATAGCTTCATTTCCTGGTTGGTTTCTTAGTTGAATTAGATCAGAAAGAGGGGGAAGATGCATGCTAGGCATAGAAGTCCTGGAAATGGTTACAATAGGTCAGGTTCTATGGGGATGGGCTTTGGCGGGGGCTCAAGAATGTCCCCAGATGGTTCAGCTAGGGGTGGTGGTCATGGGTTCTACAACTCTGAGTACAGAACCTTCCGCAATCGAGGCTTTGCCCGTGCAGGTCATCGTCATGGTCCTGGGCAACAACAAAGAGCCTTTCAGCAACCACCCCATTTGCCGCCTCGGAAAGGCGATATCTTGATGGAGGCTGGTAGGCTTGCTGCTGAGTATCTAGTCTCCAAAGGCATGTTACCTCAGAATGCACTTGCTGGGAAGTGGCAGAATGGTACCTTGAAGAAAGTGGCTACTGATTATCTACAGCAAGAGCCCCCACCAGTGCAAGAGGGCCGGGTATCCGTCCACTCAAGATTAAGTACTGGTTCATCTGATGCAGGCTCAAGTGACAGAAGAGGTATCGATGAGTTTGGTTCTCAGAATCAGTTTAAAGGGCGGAGAAGAGGTGATTATTCCCGGAGTTATAGTTCTGAGTGGGTGAGAGACTCTGGAAGGAGTAGTTCTGGGTCGGAGAGAAATCGGGAGTCACCTGAAGGGGAGGGTCACTATGAAGTGGAACAAGGAGGTAAGGGTACGGATGATAAATCGCATGTATCAGTTCGTAATAATGCATTGGGAGGAAAAGAGGAAGCAGCTGATGTCGACGAATCCAGATTCAAGAAATACAATTCTCCCCGTGATAATTCAGTTTCCAAGGCAAGCTCTTCTGGTGCTGAGAAAGAAGAGTCTGATACTGAAGTTGTAAAGGGGTCTAAAGATTCAACAGACTTGAATCTCACGAATGAAGAGATGGAGGATTTGAACAATGATGAGAGCGAGAAGCAAACTGTTCCTGAGGATGATATCTCAAGCAAGAATGGATCTGATTTGTTAGCTTTCTGCAACCTTGTCAAGATACCGACAAAAATACGGTCTGCATTGACCAGCAAGGTTCCCAAGGTTGATCAGGCTTCTAGTAATGGAGCAGACATATTGGAAACTGTACCGCCCAAAGGCTCAGATCTCCTAGATGAAGATGTTGCCTTTGATGATCCCCTTCCAACTACTGTTGAAGAAGTAAGCGAGATGAACGATCCAAAGGATTCCCAAGCTGAATTATCTCAACTGTTGCTTCTTCGGTGTGCTGAGGAGGATAACAAAGTAAGTCCAGTATATGGATCGGAGCATGGCAAGTGCATCAGGTCTCGGTCTTTTTCAGATGGAGTTTTTGATGTTGATAGCGAGTTTGAAACGAGCAATGAAGCAGTGAAGTTTGGAAGGTCTAGCTCGGTTAAGGAAAGAGGCGAGAAGCGTCCTGCAGATGACAGTGATACGAGTCAGCAACAGAAGAAACCTAGAGAGAATCTTCTTCCCACCTTTGTTCCTAATGCTGCCAATAAATTAGCAGAAAATCTTGTGACTCCAAAAGAGGAAGCGGTATCAATTGCTCAGCCATCGTTGATAACTGAAAGTAGTTTGGGCAATAGTCATGAGTGCCCAGAGAATATTGATGACGAATATGATCTAGAGAAGCAACAGTTTCCTGGTTCATTCAAGATATGCGACTTAAACCTGATAGAATCTTCCGATATCCATGACAATACGGACAATGAGCCAGTTCTTATATTCCCACCTGGTGTGCCTTCCCAAAGAGCAACAGCAAGGATGGATGCTGATTTGTCGATGAGTAATGCAAGGATGCCTAATGAATATGTTAAGCATGTCAGTAGTGGTAAGGAGATAGAAGTAATTGATTTGGAGATTGATGATTCCCCTCCAGAAGATGAGGCTGTTGGAAGTTCACAGAATAAGTATGCGCCTCTGGTTTTTCTCTTGTATTATTCTGTTGTTTCATCTGGATAATGTTTTATTTCTGATTGTTAGTATGCAAGTTCATTTGGACTTTTAGTTCATATTTTCAGGATGGAAGTTGAATTTGGTGGCTCGGAAGGATTTTCCGGCAATGCACAAGCATCTGGCCATATAAATGATGTTCAAGATAATTATGATGGCCTTACAATCTCGGAGTTCCTTAACAGTTTCTCAAGCTCTACGTCGGTAGCTGAAGGCATTAACCCACTGCAGACTGAAATGGGCCTTCATGCAGAGGTACCTAAAGTACTAGAAGCACTTGACTGGAAATTTTCTTTCCTTCAACATTATTACAACCTTGCTGGTTCATTTGAACGTATAGGCAAACTCTTCAACTTTATGGGTCAAATAACTGCTCTCTCACTCTTGTTTGTTTCAGGGAACTCTTGGATATGATGACTCGATTTATACGTCCCTTGAAGAAATACCATTAAGTATGTTTGATATTTAAATTCAGTGTTTTGCTTCCTTTCATGTTTGCTTGAGGAGTCCAGCAAGACTTTTGCTCATGTTCACCCATGTGCTCAGAGAATCGAAAAGAGTTCATTTTATAGGTGATAGGGCTATCTTTAGGTTTCAGCTCCTATATGACCAATGAGTTCATTTTATAGGTGATAGGGCTATCGAAACAAGGTAGATGGATGATGTTGATGATTCCTAGTTTTATGCTTTGGAGTCTTTCTTGGTCCCCTTGCTAAGGGCATACTCCTATCAATAGCATTTGTTTCATTACCCTGGCATTCTCTTGTAGGTTGGTAACACTCACAACATTTTCCTGCAGGTTTCATACCAGATTGGGAGCAGCCAACACCACAGGGGTTCGAGAAGCCATTTTGATCGTCTTTCTCCCACGAAATGCAGCTTCGGTGTATGGATTTGTACCATTGTTTGGTCATCGGATTCTTGCAACGACCAATTGTTCAGCCAAACCCGAGATCCTTCTGTTGGCCTTTCCACAATTCAAGTTTCATCATCATCATCATTACTCTAGTTGCTGCAGCGGCACTGGTGAGTGCTGTTTCTTCTAGTTGTACGAATTCGTCTCTCGCCTTCCTTCCTCCCTCCCTTAAGCAGAGGAAAGGAAACGGTTGTAAGTTTTTCACTGACGATTAATGCTGCACACGATTCACGCTTGAGAATCAAGTTTGTTATTGTTGTTGTTGTTGTTGTTTCACGATTAGGAAGGCTTCCTTAAGTAATAAGCCATCTGTCCATTCTTGTGTTATATGTCGAAACAACAAGAAATTATGAGACAGCTTTCTTTAGTTATACCATCATCGTTTACCAGAAGCAGCTCAACGGCGTTTTCAGATCGATGACAGATGAACAGTACTTTGCTATGCTTACCTATGATCGTCCTTGCCCTTTTCTATCTGGTGCGAAAAGAGGAGTTCGAGGAGATTATCATTTACCAGAATGGAAGCAGATCCCGTAAGTAAGTATGTATAATAGCGTGTCGTGTGTATGAACATAATTGTCCTGAGCATCTCATGGTTCGAATTCCCCATAACAGAACACATATCTCAACGATAAAGCCATGTAGTACAAGCAAGCTATTCGCTTAACAAAGAGATGAATATAGGTAGCCACGATGCAGCTCTTTTATATATGAAAAAGTATAAAAACAACCTCCTCCATGTCAGACTCCATCGCCGGTATTTCCGCTGGTAACCAAAAGTTTTCCTTATAAATGAGATTATATTCGATCATCTCCTCTGTAACTGTAAGCACCCACAGCGCATTTGTTTCTCTTGCTCGTTAATTCTTGAGGTGAGGCGTACGGATCGGCGATGGATGAAAAGACGAATTGGGCGAGTCATGTCCTGGCAGTGGCAGTGTTTCTGTTTCTCCTCACAGCTCTCACCTCTCCGGTGTCGATGATTCGACAAGTCGTCAGTGTAGTCTCTGCTTTTTCGTCGTCGAGACGCAATACCCAGATCAAAATTGAGGTATCGGCATCATCTCATTCTTGATGAATAGTTTGTGCCCTGATTTGATTGAAGTAGTTGATATTTGCATCCGCTGCTCGATCTTTATGAAACCGAATCACTCCTTGATATATCCGGCGGGTCCGGCTGACTGACTGCATGTGTTGGTTTTCGATGTGGCTGTTGGTTCTCTGGCTTCTGTTTTAGTTTTGGAGCCTTCCTTTGCCCATTTGCTTCTCTGTTTTTTCCCCTGTTCTTTGTTAACTCTGCTTGCTTGTGAAATGGCTTCTGTCCTCGATGTTTTTTTTTTCACAGGGAGAGGAGAAAGGTCTGACCTTGTTCAAACCTGCTGTGGTTAACAAGGTGGATGAGTTGCTGGGAGAATTGCTGGTGGAGATCCTGTCTCGCCTCCCCGCTAGAGATCTGTTACAGCTCAGGTCCGTCTGTAGAAATTGGAATGCCATAATTTCAAGCCCTTCCCTGGTTTCCATGCACCTTAGAAACTACACCAACGGCGCGGCTGGCTCTGCCTCTCAGTTCCTGATGGTAAGCGAGAATGAATTTTATGATCGCGACGCTCTGATTAAGCTGTTCTCTCCTGATCATCACGGTGATCATGTTGAGTACCTGGAAAGTGAAATGCCTGTTGTCACCGGACCTTGCAACGGCATATTTCTAATGGCCCGTAACAAGACGAAAGACTTCGTTCGCCTGTGTAACCCAGCAACTGGCAAATCTAGGAAAATCGCGGTACCGCCGGTCAGGAGAAACACCGAACTACACTACTACGACAGCTATGGGTTCGGGCTAGACCCAGCGTCAAATGATTTCAAGATAGTTATGATTCGACACTTTTCGATGCCGTACGCTGACCGCGTCTCCGTTATTATAGCCAGCTGCTCTCCCGAATTCCCTGCACAAGTGATGGTGTACACACCGGGCACCGATACTTGGAGGGAGCTGGAAGAGTTGCGGCTTAGCCTTCGTCTACTCCAAGTCGTCCAGTCTTACAATTACTTGAATGGGTTCTTTTACTGGGTGTGCATATCTCCTGCTGCAGCACTGGCATTCGACCTCGAGAACGAGGTATTTCGCGTGGTGAACGACCCGGTGCCCGTAAACTGTTATAACATGTTTACTCAGGGTTATCGGAAACAGCTTCTCGTGTACAAGGATGCGCTTGCTTTGTTTCTTCTCCGGGAGAGTACCGGTGGTTATGACCTGTGGTTACTGAGTGAAGAATGGTGCTGGATCAAACACTCGACTGCTGCTCCGTTTATTCCACCTATTGTGAGTACGGAGGCTGCTGCTGATGATGATGCTGAGGAGGATTTGATGCGAGAAGACCCTTTTATGTTAGCGGTTGGGTGGTGGAGGGACGATGAGCTTATTCTTGTTAGGGATTCTGGTGGTGTCTCTAAAATTCATGAGTTGCTACTGTTCGACCCTGTTACTCAGGCCACTAAAGTTGTCGCAGATGATATTTGTGTAGCTCGCAGGGTTCTTGTTTACAAAGAAAGCTTGGTCAGTGTGGGGTGAAAGCTCCTGGGGCGATCGCATTTTGCATGCAGAGCTAGGATGAGAATGCTACATTGCTACTCTAGGACCTTTCAGCTGGGCTTGCGAGTTCTTATCCATGACTAGAATCAATACCCGTGGCTACTATGACATAAACTTGCACTAACATGGCTGAAAGACAATAAAAATGATATGCATTTGTAACAAGTGTTAAACAATAGTTCGCTTTTGATATCTTGGCAAAGCAGAATGACTTTTTTTTATTATGTTGAATCTAATTAAAACATACTATGACATAATCTAGTTAAACCACCTGCTGTGAAGACGGATGTTGCTGCTGTGATCGTTGCTACTACTTGTGCTGAGGAGTGGAATCGAGAAGAACCTTTTATGTTTGCGGTAGGGTGGTGGAGGGACGATGTGCTTGTTCTTGCTAGGGGTTTTGGTAGCTCTAGAATCCATGAGTTGCTCTTGTTCGACCCTGCTACTCAGGCCATTAAACTTGTCTCAGATGATATTTGTGCAGCTCGCAGGGTATTGGTTTACAAAGAAAGCTTGGTCAATGTGGGGTGAGAAATTGCTAGGTTGGATTGGCAAGTTTGGCAGTGGGAGTGTGGGACATCTTTTTCAGGTTTTTGCTGCCAACTGGAAATGAATTATGAGCTAGTATCAGGATTGGTATTGAATTTGTTGTTGCCTGTGTTACTGTGTATATATGTTTGAGTGTATATATATCTCAAACAGAATAGCCATGGGATAAATTTAAATGATCAAAGACACATATTTTGTAAATTGTAATGATCTTGTGGTGGAGCTCTTGTACAATTTACAGTTTTTGCTAGTTCGACAGAGCTTTATCACTAACTAGCTATCCATTTTTACTGGGAATGTACGATGCAAATATTGAGAATAGACATTTATTCATATATGAAGCATAAGATTGTAAATTTGAGTATTGTAATTGACAAAGATGAATCTTATTCCTATCACTACTATATGGAGATTCTCCATCAAAATATGGTCTATTCAAAATTTTCAGCCTTATGAGAGTTTGTAGGAAGGACATTTGTGTCATTTAAACTATTAAAACAATCTTAAAAAATATTAAAGCATTTTCAGTTTTGGCCCCATGCCACGTACTCCCAACTGAAAGGAGAGGTTGTCCACGTCAGCCACCTTCCTTCGGTTTCCGCACCCGCCCCTTCTCTTTTATATCCACTGTTTTCTTTACCCGTCCAATTATTAAACAACTTCATCAATCTCCAGAGTCTCAATCGCTCACAATCTCAAAGGCGCTTTATCCAATGGAAATTCTCCCCGTCGGCGGCCGCCACATCATCCTAACTTCCATAGAAAGGGCTCTCTGGTGACGTTTCCAACTCTTCAAACTTCGTTCGATCCGCATTGGCTATTGCTATAGTTAAGTTTTGAATTGATATCCCCTGATGAAGGGCGACAACCGCCTGCTGCCCCGATTCCCACATCAATATGTCTTTCTCAACCATGTACAGCGGGGTATCGCTTGGAGGAGTTGCGCCACCGATTCGCCTTCGCCACCAGTCCCAATTCTTCTCAAGCGAAGTCCTCCATTCACCGTCTCCTTTCCCATGTTTGAACTGCACTCTCTGTTTCCATCTTCCTTCTAATAACTTTTAGTTTTGTTCGCAGGTTGAAAATTTGTTTAATTCTGGCCAACATCTTCAGTCAATTTGTGTCTCTTGAGTTTTGGCTCTTTTCTAATTTTCCCTCCCGTCTTCCATTGTTAGAATACCCAAAGGGAAATACTATCGGGTGAGTTTCATTTGATAATTACATTGATCAAATCTAATTTTTTTATTTAAATTATTTTAGGGCCACAATATCTTACATGCATATATCATTATCTCTTTCACATGATGGTATTTTGCATATCAATTTGTGGTAGTTTTCAATAAATCATCAATCAACGATGAAAAATATTTTAACTACTAAAAGAGTTTGTTTAATTATTATATTAAAAAAAGTTATAAAATACAAAACTATATTCTACAAATCCTACAATTCTTGGGTCGTAAAACCTCTGATATGATCGTATTAGAGGTGGTATGATTTGTATCAAGGATGGCAAAATACGAATTTTGTAAGTTTCGTAATCGAAGTTTTGTACTGTGACGCATACTTTAAGAGTCCTATAATTTTTGTTAAAGAAGTATTTTTCTAACCGACCCGTCACCAACCCATAAAAATAACTGTAGAAAAATTCATGTATTAGAAAGAAACATAAAAATGTCTAAGAAAAAAATAATGTATGACTCAAAACTCAAAAAGTCCACATGGAGAACTATTTTTCTCAAATCCAAAATAATTTTAAAGATTGTACAAATATACAAATCAATATAAATGGTAAAAAAATCTACCCGGCCGACGGGCCGGGCAACGAAGCTAGTGTATTTTATAGACTTCTAAATCAATAATATCTCATACAGGAGAGTTTATTAATGAATCCTAAAAAAATTCAAGTTTTCCTAAATTTTCTACCCATCCCATATTCTAGGGAGAAAAAACTTTTTTCTTCCTTTTTACGTACCAACATTTTTATTCACTAATAATAAATATGTCCAAATAAAATTTTTCTACCATTATCTCTTCTTCGTATGAACATTTTTTTTTTTTTTGACAATAACCTGTTTTTATTAGTTGTTTAAGTTATCCTTCTCCAAATGAGACATGATGAAAACTCGAGGCCTAAAGACCCAAGATTCTGAAGAGTCCCAATTACAATTTGAGTGGGCCATTATATGGGCAGGTTCGTTTCCCAGTCTCTTAGTGAAGCTCCACCGTATCTGGCCCAGAGACCTGGCCTGCTCCTTCAGTTCACTAGCTAGCACGCTCGCCGCCAGCCTCGATTCTTCCTCCCCCTTCATCTTTTGGATATCGGTTTGACAGTCACTCTCTACCATCGCCGACAAGAATCCATGTCGTTCCACCATCTGCTACCCGAAATCCATCGTTCGGAGCTCAGCAATTTCCGGTGGCCACTGCCTTCGCTCCCGCCTGACCGCCGCCAACAGGAATTTTCCAGTCTCATCGCGAACCACCAGCCCCAGTCCCGTTCCCTCCCCCGGCAGTAGTGCAGCATCAACATTTTAAGAATCTTTAATTGATAAAGGTTTCAAATTTGCAAACATTTTAGTTTTACACTTAAGTAAAATTTCATTGAAATGAAGGTGATTGAGAAAGAATCTATTCATGATAAAGGTAGTGAATTCAGAAATAGTGATAGTGAGTAGTGACGTTGTTGAGAAGAAGAGATAGACTATTGATGGTCGATAGAAAAGTTTTAGTGATGAATATGAAACTACAATTATAGATAGATATTATGATACATGTGATAAAACAATAGCAAAGAAGTTCAAAAGAAAAATTACAGTAATTTCTTACATCAAGAAGTAAATTGAAGTGTTGTTTATAAAGTTTTTTTAAGAGTTAGTTCCCTTTCGTGAGTTCTATTTTTTATTTTCTGTAAGAACTTTCGTTGATGAACCAATTATCATATAAAAAAACTCTATGATGTATGCTCCTTTTGTCTTTTTCCATTAATTGAATAGTTCAAATTATTTGACTTTTGATATCAATAAAAATATATATTGCTTCGTACAATTACAATTGTTAGTTATGTGTTTGAAGTAATGTATCCGGCCAACGAGCATGGTACTTTTGTTGATGAACCGGTTAGCATATCAGAAAACACTATAATGTGTGTTACTTTTTATTATTATTTAATAGAATGGTATGGATCTTTTGACTTTTGATAACAAAAATATATTTTGCTTGATACAATAACTATTATCGTGTATGGGTTTGAAATAATGCGCCCGACCAACGGGCCGGGTTCGAATCTAGTATAAAATTCGTACATGTAACTTTCTAAATCTCTTTGCAAGAGATGAGTAAAAAACAATAATTAAAGAGAATTCATCAATAATTTGTGTGAACCGTAAACATTGATAAATTTTCTAAAATTCCTATATGATAGACTCGGTGGCAATCCAATTCTATTATAAAAGAGCAGTTTGAGATTTACTGTTCATTAACTGATTTTATCGTAAATAACCACAACTTTGAGACCAAGAATCCATGAACTTGGGACCCACCTAATCATCTACCACTTTCCCTCTATCTGCTGCTGCTATTGCGGTTTGGAAGCAAAGAAAGAGAAGAATGAGAGACCAAAAAGAAAAACTTTTGTGGGTGGGCCCATTCAAGTATTCTTTTTGTTTTAGTGTATGTAGAATGAATATTTTTGTTCGTAATCACTTTTCATCATTATTCATCGAATTAAAATAGAAAGACACCACAACTCTGAGGTCAAGAATCCATGAACTTGGGACCCTCCTAATCATCTACCACTTTCCCTCCATCTACCGCTGCTATTGTGGTTTGGAAGCAAAGAAAGAGAAGAATGAAAGACAAAAAAAAAATGTGGGTGAGCCCATTCAAGTATTCTTTTTGTTTTAGTGTATGTTGAATGAATATTTTTGTTCGTATTCACTTTTCATCCTTATTCATCGAATTCAAATAGAAAGACACCACGTAAATCTCATTTATTATTGAAGAGAACAAAAGTGGCCTCGACCAATAGAGCCAGATGTTATGTTCTTTCGTTTTTTTTCCTTTTTATTATGTTTTACTTAAGACGCAAACTCAAATCGATTTGTTTGATTCGTATTTCTTATCGATTTGTTTGTGTTCGTATTTCGTTTTACGTCTTTAATTATCTAGCTCAAAAGTAGGTTATCAGTCATTTGTGTTCGTATTTGGTTTTACGTCTTTTGTTATTATGATGCTTAAATCGATTTATTTGTGTTCGTATTTGGTTTTATGTCTTCTAATATAGGTTATCAGTAATTATGCATATCTTTTATTGGGACTCTGTTTCACATTCTTGCTCACTTCTTTCCCCCTCTCCATTAAAACAAGAAAACGAGATACAACATTTTTTTCATATTTTCTTTTTCATCTTAAACGTGTGAACTTCGTAAATACTCTAAGTAACAGTTGTCGAGATCCAAGTATGTAAATCGACATCCTATAATTTATAAATTCATTTGCCAGCGAGTGCGTATTACCACGAACCTCACCCACAAAAACTTATTGATTTTTCTTGCAGTTCTTGAGCAAACATTTATTCATTCCTTGTTATAATCCATGAAATATGAAAGAGAGTGAGCCACATTTTCTTATTGACTAATCAAAGAGAATGAACTAAAATGTTTTTATCAGCAGCTCTTTTGAAAAAGCTTGAAGAGGATGTCCAGTTCTCGTTGTGGTTGTGCTTGAACTACTGTTACAACTATCATACAGAAGACCAAGATGAAGACAACACTTCTAACGATGCCCCAAGAGGAAGACCTTAAAGAAAGACAGCCAAAAACTTCAGCAGCTAACTTGAAAAAAATTCCTCCTTTGTTTTGTCTTATCTCCTAAGGCAAAATTGGATTCCCTATCTTTTCATCCAAAGGTCCATCCTCTTCAAAAGCTACCCCCCCCCCCCCCCCCCCCCCCCCCCGCTTCTCTGACCAACTTCAATAGGGAGGATAGGATCTGCTCGAGTCATTGTCAAGCGTGTGGTAATGAATTTTCGAGGCAACTCAACCCTTGTTACATGAAAAGAAAAACCAAACCATTGTCAACCTGCTTTATCTGTTCAAACTGAGTTTTGCAATCTACCTCTAGTATGCAAAAAATGTAGTGTGTTTTGCAATCTGCCTCTAGTATGCTAATATCAGTAAAAAAGAATGTGCACAGCCTTAGGCATAATGATTTTATTTTTGTTTCATTAACCATCCATCCCTAATCATGTATTGTTGAGATTCTAGTTGATAGCTAAAAGTCTGCATAATAAGAAATTCCTGACAATTTAATTGGTAATCAATTTATAAGCACGTGTCGTTGTGATTCAATTATATATTCACATATACAAAACTAAATTAACCATAAATTTCTACATACTTATAATAATATTTTAGTTTATATATTCTCAACACCTATGATAATCAACAATTCGACTATACTTATAACAATGTTGAAGATTTGATGCAAATTAAATAAACTTGATCTTTTTAATTGATCTTAAGTTCTCAGAAAAGAAAATGATACTAAACTTTAAGCCACACGTGATGACTATACGAGTATAATAATAAAAATTAATAAGTAGAAGCACAAATACTCATGTGTCCATCTCCTTCTTCGAACTGGAAATAAGTAGAACTATAAAATATTGACCAAAGCGCAAGAGGCAAAAAGAATGAAATAAAGAGGATGCCCGAAGAGAACCTCCTTATATGTATTGTTTAATTATTCACTAAAACCAAAATATGTTGTTCATAAAAAAAATACAATATGTTTTTTTATCCTCCCTCTCTCATGCGTTTTTCTTTGCTTCTTTCTTTTTTATCAGCTTGTTTCTATTTGAAAAATAAAAATTACAAAGTAACATTCAAAATGTACAAACCATAGCAGGAAAAGTACACAAAAAAAGAAATACATAATATAAAAACATTATAGTGAAAAAGTAAAAATTCAATAATATGTGATTTACAAACCATTATTTAAAAGTGTACAAATCATATCATAAACATTTACTAACTAATATTACCAAGTATATAGAAAATATAATACAAAGTACATATATATAAATAATAAAGATTATACAAATTATATTATAAATTATACAAGAGTACAAAATATCACTACTTACAATAGAAATCAAGGTGACTTCTTTCTTTACAAATCAATGATACAAAGTATACAAATCATATAATAAAAGTGTACAAAGAAATTTTAAAAAACGGTCGAACCACATTACAAAAGATTTGGCTAACTATTAGTAATTCAATAGGTTTCTTTATTTCTTAATCAATTCATGAGACATTGCAAGGGACTGAATTAAAGTTTCTTTATTTGTATTTTTTTATAATCAATTCCTGAGACATGGCAAGAGAATGAGTGACAGTTTATTAATTTTTCTTTTTTATATTCAATCTATGAGTAATTATAAGAGAGTGAGCAAACATTTATTCATTCCTTGTTATAATCCATGAAATATGAAAGAGAGCGAGCCACATTTTTTTATTGACTAATCCATGAGAAATTCTGAAATTGGAAGGGAATGAACTAAAATGTTTTTATCAGTTCAAAGGTTGAGGGATGAGATGGATTATGTCCATGGAATGTAAGTCTGAAAAGTGTCGGTTGTGCAATTGAAGTGCTGACTCTATTTCATTATGCGTCGGTGTTGATGAATTTGTGAGGCAGCTCGACACTCATGTCCTCGTAAAGAAAGATCAAACCACCCCATTAATACTAAAACTTTAGAAATCAATGAGATAAACGTAATGTATAAGACAACATAATTTTTTTGCATTCACTAGATATTTACTATGGTAGCAGGCCGAAAAAAGTGCAGGAAGTCCAGGATTAAGTGGTTACTGTTGGTGGGGGGGCGGGGGGTGTGGGGGGTGATAACACTACATATTTTCACCAATATGTAAATATAAGGAAAGCAAAGAATCAAGTGAAAAAGTTGGTTCTAGACTCAGGGGAGGATATTTATGATTTATAAGCGCATTTCATCCATGATTTATGAGCGCATTTCATCCATGATTTAGAACACCCCATCGCCTTCATTTGGTCTATATGAAAGTGATGTGGCATTTCATAAACCAATTTCATGGATGTGGGATGGTGTTTTCCAAATGAAATCCCCCACTAAATGAAAATAGGTGAGAGAGAGACATGAGGGATGAGCGGGTCCCATTAGCTAAAATAAGCAACAAGGAAATGTGGGGATGAGTAGGTAAGTGGTGAAATTTAGTTGTATTAAAAATTATGTGGGCCCTAAATGAAATAGAAAGTGTATTTCATTGATATTAGATGAAATGAAATAGTTAAGTGGTGAAATTGTAAAAGTGGTTGAGGTGGCAGTAGGGACCACATATGAAATAGAAATTGTATTTCATGGATATGGATGGTCTTAGCCACCTGTCAAAAGTGACTTTTCCCGTAGTGATAGTCAAGCTCGACTCTATCGTCGGCAACAGGTGACTATCATCAATCGTTCAATCGACGCATCTCTCTCTCTCTCTCTCTCTCTCTCTCTCTCTCTCTCAGTAGCGGTCACGACACCAATCCTTAAAGGAGCTCCTGCCCCGATAATCTAGATCTACATATGGTAAGCGGTTTTAAACTGCTGATGTAGCCATCTCTTCCTGAGTGCTTATAGATCGAGCTTGAAAAATCTAGATCTGAGCACATATCAGTGACGTTTTCTCCTCCTCCCACGGATTTAGCATCTCATGCCGAGAGTCGCTGCCTCGAAATCATCGATGTTTGTACTCCTCTTCACTTTCATATATCGAGGTGGCAAATCTCTTCAGACTTGGCAGTATTAATCAGTGTTGAGCTAGTCACTCCCCGCAATAGGCTTCACTGGTTGGTAAAACAGAGGCTATGAGTGCTAGAGACATAAACAGAGGGTTTCTCAATCATTAGTGTTTTTATTTCACTGTTAATCATGATGTTGTCCTTGCAGATTTGGGGTTTTGATTTAGTGGACGTCGCTTGAACTGAATTTGGATTTCATATGAAGAATTTCTGGTCTGTTAGTTTGGGGGCTGGATGGGGCGAGGTTTTGCAATATTGAGGGCGAAGAAGCAGCAGCGGCAGCACAGAGGCCTCAATTGAATCTGTTCTATTTGTGGTTGTTAAATGATTTGGTCAAGGAAAAAAAGGAGAAGAACAACGCTTGACGAGATTGGGTTTTGGTTCGTTAGTGATTGGTTGTAGCGGAGTCACAGCGCAGGGTAGATCAGTAGATGATTTAGCTTCGTAAATGTTGTAGACACAATGTATTCTTTATGTATTATGGCAATGTATTCATGTATTTTAAGAATAAATGTATTAAAAATTATTAATAAAATTTAATCATTATTTTATTTGTCTAATCGTAGGTAAAATTTAAAATTAATGAAAATTATGAAATTTGAAATAGAAGCAAAAGTGTTTGCTCACGAAGCAAATATGTGTTTCGGAAAGGTGTTCTAGAAACAAATATAATTGTCTCCATAACTAGAAATGGGAACAAAAACTTTTTCTAAAACCAAATAAGAAGAGAATATATGCGTTCTTTAAAGTGGGATAACAATCAATAAGATTTTATTCAGGTTTCTTAATTAGAAGCAAATATTATTTGTATCTATATTTGCTTCTAAATAGAATTAGAGACAGAGACGTCCGATGCAAATAATTTATTTGTTTCAAAAGATATACAAAATCAAATAACTGACTTATAGACTCAAATAATCTCGGACTCTAAAGCCAGATTTTCTTGTAGTGTGAGCACCACCACATTTCCCTTGTATGCAATAAAGCAATATGCTATCACTAACTCAATATTTTATTTTATAACTCTCTTCTTGTTGCTGGCAGATGGTCGTTGATTGCGGCTCAATTTCTAGGGAGAATGGACAACGACGTGAAGAACCACTAGAACACCAAGCTGAAGAAGAAGCTGTCCAGGATGGGGATCGACCCAGTGACCCACAAGCCATTCTCCCACCTTATGGCCGAGATCGTCACCACCTTGGCCCTGCGTCAGGCGGCCAACCTAGCGAAGGCAGTACTCGGGTGCTTCAAGGACAAGATGCTCCACCTGCTGACCAAAAAAATGATTGATTTTTAAGGTGGAGGAGCAGCTACCGCAGCAGGGAACAACCACCACCACCACCAGTTGTCTGCCGGAATGCCAGCTTTCATAGCTACAAAGCACGAGGAGTGTTATGAGACAATCCATGTACCACATCGGTAATACAAAGGAAGGGACCCTTGTATATTAGTGTCCACCTAGCCCATTAGTAAGAGGCATTTTGGGGAGGATACCCAAGAGTAAATCCGTGCGGGGTTGGCCCAAAGCGGAAAATATCGTACTAATTGAGTTGCCCGGTTATGACAAGTGGTATCATAGCCTGGTCAGTGTGGGGGCGGTGGACGTCAGTTTGGTGGACCCTCATTCGGTGACATCGGGATTTGCGATCCGCGTCTGGGCTACATCTGATTTGGCAGATCAAAGAGAATTCTGCATCTGGGAAAAATCCTTGTACCGAGAGGCCCATCGACACAAGGTGTCTGGCGGATCAAGATAATCGCTGAGGTGAGGGAACGAAGTTCGTGGTCCTTAGCTTGAGTGGAGGATTGTTATGGGACAATCCAAGTACCACATCGGAAATACAAGGGAAGGAACCCTTGCATATTAGTGTCCACCAAGCTCATTAGTATGAGGCCTTTTGGGGAGGATACCCAAGAGTAAAACTGTGTGGGCTTGACCCAAAGCGGACAATATCGTACTAATTAAGCGGCCTGATTTCCTCAGTGGTATTAGAGTCTGGTTCGGTGCGGGGCGGTGGACGTCAGTTTGGTGGACCCTCATTCGGTGACCTCGGGATTTGCGATCCACGTCTCTTTGATAGATCAAAGAGAGTTTCGCGTCTAGGCTACATCAAATCAAAGAGAGTTCTGTATCTGGGAAAAAATCTTGAGCCGAGAGGCCCATCGATAAAAGGTGTATTGCGGATCAAGATAATCGCTGAGGTGAGGACACGAAGTTCGTGGTCCTTGGCTTGAGGGGATGATCGTTATGGGACAATCCAAGTACCACATCGGAAATACAAGGGAAGAAACCATTGTATATTAGTGTCCACCAAGCTCATTAGTATGAGGTCTTTTGGGGAGGATACCCAAGAGTAAAATCGTGCGAGTTTGGCCCAAAGCGGACAATATCGTACAAATTGAGCGGCTCGATTTCCTCAAGTGGTATCAGAGCCTGGTTCAATTCGGGGCGGTGGACGTCAGTTTGGTGGACCCTCATTCGGTGACCTCGGGATTTGCGACCCGCGTCTGTTTGGCGGAAAAGAGCGTTCCGCTCTTGGCTACATCTAGTTTGGCTGATCAAAGAGAGTTCTGCGTTTGAAAATTCCTTGTACTGAAAATTACTTTTGGGGAGGATACCCAAGAGTAAAATCTTGCGAGTTTGGCCCAAAGCGGACAATATCGTACAAATTGAGCGGCTCGATTTCCTCAAGTGGTATCAGAGTCTGGTTCAATTCGGGGCGGCGGACGTCAGTTTGGTGGACCCTCATTCGGTGACCTCGGGATTTGCGACCCGCGTCTGTTTGGCGGAAAAGAGCGTTCCGCTCTAGGCTACATCTAGTTTGGCTGATCAAAGAGAGTTCCGCGTTTGAAAATTCCTTGTACTGAGAAGCCCATCGATACAAGGTGTTTGGCGAGTCAAGATAACCACTGAGGTGAGGACACTAAGTTCGTGGTCCTTGGCTTGATGGGATGATTGTTATGGGACAATCCAAGTACCAAATCGGTAATACAAGGGAAGGGACCCTTGTATATTAGAGTCCACCTAGCCCAATTAGTAAGAGGCCTTTTGGAGAGGATACCCAAGAGTAAATCCGTGCGGGCTTGACCCAAAGCGGACAATATCATACTAATTGAGCGGTCCGATTTCCTCAAGGAGAACGAAGATCAAGATGAGTCTATAAAGATGAGTCTATAAAGGGCAATGCAAGAGACTGGTAACACAATAACATTAGCAACAACTGGAGCCAAACGAAGATCAAGATGAGTCTATAAAGATGAGTCTATAAAGGGCAATGCAAGAGACTGGTAACACAATAACATTAGCAACAACTGGAGCCAAACGATAAGCTTGAGGATGAAGGTGACAATGTACTGGGGGATCTGCCGTCTGAGGAGCTAATTAATCCTATGGTATAGAGAACAAAAGGAGAGAAAAGAGAAGTTGTGAGCCTAGTTTACAACAGTCCCAGAAATGGCGGCAAGAGTTAGGGAAAAGATTATCAACTTGTTCAAACTAAATAGATAGAAACGAATAAACTCGAACATTATCGCTATTACAACCTGAATAAGTATACAACAAATGTAAATGCAGTGTCAAATCCGATAAATTATGATATGATACATTACATCCTCGATCTAGAGAAACATAACTACAACAACATTATTTTCTGCCTATCCCCCCTATCATTCTTATCTAATTAAGATTTGTGGATGTCTCGAGATGCAGTTCAATCGGCAATTGTGTTCAGGCAAAATACGATGATGAAGATGACGTATCAGCAAGAACCTGTGATAGATTGATGAAAAGGATAGTCTCAGTACATAAATCAGAAGAGAATTTTGGACCAGTTCCATGCTCTAATATATCAGTAGAAGAGCAAGTGGTATGGCAGCGGAATCTTTACCTCGAGCTGCTCTTCGGTGAAGGAATCCTTCTGAAAGTTCCAAGTATCGGCGTGAGTCCTCCGGAACTCAGCAACTGCTTTCGTTACTGTGGATTTTATGGGGGAAGGCTCTGCTGCGAAACGTGCCAGGAGAGTGACATGCTCTGGCAACCAACTGAAACACGAAATGATTGATTATTAACTGAACACTTTTAAAAGTTGATCTACTAAATCACGAGAACAACAGCCCTACGACTTAACAAAGAGGATAGCCAAGTGGAGTAAGTTTCAGTGATAAGAGAGTGAATGTTTGTCCGCACAAGTTTGCAGCTCAACAATCCCTGCATTCGGCATTGCAAGGTGACAACCAAAGCGTACATAGCTGTGACCACTAGCCGAAAATTTTACTTATTAAGAAGATGAACCACCTTAATAAGCAACCGAATCAGAATTAATGAACGAAATCAGTTGGTGAAGTGGGATGATAGCCTTCTTTCTATTCATGAGCACTTCGAAGAATAAATAAAATTGGTTGTTTACAAACGTAAGGTACTCTTGCACATGCATACATACAAGGTAGAAGAAAAACAATGCAACTCCATGCAAAGATTGCAGAATGTTAATCCAATATTTGTACCTGGGCATATCATATGGCACCGATAATGCAGAAGCCGTCAGCGCAAGTACAGCACCATGGATGGATGATAACGGTTGGCCACTTCTTAGATTCCTGTCATCGTCAAAATGAGATCAAAATTCACATACAAAAAAGGCATTTCTTCAGAAGCTAAATTCAATGTAGATGAAATATTGGCAAGAAAGCTAACCTCTGCTGCTTCCTCTTCCGTTGCATGGTACTTGCCTCCACTAAAGCTCTCTCACGGAAGTCACAAGCAAGGTCCTCATCCCCACCTTTCATTAGACCTGCAAGAACTGCTGCAGCATGCTCCCTTACCTGGAAAAAGTGCATTTTTTTTGTTAAAGCAAAGATTGAGTTAAAAGGCCAGTCCATCATCCAATTCATGGGTCTAGCCCTCAAAACTATGAATTCCTTGTGATAGATGACTACCCTACAGGATCTTGTTAGGGGACATTCACTTTCACTATCCATATAACTACAAGAAAAGAATTTGTAATCTCATCCTCATCTCACATTTATAAGGAAAAATCGCCTACGAATCTACATTAAAATTTGGTTCAAGATTCCGCCAGAAATTAGACTTACGAATCTACATTAACATTTGGTTCAAGATTCAGCCAGAAATTACCTCGACTTGATTGTCTCTAAGCAGATTCTCCACAGTTCTCCAAATTTTTTGTTTCTCTGCTTTAGGGAGTATGTAGGTGTGCCTGGAAATAAGAAAATGGTACATATCAGAATTTATGCTATATCCAATATCTCGTAACATGCTAGTGACAGATCTTATCCAACAAACTGACAAATCTCTAATGCCAATCTGGCAGACGAATGAGTGAACCAGAGTACCAAAGAAAGGGAAGCTTAGATATCTTTATTAGAACTCGGAAGCTTAGAAATATACTTGACCTCCAACAAACCACATAATAAAAGGACATGAAATTAAAATTCACAAAAGGAGACACCTTTGGTCTAGAAAAAAACATTTGAAACAGCTGGAAAATTGCCTACAAGTTAAAGATAGAAAGTCCAACAACAGAGAACACACCTATACATAAAAGTACGTAGATATGTCAGAGTAGCTGATCTGGTCCGCCAGTTGGAATCAGTAGAAGAAGAAAGAATGACTTCAACAACCCTCTGAAGATGAGGTTCCCAAAAGATCCTCCACTTAAGCAACTCGAAAGCAGCCTTGGCCAGAGTTGATAAATCTTTATTTGATGTTTCCTGAAATTGGCCCAAGCGCACAACAATACATAACACGAAATTGAGAATAAACCAAGGAAGTACTTCACGTACCTGTAAGGCAATTACAGGATAGATAAATCTGACAATGACATCAACCAAACAAGATGATCTTCCAGACTTCAAAGTTGAGACGATAAAATGAAAGAGCTGAAGAAATCACGAAGAAATTCTGTTAGCTGGAATTGTATGAACATCAGCTTCTATATCCCAATTTAAATAATTAGAGAAAAAGTCTGAATCTCATTTGTACCGTTTCCATCCACTTAACATCATCTCGTATATCTCCATTTAATGTGGTGCCATATTCAACACTAGAATGAGCAGCTGTCTCCATGTTGTCTGACTGACTAGTATTCTGAATACTCGTGACCATCTCAGATGCTCGTTCCGTAAGAAATGCAACCCAAGTCTCTGTTTTATTTGGGTTGTCATTGCCATGGTCAGCCCCTTCATTGGAGAACGACAAACGCAGCCGGATATTTGAGCACAATATAGAGAGGTTGATTCCTATAGCTTCCCTTACCTGTTCCATGCAAGTTACATATTAGAAAATGACCAGAAAAAGGAAAAGCTACTTTAACTGAGCAAAGCAAGTTACACATAGGGTGCAAAGGCTGGGGATGGACAGGTTGGTTTCGTTAAGGATTATTAGATTATATAGCAGCAAAGCACAACCACCTCTCTACATGATTCTTTCTTGTTACACACTCCTTCATTTCGTACATTTCAAATCAACAGTGAATTCTGTTTCTTACAAGAATCTCAGTTACAATCAAATATACATATACAGGGAAAAAGAAACACCTAAGCAATGGACAATTCTAAGAATAAAGACATTGAAACATATGAGTGTGATATTAACGCAAAAAGAAGTAGATCATAAGGATATCTATACTTACTTGCGCTGATGAATGACACATATTCGCTAACAATTCATTCAAAAGTTTATTGTGAATCTCCAGTTCGGTGACAGGCATCTTTTGAGGGCATATCTCGATAAGTGCAGCAGAAAGAAAAGTGTAGCGCTTTGCAACTACAGTAGTTGTTGCAGCCGTTGAAAGGGGTGTTATCAAACAATCCAAAATTTGCTGTCTCAGAAGGGGAACATTTGTACCATGCTTTCCTTTCCCAGTAACAGCATACCGTATGCAGGCTGACCACTCTGGTATAGACTCCACCGACTGACCAAGAACAATACTCTGTAACTGGCCCATCATCCAGCTGTCCCACGCTCCTAAAACACCATCAACATCAGAGTGCAACACACCTGCAAATGCTTCTGCTGCAACACACTGCTTAGACCTTTCCGTAGCATTTGCAAAATCTTCTAATGGGGTTTTTAAAGCCAACAAAATGGGCATGCCACATTCTTGCACCAACCGCTTGAAAATTCTTGCAAAGCTCGAGTAAAAATTATCAACCCCAAGTAGAGAGATCCAGCTAGGTGTGCGAGGCCAAGAGGATGAGAAATCAAAATAGAATCGGGTGATTGATTTATCTGCCAGACTTTGAAAAGAAGAATTCCCATGATTTCCTCTGGAAGAACCATCACTATCAGTGATAATATGCACATGAGATAGACTATTCAACGTCTCATAAAAAAATCCCTCCTCCTGAAAAATTTCACTTAATGCTCCTTCAAGGGAAGATTTAACATTGGTGCGTAAGTCCTCCAGTAGAGCACCTTGATCCTCAGCTGAAACCTTATATGGTGATTCTTTTAAGAGTGTGTTCAGTGCTGAGATTGAAAGCATCCTTGTCTGTGGAAGTTGACTCTTTAAACTTTTCAGGAAGTGACCTGCAGAAGTATAATACAGTTAAAGTTTAGCCGGTCCCACTGAAGGATAAAACTTCACTCACTCGCCCAAACACTATCAAAACACAATAAGCAAATAAAAACCTACCAGTAGTTTCCCTCAAGATTTTCGAGGAGACGGTTGGGTCATTTCTGGAGGCCATAGCCAACAGCAAAAGAATTCTATTTGCCATCAAATTATACCTGGAAACGTATTGGCAAAAGGAAGTAAAGTAAATGTTTTCACATGATAAAGAAAGGTGACAAAAAATCTCCTGTGTTTTCACTGCACATGATTGTTAGATTGATTTATTACTGAGCATAGTAATGAAAAATACGAGCAAACTTAGCATAATATTATTATTTATATCAATGTTCTCTTTCAGCACTCCACATGTTGCCCCATAAATATTATTGGTCACAGGTCATTCTTGCAGTCATTAATCCCAGCTACTTACTTTACATGAGACAATTTTGCTCTAATCATTTTCTTGAAGAAGTTTGAAGCTGATTTTCAATTATGCTAAGAATCAAATGGACCACTTGCGACTCTGAGCTTTAATCTTCAATAACCTATTCCACCAATACCTCTATCAGAAAGAAAATCTAAGATAAGACATCTACCTCCAGTGCAAGCCAGAAGATTCAAAACTCATCGATCCAATCTGAGAAACCAAATCTGAAAAATCTGAACCACCCACTTGACTGCCTGATGGTCTGAAGATGCTTCTTGATAGTCCCGAGAAGTAGATGTTGTACTTGACAAAAAGCTGTTGTAAATAAAAATATATCAAGATAATGTATAGACAAGACATTCATTCACCTATTTAGAGCAATGCAAATGTTTCTACCAAAAAAAAAGAGCAATGCAAATGTACCTCATTGATTGCCTTCTGGGTTTTCAGGGACTCATGATGAGAGCTGCAAAACCAAAAGGTTTGAGTGAGATAGCATATTACAAAGAGGTTACTAGCATTTTAATGTTACTCGGTGAGGGAAGAAAAAACCATGACGCCAAGAAGAACTACCTAGACAAGATACTGAGAAGAAATGAAGAGAATGTTTTGGGATCCTGCAAAGCAAAGTTCCATCAGCCAATTAAAGACCATGGTAATATGCAAAGGAAAATGAATTTCTTCAGAATGATCACCGTTGTCAAATGCTTGAGAACAGTCTGAGTTGAAAGCACAGCACAAGAGCCTAAGACTGCATATTCTGGAGCAGCTGGGTTCCTCAAATTTTCAGTAAGTGAAAGCACACATTTGGAGATCAGAGATGGCCATCTCTTAATCATCTTGAGCAGAGATTTGCCAGCAAGTCTGAAATCAAGTAAGTGATTCAAACTGGTAATGAGTACCAAACAAACAGGGCATTGAAATAGAACAAACAAAACGTTGCATATGATGATATGCAATATCCTAGAAATACACAGACAATACATTTGATGCAACAACAAGAATGACAAATATCTCAGAATGTAAGACAAATGAAGGATTTACCCTCGAACTGTTTCATAGCTATGCAGACACAGGTTGAGTAGATCATTCATCAGAACAATTGCATGCTCAGATGGAGAGAAACTTCCACTTGTACGGAAAAGATGGTAGGTCGATTGCGATGTTCTCCATGTATTATGCATGTAAGCCTTGTCAATAAGAGCCCATCGAGGCCTGACATAGACAAATAAAATCAATATTCAATATTCCTATCAATAAGATAGTTATCAAGTAAATACACAAACTCACCGTTTTTTCCCTTTTGAATGAGATGAAACTATAAAATTTATGGGAGGTTCTATAATAGCAGAAGATTCCAACTTCCAAGCCTGCCGGTGATTTGACCATTCATCAAACTCCAGACTTCCTATGTAGCAAATGTTAGAATAGCACACAAATTAAAATTAAAAAAAAAAAAAGCAAATGTGCACCTTAGAAACTGAAATTCCTTCTAGATTACAAATATTTATTGATATTACCGTAGTTTATCAAAGCATCGATTATCCGCACAATGAGTACCAATAAGATGCTATCATCTGATTTTTCCTCTAAAAGATATCTGCAATTATAGCAGACCAAAAAATACTTAGCATAAAACAATCAACCGAGTTAAGCACGAAACAAAATAAATAGATGACAATCGCATTAAAACCTTACTTGCAAGCATAATGTACAATTTCAGCAGCATTTTCGCGCAGTTCAGAGCTGCCAACAGTTGTACCTGTTGCTCCAGCTATCAGGAAAGGAATGTACGACGGATCGTTGACAATCCCATTTCTGGAGGCTGGGCTGAAATCAGGTAAGCAAGACAAAACACCTTGCAGTGAAGAGTCGATCCGCAAAAGAGTCACTTTCAGGTGCAATTTCTCATTGCCTGCTAATGAATAACAAAGAATCAGAAAAGGAGAACGGTAATTAATTATAGGATATGTCTACAGTACACCCTAGAGGTTATGGAATGACACCTATAACTTACGTTAAGCATTTTGTATGCACCTGAAATCCAGGTGTATCATAGAGGCACCTATAACTTATGTTAAGAAAAGACACGCACAACTCAATAGTACTCACTTATGAATAGTATTACACCAGAAAAAAGTAACAGGACATACACATGTCATCATAAAATCAAAAAAATAATGATCACAAGTAAGAGGATGCAAGAGAGAAGGAACAGGATGGCACGACCAGACATGACCTGGATCGGAATGGATTCGATCTCGGCAAATCCTCATTAGATCATCTAAAGCTGACTTCAAATGTAGGTTCAGAAGCTCATTTGCAAATTGAACTTCTGTGTCGTTTGGAACATGCCATTTGGGCGCGATGGATGGATCCTCATCGCCATAATCTTTTGTGCCAATCCACTCTTCCAATGCCCTAGCAGCAGGGTGACTTAAAATGCACCTGAGGAACAAACATAATCAGTTCTTTGCTGTGGTAGTCAGAAGAGAAGTCATGTACCATTCAGAAATCAAAGAAACAAGTCATAGATGATATTTTGTACCTGTACTGATCAACAGGGTAGTAAAGGACTAGGCTTCCTATGAGGGACCTAAGAAGATGATCACCAGCTCCATTAACCTAAAAGAAAAGTAAGTACCCAAGCACATAACGATTATGAGGGGAAAAAGGCTGATGCTAGTAGATTAGCAAAAATAAAACATCTGAGCAAACATATTGCTCAACTAATACACAAATGCACAGAAGTAGAGTTAGCCAGAAGAAGATCAAGACCTTCCAAGAGGGAGATTCGAAAGCAGATGCTACAGCTTCTAGGAATTTATCCTTGTAACGAAGAAGGACAGGGCCTCCATAATTGATCGCGACTGACAGTATTTTCAATTGACAATCAATTGATGTTTCAAGAGCTGGAGACAATGTTGGCTTTGCCTGAAAATAGGAATTGAAGGTCTTCAATATGATAGACTCGGTAGATTTTTTTTTTTTAATATTAGAACTGAGTTATGCAAACAGATGCAAAACCTTCGACAAAACTGAGGTCTCAAGGACTCCTCTTCCTCCAAATCCAGTTGATGGCGTCCCTTTCAAGGAAGATATAACAGCAGACAACATAGGCTCAACAAGAGCAGAAACTGCCTCCTCAGGGTTCGAATGAACACATGCACAGCAAAGCAAGCCAACCTCAGCAATTGCACCAGGAAGAATATTTGTCCTTACAAACTTTGCAATTTTCTTCAATGCCTGTCACATAACATGGAACTGATATGAAAACAACAGCTATATCCTTCAGAGAAATTAACAGTATGGGAAAATGGAGATAAGAACTTAACCTGATCGTACAGCGATTTTGAAAGCCTTCCAAGCAAGATTTCAAGCATACAATAGTAATAAGGACCATCCTCAACTAAAAATGTCCCTGATGTTGCTGCCGAATGTGAACCTTCACTCCTGCAGACATGTAATTAATTGTTCTCTGACACTGGAAAGTGGGAAGGTGTAACTTGACATTCGGACTTATGGATAAGCAAGCCATGGAGATCATAAGAATTGAAGCCTGCTACTCACACGACACTGCTAGGTTCCAAATGCTGAAGTAACGAGAACAGCCGACACAAGAACTCATCTAACCACTCAGACATCTGAATCATTGGCATGAAGGATGAGTCATCCATGCTATCATCCAAAGTAGAAATCTGCAAACAATAGTGCACTGTTATTATGTCCATTGGTTACAAGTATAAACGAAATACTTCACTCAAGGAACTCATCCACGGGCAACTTACATTAGAGAATATAGAACCAATCAGCTGCATGGTTGCCAAGGTTTTGGGAGGATCATTAGCATCCATACCAAGTAATGCATTTGATAATGAAATCATCAGAAGATCCATGAATGTATTGCTATCACCAGCAGGGTGTAGCTCTTTGGCAGAGGTTGACAAGGATGTCAGGAACAATGAGCGACCGGCAAATGCCACGGACATCACAGCAGTTTTCAACTGGTGGGTGGCAGTCATCTGACTAGACACAAAAGTATGCAAAAACAAAGGTTATGGTGATGAGAAATAGAATTCCAATGGCTATAGAGGGAGAACAATTATTCAGTAAACCTTTTAGAAAAAGAAGATATTCTGGCAACAGATACATGCTACAATACATACCGTCTCCAAGGCCAGATGGAATCGAGATGTTAAGAATGGTAGAACCAACGAGGGTTCCACATAGGATAGGATAGAAGTTGCTGCAGCTACAGTCTCAGACATACGCTCATTCTTGCTGTATTGTCCACGATCAATTAATTTCAACAATATTTTGACAAATGCAGTCCTCTCTGGTCTTCCCAGAAATAGGTGAGCATGTTTATCATTATCTTTGTTCCTGCAACACCAGTGTTTTCAAAGAAAGCATTCAAACACATGCATACCATGCATACATCACATAAGACAGCAATGTCAATATATTCTTACAATTGCTCGTGCTGTAAGCGCTTTTGGAATGTAATTACCAAATACAATAGGAACCGCTCCAATGAATAAGTCCACCGGCCACCATTAGATGGGTGGTAATACCTACAAAGAGACAACAATGAACTAAGAACCAACAAATCCGCAGGTTAGAGATGGCATTGGCGACTTGACAGTGCAGTAAACAAACTGTTCTAAGAGGTCGACCAATTTCTCTAAGTGCTTTCCTGTTGAACTACCAGGCTTCAGTAGATAGACCTGCATTAAGGCCATATAGAAGGTGGCGAATGAGAATGCACACAAACACACAGACATATTTATGAAAGTAATACTGTGGAATAGGATTGTCAATCTTACAACTGATTTAGCAATAGCTTTTGTTGGGGTCATTGTTCTATTTGAAAATAAGAATCTTGTATTTCTAGGGACATCAACAGGGAAAGGGTATGATCCACTTCCATTTGCCACTGGAACCTGTTAGTTTCAGGCAATTTGCTTAAAGATGTTAAAATATTCTAAATTGTAATATAGATGGCCAAAGTCACATACATTAAGAAAAAGAAAAGGCGAAAAGGAAAGAATACTGAAAATGCGATTGCAATAAATGGTCACTACATAAAAAATGGCATGGATTCAATGAAACTTCAAGCGATCAAGTAAAATATGAAGCAAAATAATAATCCGAGGAACAGATACCTCAGATTCACTGCATATGGTTGCCATATAAGGTGTTAATGCAGGCCGAGTTATGAACAGAGGTTAACCCAAAAGCACCAAAAGCTACTTGGTTCCAATATCAATGACAGGAACTGAAGTACCAAGCAAACTTACCTCAAACATGTTTAAATATCGAGTGAATAGCACAGGTAAGAAGCATTCCCAATCAACAAAGTCATAGTTTTTTATGACCCGAGCTATAACGGCCGACCACTGACTGTTCCAGAACTGGCAATTTGGTATAGATTCCCACAGCTCCATAGTCTTTCTCACCCAATCACTGTCATGAAAGAATGAGCTTCAAGATTTCCGTATAAATGTGGTCAAAATGCATCAAGACACCCCAAAAGTCGCGGTCCTTACTTGGTATAAAAATCCTGGTTTTCCAAATTTGTTGGAAGGAACAGTCGTACAAACCCAGATCCTTCGAAGGATGAATTATGCCACGGATTTTCCATTAGAGAACTGTAAAGACGTCGAAAATTTATCAGTATTGCACAATGGAAGAGCGAGGATATTAAGCCCAAAGATTGTTAAAGCCAGATCGTCTTATTTATATTTTATGTATATCCATGAATATAGTGAGATGGGAAGAAGTAATGGCCTATCCTAAACAAAGCATGAAGCTTTCTGTGTAAAGAACGTGCCAGTGGGGATATCAAATGGCAGCATATAAGTAACGGTCCATACTCGAAATAAACACATGAAACCAGCTAAACTTCCAGCAATGAATCACATGAAATTAGCATGTATTACTTAAGCAGCAGGAAAGAAACCACAAAGCAGAAATATTTGAAAGTAGATGCAAAGCCACACACCTAAATTCAGACCAAATCTCAGAGGCTGAACCAGCAGGAAAGAACCTCCTGCATGATCTAACAAGCGAAGTGATGGCCTCGAAGTGTCGCTGCCTCACCCTCCACCCTTCTGGACCAGTACTCCTGTTACGAAACCGGAATTTTTGTGAAGTACAAGAAGTAGGAAATACACAATTCAACTGAAAATTTCCGCCCAATTTTAAGAACATCTTGCCAAAAAAATTAGCTAACAAACCTTGAGAAATGAGTGTGAACCAGAGTATCGTACAAAGGGCGCCATTGTACTTTCAGCGTCAACTTCTTCCTATACTTATTAAGCACTCTCACCAAAATATTTCCCCATCTTACCTGAACAAAGCAAAATTCGCAAACGCATAGAGCTAAGTAAAACAACAGAAGGAACAGAAAAAATATAATTTTTGCGACAAAATGATCAAGTAACCTGAGCATAAAGCTTGTCCTGCGAGACACCAAACAGCTCCAGCCCAATTTCCACGACGGCGGTGACATCTTCCAAGGCCACGTCGCTCTTGGCCTTGAGGAAACTGGGGAAAAGAATAAACAGATAGGCAAACAATTAAGCAGAAACTCCATTACAAATAGCCAATTCCCGAAGTCAAATCAGCAAAATGGAAGCCGAAGCGATTCCAGAATTCTACTCACACGTCGAGGACGGAAATCCATTTGAGAGTGGCGTAGACGGAATCAGGATCTTCGGGTTTGTACGAGCTCCGCATGGAGCTCACGACGCGGGAGAAGGCCTCCCCTTCCTTCTTCGTCTCCTCCGCCACCGGCGGCGGCAACCATGCATTATACAGATGCATATCACTTCCTCCAAACCCGACAACTGAATTCAAAGAAATTGAAATTCAAGGGATTGAAATTGGGAGAAAATGAAGGGAAGGTGTTTGATGTTTTGCTGCAGTGAAGCTGGGAGAGTAATAATTTATAGCGGGGTAGAATTTTGGATTTGGGGATTTTTTTTAGTTTATTTTGGCTTGTGGGTTGGGTCAGTTCTGTTTCTTATTAAACAAGAAGGAAATGTGAATGGAAAGGAAAGAAAGAGACCGCGGCTGACCGGTGATTTTGCGCGGGGAATTCGATCGATGGCTACCGGCGACGACGACGACGACGACTTTTGGGGGGCGGCTGCAGCTACAGGATCTAACCAGCGCGGGTAAATTGCCAATTCCTAGATGGATGGATCGTCGTTGAAAGGGTAGGTAAATTGTGGAATAATGCCAATTTAGCCCCTAAATATTTTTCTTTTCCCAAATGAGCTACTAAACTTCTATTATTTTACTTACAAGTCCACAAACAGGTCCCACTCAAAGGTTGACCTGGGCTTATTAGGCACCAGCCCAATCGTTCGCGAGGGAAGTCCAGGAGCCCAAAGGCCCGTAAAGAAAGGAACTGAGCTAGGAGATAATAATTTAAATAAATAAAAAGAAGAAACCAATATTACCGTTAAGGAAAGTAGCCGTTGAAACAGGAGAATCCCAGGCGTTTCACCAGCAACCTATATATACACCTGAAACTTCCCCTCCATCTTCATTTCCCTCCATTACCAAGCAATCGATCCACTCTCAATCTCTCAACTCGCCTTCCTTTCTTGCCTTCTGTTCCCAAGTCTTACTGCTCATTCATTTTCTTCTTGTTCTTCTGCGTTGCTCTTCCGATTGTACTCTGTTTCCATACTCTCAGTTCAGTTTACAGTTCCAATTTCCATTAATCTTTTAACAAATGACGGAATCCCATCACATCGTCGAGATTCCAGTCGACAACGAAGAGCAGAGGCAGCTCCTCGTCGTTGCCACGGCGATCCAGAACCACCCGCTGACGGAGATCTCCTGCAGCCCGGGGCATTTGCTCCTCCTGAAGCTGTGGCAGAGGGAAGAGGAACTCAGCGGGCGGCGGATCGCCGCCAAGGAATCGCGACTCGATTCGATCAAGCGAGAGATCTTCCAGCTCTGCTCCTTCTTCCTAATCTTCCACGGACTCTTCTTCACCATCCTCTTTACTTCTTCATCTTCTGGAGAGGGGAAGTGCGGGAAATGGTGGGTACCAGGGGTAGTTTCCTTGTGCACCTCACTCGTGTTTGTGTGGTTGGTACAGGTGCAGCTGTACAGGTACTGGAAGGTGTGGAAGAGAGTGGGGAGGGAGCGGTGTGACGGGCGCGCGGTGGCGAGGTGCATTCAGGAACTGAGGATGAAAGGCGGGAGCTTTGAGCTGGGGAAAGATCCCTACTGCACCGGCGGCAAGAAGATGAAGAGTTCAAGTGTGGAAATTAAGTGGAAGCCGGTGAATTGGGTTTCCCAGAACTCAGTGGTAATCGGTTTGCTTTGCTTTGCGGGGTTGGCAGTTTTGGCTTCAAGATTAGTTCTTTGCGGCGGATTTTAGTAGAGAGGAGGGGTAGCAGAGATTTATGGCAAACAGAGACGGTGGTTCGAGGTAAGACGAATGATTCATTTGTTGAGATAATTATAGAGATAGTCCCGTTTCATTACCTTGAGGTAAAGATCTGATATTGGATTCTTCGGTCGTTGATATATGCAGATTTGTGTTGGTGACAAAGGGGGATGGGGAGCAAGAAAGCATTGCCATGTGAATGCAAAATAATCGGAAGAATTGGTTATGCAAGAGAATTTACCATGACGAAACTCGGAGCTTGAGACGACAGGAGGAATGGCGCTGCTACTACTACCCCTAATTGCTAAAGATCTAACTCGCCCTAACCTCAGAGACTTGACTACTTTGGGAACTTGTTGTACACATCACATACACTGCTTGTGTGAACTATTTTCTTTCAGTAGGCAAAAGTGCCATTCATTCATTCATTGATTCATTCATCCATCAATAAGACTAATAACATTCATTCTTCCAAGTAACTGAGATTTGAGAGATTGGTGGTCATAATTAACTTGCTACTACAATTTCAAGTAAAATGCATACGAGCCGGTACAAACAAACTCTAGGCCGAGTCGAAGCCAAATATACGGAAAACACCTGCAATAACAAGAAAAATCAAGTTGGATGGGGATTGGATTTATGAACTCATTCACATTTCTCAAATTCAATGTAAATGAAGAAAGAAGTGCAGCACCTTCATCAGCCTGGTATTTGTTCTTGTCATCCCCAGCATATGCAAGTAAATTGTACTTGGGGTTCCACTCGACACTGTTCATGGCAGCTCGACAAGGGATCTGGTGAACTGTTCGACCAGTTTGAACATTGGACTGTTTTGAACGATTGCAGGGTCAGGCAAAAGAAACAGTAACTGGTTTGAAGATTAATAAAGTTTCAGGAAACATACTATGTCGATAAACAAGTCTTCACTTGCAGAAGCTATGAACTCTCCAGTGTGATTGAAGCTTATTGTCCTGACAGGCCACCTGAGTTGACAACATATAGTTTATCCCCCAGTTAGTTTGTTCGTTGAGAACTTAGATATAAGGTAAGACAATAAAAGGAATAGCTCCAAATAAGACTAATCAAAACTCACTCTAGCTTTGTAAATGTCCTAACACAAAGCATCTCTGATATATCCCAAAGACTGACTAGTGAATCAGCACTCCCCACTGCGAAATATCTGTGGGCAAAGAACTTAAGTTAGTGGTTCTATGACTCACGTTCAGTTCACATACCATTAAAGTTTGGAACTTTGAAACTTCTGAACCCGACCTTCCTTTTGGATCAATGGCGATGCAATAGCACCCAGCTGTATGTGCCATAAGAGTGTCCACTGGCCGAAGAGCTGGGTATGCAAGCACTTCAACAGTACCTTAGGGGGAAAAACTTAGCAATAAGATAACCTGAGCACTGTTCAATGCAAAATAAGCAATGGTCATTGAGAAAATCGTTATTACCATTCCCAGTTGTCAAAAGGAACATCCCTCCTGTCATATCCCAAGCAATCTCATTAACCTAAGAAGAAGAGAGCACGATACATATTTCAGGTCACAGTAAAAGCAGATACAGGTCAATAAGAAGCATCCTCATAGACATAAAAGTTCAAGTTATAGGCATCAAATATAATATACATTCTCCTTTGCAGTTTGACTATTGGTCTTGAAGAACATCCAAAGGAAACACGAGCTTGATTCGTGAATAGGCTTACCTCATAATTAAACTTGCGTTTGTGGATTGGCTTAAACTTCCGAACATCCAAAATTGTCAGTTCGTCGTCCTACAATAAAAACATACGATCACGAAAATTACTTCCAGATGGGTTGAAAGAACATACTAGATTATAAGCTCATAGACAAACTACCAGAAATACTCTCGGTTTCGTATGTGTTAACATACCCTATTACCAACAGCTACGTGGGTGCCATCTGGTCTGTAGGTAATATTAATATTTTCTCCACTAAGTTCTGCCTGCTGAGAGCATTTTCCACCTGCAGAATTCCAAGGAAAAATTGATTGGACTCTCTTCTCCTAACATTCATGTAGTAAGAAAATGGAAACCAAGACTGTGCTTCCATTTAGGCTCAAAATCTTAACATATAAGGCAATCTTGTTTCTGCTTCCTGTTCATCCATTTTCCTTGCTGAATACTGGTACATGAAAGTGAAAATTACTCACTGCGTGCATCCCATAGACGAACAGTCTTGTCTCCAGATGCAGTTGCAATAAGCTCAGAATGTTTAGGATCCCAACAGAGCTGATCTACACTATCTGTGTGGCCTTTCAACTCGATGTCTTTAATTTTTCCCTGCATCAGATATTTTAGCATTAATATACACATCATGCATCCGACTGCCACAGAAGGAGACATTTGCAACTGATAGAGCACCAAACAGAACTTGGCAATCTTCACAAGGAGACTACACTGTGCTGATGGAAGCATCTAAGTGAAAACTTAACTTCCTACTTCCTAAGCATCAGCAGCTAACAAACTGAACAAGAAGAATGCCCGCAACGACAGCTACTAAGAATAACTGACAACCATTTACGGAAATCAAATACCAAGCACATATAGCTCACTATATATACACACACATCGAATCGATGACATTCACTAGAGACCCAATTGGTTTCAGGAGGAACGAGCCATTAATCACGTTCCAGAAGCACCCCCAAATCTCAAAAACGTCAATTTAGGAATCTAGGAATTGCGAAGTAATAGCTTTGTATGACTCACATGGCTGTGGGGTTCAATGAGCCAAATTCGAGCAGTTTGATCAACGGAGCCAGAAGCGAGCTTGGTACCAGTACAATTCCAAGCCACCGAATGAACCTAACGATCCAAGTCACACACACCCATTAACGGAGAAACAAATTACCAACAACAAGAAATGGAAGATTCGGAAAGAGGGGATAGTGGATAGATTGGGTATGCTAAACAGCGAAGCAGAAACCTTCTTCTTGTGACCTTGGTACTCTCTGCTGTGCAAGTTCTTGAAGGGTATTGCTGTTTCCTCCATCGTTTTTCTCCGCCGCTCGGACAACGGAAGACGGTGGAGGATGGGAGCCGAAAGGCGGAGAATGCAGAGTAAGCTACCGGTGGCGCCTAATTTGATTATTATAGACGGCGGGACCGACTACTAATTGCCGGGTTGCCGAATTTTAGGGCACCACTAAATTCAATTAATTTCATTTTGGTTGCAACCAAAATATAGGTGGTTTGTTCTTTCTCAAAACAAAAATTCTAAAAATATAGGTGGCTTGCATGAGTAATTGACAGGAATCCATTCAATTAAATTGATTCATTTAATCTAATTATCTCGTTTTGACATAATGGATCAAATTGATTCATTCATCATTAAAAAAAATTGGATATGGCAATTTAGGCAGATGAATTTTAAGTTTTTCCTTTATGAGAAATTTCCATTGTTATTCATACAAAAAAATTCATTGTTCAGGGAAAAGGCACGTAATTTGTATTGAATTATTATAAATCACTCATTTTTATTGAATGAGACAAGTGGAAGTAGGAAGTTAATTATTATTCACTAAAGCGATAAATTATCATTTCGAAATTATCTTTATTAGTTGTTTCGATTGTTCAGGCGTTGGACTCATATGAGAAAGATTAGAAGTTCGAAATTTAGTGACTTAATACCAATTTATCTTTTTATATGAATTTATCAAGTATTCGTGGAAGTCTATTTTTGTATGTTACTACATTGCTTTATAAGAGGCACGTACTCATCGTAAGAAGTAATTTTGTGCTTGACTATGGGAGGGGATAAAGTTTATGATTTTTTCACAACCAAGTGAAAAGGTGACGTTTAAATGTCGACATGCCAAAACCGTGTAAAGAGAAATCTACTTGCCTAAGTCAAATAACAAATAACTAATTGCCTAATTAGCCACAAGACAGAGAAATAACAAATAACTAATTGCGAGTTAAACAACATTTTGTACATGACAAATTTGAGCTTCTTACATCCATGAAGTTAAAGTTTAAGCTAAAATTTTTTTTCTTCATCTTAAAACAAGGTATATACTCAACCAAACACTTCTAGATACCCCAACGTTCATGTGATTGATGAACCCATGGTGGTTGAATTACTTGTCCTCCGTGAAACGATTTTATGGTGCATAAACCATGGTTTCACGAAAGTTCGGTTTGAAGAAGATGCGAAGGTGATCATTGAGAAGATCATTCAGTCGGATACAAGAGATAGTAGGATGAGAGCTATTCTCGAAGAAATTGTACATTACTTTACCATCCATACGGGGTTTAGTGTTATATTTGTAGGTCGGCGTAGCAATAGGGTAGCCCATTTGGTGGCTCGAAAGACCCTTTCTTTGTACCCGACTACAAATCGTTTGTTTGATTTTCAGGCCTGACTGAATTACAGAATGTAACTATCTAGTTTTTTAAATCAATACATAATTATCTTTTGTTTAAAAAAAAATACCCCAACAAAAATCATACACAAGAAGTTAACTTGTCAATTCTCATCCCCAAACATAGGTAATTAGGTATAGCAAATACCATACTTCAAATGCAAATTATGAGATGCAATATTACATCATACTGAGAGAATGGTGGTAAGACTAGAGAGCTCAATCTTATTAAGCTCAAAGAAAACAAGAATAGAAGCAATTCAATCTCCTTTCTCTTTTGCCTCTCCTTTCCTTTGACAAGTACCATGGAACAACAATTGCTCATAGTACTGCTGACTACATTACAAGCTCGATGTCTAAATCTAATTACTATTTCTTCACAACTCCATCGGTATCAACTCACACCTTTATCTCCTCTTCCACAATCCTTCTCTTCATTCATCGATATGGTCACCTTCGTCGTCCACAAGCGTCATCATCATCAGCCCATTGAGTAGAAGGCTAAATGCAAACAGAAACTCGTTGATGTTCACCACTGCATATTTTCACCCCCCAGCTGACTCCTATACCGTTTATCCTATCAAAGTAGAGCAACAAATATAATGTAGCAGGACATGTCTATCTTCCTGTTTGTCAATGTAGAAACATTCATGCAGAAATGAGTTATCGAATCGAACTGATATATGGGGCGATAGATGAAGTACCAAATGTTTTCAAGGCTAGTTGTCTTGTAGCACGTTCCACCAAATTCTTTAGGGCTTGAATCATCTCTTCTTACTCGCAAAATCATCCTTGCTGTTGCCCAAGAACACAAATGCACCAACTAATGTTTCAAAATAAGCCCTTCAAATTAAGCATTCCCAACTTTGGTTTCCAGCATGGTAATGGAAATACAATCACAGGAAGCAGCAAAATAATGAGCTTGTCTACAACTAATATTGCAATTTGCAAGGGAAGCCAAAAAGAGTAACTGAACACGGGAGTTTGGGTCACACAAAAAAACTTGCATGTACTAAAAATATGTTTGAATAATATCAGATATTTATAGTTTATAGATGATCTAGAGGACCATAAGGTTACTTGGAAGATAGAAAATCTGAAAGTGAAGTTGTTTTAAAAAGCAAAAAGTAGCAGCAAGTTATCATGTAAAAAATCCAGCAGCTACTAGCAGAAGGCGCAAAATTTATACCCTACCATGTATTGGTTAGAAAATAAACATGCAGCATCAATTATGTTACACACACAAAGCATTTACCACTCAGTTTTGACAGATTCTGTTCAGCAGCAGCATACTTGAGACGATACACCAGACAGAGAAGTGCTACGACCTCATGAAAGTTCATCCCACAGTTGTCATTAATACCACGTCCCTCAGAAAGCTCATTGATCTCCTCTTCAGTGAAAGAACTTTTCAGATTGTCCAACAATATCTACACACCACACTGACTAGGTTTTCAACGTCAGGAAATGTTGAGGTGAAACACTCCCACGCTCAACAAAACGCAATAGAAGACTATCTGCCTCCTTTGACTTTCCTTCTGCCTTCAGTTTCTTGCTCACCTTCTCACACAACTTTATGTCAGGGATCAAATTGCGGTTAAACATACGACAAGCAACATTATAAGCAGACAAAGGCACTCCTTTACTCAAATGACTCTCCATTAGCACATGGCATGTATTAGCATCAATTCTGGAGGCTGTTCTCAATACATTACCCAAGAGGTTGTCAGCTGCTTCTGGGTTTCCGAACCTACATAGCTTCTCAATTACTTGATTATACACTGTTCTGATCTTCTGTCGTGAAAGCATTTTATCCAACAATTTCAACAGATCTTCCACTCTACCCATTTGGCAATACCCATGGATCACCGTTCTAAATGTCACGGGTGTAGGATCTACACCTTGCTTAAGCATCTTTGTAGCAATCTCGGTAGCTTCATCCATTCTACCCTTTTTACACAGTGCATCAATTACAGCAGTATAGGTGACTGCATCAGGATGCTTGTTGCTCAGGTACATATCATCCAGCAAAGACAAAGCTGCTTCTAAGTTATCATTCTGACAGAACCCATGAATAACAGTAGTGAAGTTCACTGAATTCACAGCACAACCATTATGTAGACACTCCTCCATGAACTTCTTAGCAACATCCGCCTTACCTCCACTGCAAAGTGCCTGGAGTAGTTGATTAATTTCAACAGGAGTAGGGAAAAACCCTTTGCCAACCATCTCTCTCACCACATCACAAGCTTCAGACAGTTTTTCCTCCCTCCTTAACCCATGCATGACGACACTATACGTGATGACGTTCGGCGTCCACCATTCTTCCTCACTCATATTCATCATTTCCCTAGCCTTGGATGAGTTTCCATTTCGACAAAGCCCATTCAAGAGAGCTGTATATGACACAGTATTAGGCTTGCAGCCATGTTTGTACATTTGCTGAAGCATCCTTGTAGCTTGTTCGACCTCCCCAACTTGACAAAGTCCATTAACTACAGCAGTGTAGGTCACTACATCAGGAGCACAACCTTTGGACAACATTTCATTCACAATTTCTTTTGCCCGGTCCATCTTACCTTGCTTACAATATGAGTCAACTACTGCACTATACTCAACCTTATCAACCGGAAACCCTCTTTCCTCTGCTTCCCTCAAAAATACAAGTGCTTCATCTGAATGTTGGTGCTTGGAAAGAACATGAATCAGAATGTTGTAAGTAACCTGATCTGGCAACAACTTGCTACTCTTAACCATAGTCTCCATTAAGCTCCTCACCTGTTCGATCCTCTTCTCTTTGCAAAGAAAAGTCATGACAGTATAGTAACTCACTTTGTCTGGAGGACACCCTTTGAATGGCATTTCAGCTATAAGCTCCATAGCATCTTCCACTCGGTGAACATCACAGTAACCTTTGATCAAAGCGTTATACGTTACAACGTTTGGAGTGATACCAACAAGTTGCATCCTTTCCATAAACCTCAATGCTTTGTCCATCCTATTCGCCAACACCAAAACAAGGATAGTGGTGTTACATATGAGCAGGTTAGGTTCAATGCCAGCTTTCTGCATCCTTGTCAACACCTGCATTGCATTCCTCAACCTACCAGCTCGACTATATGAAATCATTAAATAGCTAAATATTTCAGGCCGTCGTTCAACACCCCGGCGAGCCATGAGCACAATTATTCTCCTAGCACCTTGACATAATTTGGTTTTACTGAGCATCTCAAGCAACACATAATAAACTATAGGGTGGTGCCTGTACCGCCACTGGCGGTCAGCCCAATAGAAGAAACTCAAAGCTACTCTCTCATCTGCTTGAGATCGCAGAACAGCACAAACTAATCGAGGCTTGAGGCTTCTGAGCAAGTTCTTCAGTTCCGCTTCCATCTTAGGATTCCAAGCTGACCTACGATCAATCAACCTGCAGACTTCCCTCACCAAAGGATGCCGAAGTTCATGTTCCCCTAGCTCAATTCTCATTGTCTCTTGCTTTTGCTCACGATCCCTGTTGAAGGAATCTAACACCTTAAAGCTTTTCTCATCATCATCTCCTCCGTCTACATCTGATTCCTCAAACTCATCGGAGCAATCCGATTCAAGAACCTCATGAGCCCTAACCTCAACATCCGAAACACCCATTTGCCTCAACCTCTTGGAATGATCATTACCATTATCATCAAAATCACGTCTTTCAAAAGGACGAGAACGGAAATTGACGTTAGAGCTAGAACGAGGAGAGTGATCACTTGAAGACAACGAGGAGAACGAAAAATCAAACACTTGGTGGGCATATTGACAGCCCGTCGGTCTACCACTGGCCAAGGCTTCAGCGGCTGTCCTCCGAGCTGCTCGATAAGTACCCGAGCGAAAGATCATGGCGAACAATGTTATCGAATCAAAAACTGCAGGTACTCGAGCCTGGGGGAAAAGAACGATGAACAGATTCAACCGTCAGCCATGGAGAAGCAAACAGCCTCAATGAAGAGACATTCCAACTTTGCCAATAAATTATGAAAATGAGCACTCTCAAGTCTCACCTCCTCAGACTTCTCTATTTGTTTCACCGTCGAAGAGTGAACCGCAAAACAGCACGTAATCGCCGGGCAGAGGCGGCGGAAACGAAGCCAGAGTCTCGGGGGACTGTCGGAGAAGAAAAGGTGAGTCGGGAGACTGGAAACTGATGTCTACGTGGCAAGGCTAAGCCGCTAAGGACAGGAGAGCGGGACTAGGGATTCCTCATTCCTGCGCGCGGTTTGTTAACCACTTTGATCGGCGTCGTTTCGGTCAGGGAAAATGTATATAGGTTAACAGAAGGGTTAATTGCTTTTCTAGTACCCGTACTATGAAATTTTAACAAGGAAGACATAGAGATACAAATAATGGAAGTAACATTGATAGCTATTTACATTACAAGCTCGATCACTCTGTCTATAGTCATTTATTCCTACAGGGCTAGATGTCATCGATAGCAGCAAGTAGCTCTTCTCAACCATGGTGTGGCAAAAAGGCATTCTTTGCATCTCTGTCTTTCATTCACCATCCTTGGCATTCTCATCACCTTCTTCGTCGTCGTCATCATCCTCAATGCCAACCCACTTAGTAAAAGCAAACAGAAACTCCTTGATGTTCACCATCCCATTTTTATCCCAGTCCATCTCCTCTGCCATTATCATGTTCATAGTTAAAAGCAATTCAAGCCCACAAGCCGAACGAGCTTCCAACACAACAAGGTGGAGTGGTGGAGGGAGAGAATTACCGAATCTCCTCAAGGCTATTCGTCCAGCAGCACGTTCCCCTGAGTCTTGTATGGCTTGTATCAGCTCATTCTTGCTCACGTAGCCATCCATGTTCTTGTCAAAGAACACAAATGCATCGACCAGTGTTTCGAAGGAAGCCTCCAAGTTTGGCATCCCCATCTTCGGTTTCTAGCATTGGTCATGGAATACATCGGCACATGAAGCAAAACTAATAATGGTACTTGTTTACTACCATTAGTACCTGGGATGCCAAGATGCTAAGACCTGGGGAAAACTAGAGTCTAAGCCTGAAAGTAAAGGAAATTATATGCTCTTTTAGGAAAAGAGATTACTAGGGAGAAATAAACAAGCAGCATCAAGTATTCTAGGCACAAACTGGTGAAGCATGTGAACACTTTGTTCTGGATACGTTAGGATCAGCAGCAACAGCAGCAGCCTTGAGAAGATACACCAGGCAGAGAAGTACTATGAACTCATGGAAGTTCATTCCATAGTCGTCATTAATATCGCACGCCGCAAAGAGATCATTGATCTCCTCTTCAGTGAAATAGATTTCCAGCTTATTGAAGCACTTTCTCAGCTCTTCATGATCAATGGTGCCATTGCAGTCCAAATCTAGAAAGCAATACAATGAAGACTGACCCATTAGGTGTAATTAACCAAGAAAATATGTAAACTAACTTTGAAACTGTGCTGCCAAAGGGAGGTGCAGGTGTTCTTTTGACACTGAAGGGGGGAACTAAGTAGATCTAAAAATGACTATCCATCCATGCTTAAACTGATGCTAAAGGATTACAGTGTGATTCTTCTGACACCAATAGTTTGCTTGAAAGTGGATGTGCAAGGATTTCGAACACCTACCGAATTGCTCAAAAATGGCTTTGCATTTCTTTAAGCTATTGTCAATCTTGGGGAACTTCAAGAGTATGCTGTTGAATGATCTCAAGGAACATCCTGCAGCTTCTCTCTGCTTCATGGCATCAAGCATTTTCGACTCGATCTTCGTTTCTGGTACCCATACTCTTCTAGGCGATTCAGACTTCACCGCATCGCCTCCCATTGCTGCGCTTACCAAGACAGTCGGGGTAGGAGATATGACCTGAATTCCAACCTACATAATGAATTAGACCCAGGTAAGAGAACACTTCAACAAGCATTGATGAAGCCATATGATGAACATCGAAACTTCAAACTTGGAGGTAATCATATTGGTACTAACGATTAATCACCCGATCAGCCTAAGATAAATAGATTCAGGAATCAAAATCTCTACACTGAAACTTCCCGAACAAGGAATCCTATCAGTAGGATGATCTTGTAAATCTGGAATGGCTATCGTTCAAATCGGAATCATATACTGGATTAGACAATGGAAAGGAAAACGTACACGAGAGAGAGAGAGGAACCTGGAGGAAGGCTCCACCAATTGTTGGCCGGAACTTGATGGCGAAGATGATCGGAGAAACTGCCAGCTAGCACCAGAATCCACCAGAAACGCTATCGGAGGACAACGAAGAAGAAAATGATCGGAGTCGGAGACGACAGTTTATGTAATCCAGGGTTAATTAGCATAAATGATAACAAACCTTTGCACTTAGTACAAAATGGTCACAAACCTTTAATTTTTAACAATACAGTAACAAAATTTTGAAATTGTATAAAATGGTCACCGCTATTTAATTTATTACCTTTTTGTTTTAAGTGCAAAGATTAGTTACCGAATCGTTACAAATTAAATGTTTGTCATGTTTTGAGGTCGGGTAGTTTGTTCGTTAAGTATATGAGACTAACCACTTGAACGACATATAAGATGTCAGGTCATGTGTTCATCGACATATTTGCTTTGCCGAATAAGAATGCCCTCAGTTGACTTTTCAATTTCGATACCAAGAAAGTAAGAAAGTAGACATAGTTTTTTCAACTAAAAAGCAGCCTGGAACCCGTTTGTGAGCCATTGAATTCTCTCATTGTCATCCTAAACAACAGAATATCATTCACATACATTAACAAAACCACCATACAACTAGAGTGAATTGTAACAGTCATTGAGCGTTCAAACTTTTGAACTTAATTTGTACAAAACGGTCACCAAAAGTCTAATTTGCAACGACACGGTAACAAAAGTTTGAACTGGTATGAAATGGTCACACTGTTTAATTTGTGACCGTTTTGTTCCAAGTGAAAAAGTTTTATTATCAAATGGTTACAAATTAAAGGTTTGTGACTGTTTTGTACTAAGTGCAAAGGTTTGTGACAATTTATGCTAATTACCCCTGTAATCCAGTCCCGCCGCTGACTTTTCGAAACTTGCGCCTGTTTCATATGGAAAAAAAAATTACAGGCAAAGCCCAATCTAGAGTACTTGGGCCGATAATAGCCGATCATGCTAGGCCCGGATTAGGAACGGACCTACCCAGGACCACGTGGCGAACTGGGAAGTTAAGATTTCTCTTCCTTTTATCCACTTCCAAATTCGCGCTACTGAATCCCTCGTCCCGCCTCTTCCGTCTCCTTCCTTCTGCTTTCCCCTCTCATTTTCTCTGCAACCTCACAAAAAAGTAACCAAGACAGCAGAAGCAGGACAGTAAGGGAAAGGGATTCAGACTCAGGCAAAGCTACGACGATGGCTGTATTGCCTTACTCGATCCCGCGGACTCTAGTAGGTACGCCGTTTCAAGCTTCAATTGATTTCCTTCTCGAGAAGCTTATCGGAATCGAAAAATCCTGCTGAATTACCGGAGGATTGAAATTAAAATAATCTCGTATTCGAATTCATCAGGTACTCCACCTCCCGGCGCGATCCCGTTGAGTTTCAGTGGCGGCCGCGTGATTCGCTGCTGCTCCACCGTGGAGCTCACTAGCAGCTGGCGCGATTTCAATCGGACGAGAACCTGCGTTCTCGCGAATCGTAGGAATGTGATCGGGGTGATTCTTCTGGGAGGTTCGAGTCTAGTAACTGGTGGATTTGAGGCTGCAGGAGCGGGGTTGCCCCCTGAGGATAAGCCCAAACTGTGCGATGAAAGTTGCGAGAAGGAGCTTGAAAATGTATGGTGAGAAGGGAGAGGTTCGATTGTAGTAGTTACGGATTTCTGGACTAAATTCGTTGCTGATGGTTTTAATCTTATGATTTGAATTTGAAGGTACCCATGGTGAGTACTGAATCTGGGTTGCAGTACAAGGATATTAAAGTAGGCGGAGGGCCTTCTCCTCCTGTTGGTTTCCAGGTGATTCCTGAATCTCTTTTCAGTCCCAATTGAATACAGTTTGGTACATCGAAGTCGCTGTCCAGTTCGAAAGTGGCACGAACAGTTTGTCTGAGATTGATTGTTCTCTGGGTCTTGATTCACATTCTAAGATTGATTCTTATTAGTGAGGATAACATCCTCACTACTGTGATTTACTTGTTAAGTGATGTCTAGACGCCTTTGGAAGATTCATCAATGTCATAGACTTACTAATTGTTGCTGGTTTTCAGATGCAATGCAAAAGGAACCCTTGATTAGATTAAGCTTAGCTTGAGAGCTGACTCATAATACAAATGTGGATTCTAAGCTGCTATGGTGTTTGATCCCTTAGCTTCCTTTTCAGTTTGTTCTCTGTGTCTGATGCTGGTATCGATGCAAACTTTCAGGTGGCTGCTAATGTTGTTGCCATGGTTCCGTCGGGACAAATCTTTGATAGGTACTTTGTCCTGCACCATGATCTTCAAAAACTTGATTGCTGCTAATCACCCGTTAAATGTGTGTGTTCTAATATCTGATTGTGCAGTTCTTTGGAGAAGGGGCAACTGTATATTTTCCGTGTTGGCTCAGGTCAGGTAATGATCATTTGCAGAAGATTCATAATGTGTTTTACAGTGCTTTTGTAAGTTGTGCGCATTGTGGCTAATGTCTGGGATTAACTAGAACAGGTGATCAAGGGGCTCGATGAAGGGATCCTAACCATGAAAGTTGGAGGCAAGCGACGGCTCTACATTCCTGGACAGGTAATCCTTCCTTCTTAATACCATCCATCACAAGTTTCATGCATGAGGGAAGAACATGAACAAATATAACTCCTTTAAGCTACTGTTATGCTTCTAGGGGTTTTCTTACAGGTTTAAGTATAGTGGGGCTCTAAACCTATAGCATATGAACATTTGTGTGTATCCAAAGCCTTCTGGAAATGCAGATTGTCAGTAACCAACCAACCAACCAACCAACCCTGAGGCATTCTTTTGTTTGTGTTGGATCAGTTGGCGTTTCCGAAAGGACTGACTTCGGCTCCAGGAAGGCCGAGGGTGGCTCCGAACAGCCCTGTAGTCTTCGACGTCAGCCTTGAATACATACCAGGCCTCGAAGCGGACGAAGAGTGAACTGTAGAGACCACTCCATAGCTAGCCGCTACGGTAAACACATCTCCTCCTGCTGCTTTCCCCAATTCTTTTCCGGCTCCGTCTGTTCATTCATTTCCTCAAAAAAAGATGTATAATATCGGTCAGCAGAACTCAGAGTTATGCGAAGGCTGAATGCCCCTGAAACTTGTTGTCGAATTGGGCTTGGGCTTGGTCTTGGGCCGGAGACATCTGAAATGGGCTTTCGTTTAATGTTGTTGTAGTAACTACCCTACTGAACAGTCTCGCTTTCCATTTCGATGGGCCTCGAAGATGTCAGATGCACAAGAGAGACAAGTTAGCTCAGAATGGAGGAAAACAGATGTTATTGATTCGACGCACTGATAAGTAAAAAGAAAGATTAGATTCGAGAGGTGAAAGGAAATCAATCTATCACCACTATATACTTGCCTGCCAGTCTAGTCTGCCACTAGTGTAAAATCAACGGAAGAACCAACCACCCAACCCAGAAATGCACGTGGTGGAGATTGACTGGTAACACACAAGCAGACCACTAGAGAGAGAGAGAGAGAGAGTATGGTAGCAGAATATAGAAACTGGGGAAGTTCGTGAAGCGGCAGGTCACGGGTTCTGTTTTCTGGACTGGAGATTGGAGAAGAAGAAAAGAAAAGGCAAGAAGCATGCAAATGAACAAATGGTAAGGAGAAGAGGGAATCCAATCCAACCAGAATATAATAATAAATTAAACTATTAATGCTAATGTGGTCAAGGGCATGGAATGATGTGTCGCTTTCATACATATCCGAGAAATAAAGCTGTTGTTGAGCAAGAGAATTTTGTACCATATGTGTACAAGTACAACTCCCCAATAGAATATGAATTTTATGATTACTACTATGTCACTCGCCACTTATGAAATCTTAATCCAACATAATGATAAATTACTTCAAATAATCATTTTCACTCTAAGCTAGGTAATGAATAGTGTGTGTACCACTTCTCTTTCCAAAATCGTGTTATAATTAGAAAAATGACTCACACTTTGCTACATAGATGGTGGTACTACGTCCGTACTCAGAGTGAGTGAGTCTACTAGAAGCAATAAGGTTTTCCACTTGGGTAGTTCCACGCAGCGATAACAATAGACAAAAGAGATCAACCAGCTTACAACATAGCCAATTGACGAAAGTAACAAAAAGAAATGTTGTGTGATACCAATGAACCTAAAAGTGTAGCCCCATTGGATTATAACCAAAGTTAATCTTGATGAGATGCGTTAAATCGACAAGATTATCTACGGGGTGAATGTCTCTGCGCACTAAAGTGCCACCATGAGATCATATGTGAATAATGTAGTAAAAGTGTAAAACGACTTGGCTTAGGTTGAATGAGCTTGATAAAACCTAACTCTTACCAGTCAGACTAGACTGTGGGAATCCCTTCAACGGAGAGAGCGGTGAACTAGAAGACAAACAGAAACAGCTCCCTCAAGGTGAAAGAAAGTTTTTAGGAACTTTTCAAATTAGAAGAGCTCTCGTTTGAAGGAGAAGAGAAGGGAAAATTGCTACAGCTTTAACCTTTGTGCTGCAAGCAATAGTTCTACTTGTCCACATTCCACCCCCTACGGTAAAGACAAGCCCACAGACAAACGAAAGGTGTCGGCATTGGCCAGCGGCAAATAATAATAATAATAAGGCCATTATTGTTGTCATTTGTCATTGTTACTATATACGTGTTCACAGTGAGACAGTGAGAAGACGTTTCTTAGGACAAGACAGGGTGGTTGCTTGTCTGTCTCTGTGTTTGCTGTGTACTGCAATTTCATTAATGGTTCTTGGTACTCTGTATTTTTATGTGTATTCTGTCTGTGTAGTGTAGCGCAGGCAGAGAGGAGAGAATTGGCAAATTGGATGCAGCTGAAAGTGACTTTGCCAATTTCTCTCCTTGGAGAATGAGACGATCAAGGAAGGAGAAGAGAAGAGAAGAGAAAGAGATATCTCCATCGTCTGGTCTCCATCCTCTGTTATCATCATCGTCTATATAGAGCAGAACCCCCCATCCTCTGTAAAAAGTTATCAATGTATATTTTACCCTCCCTCCCTGTGTTACAATGCTCCCACGGTTAAAAAAAGGGTTTTGGGGTTTTACTGTTTAGTATCCTTGGGTTTCAAATTGTGATATTTTTGTTTTCAGTTTCAGAAAAAAAGTTTGCCAGAGACTAGAAACTGAATTCGTGTTTGGTGCTTTCCCATTTGAGGTTTTGATAGCTGGTGTGATTGTTGTACATGGTTATTCATGTGGGTTCTTGATTGAATGGGTTGCTTGCTGCTTTCGGCTAAAGCTCAACAGAGATGGCGAATGTGCCAATCCAAACGTGAATGAATCGTGATGATACAAAAATTGCATGATCCATTGTGACTTTGTAGCCTCAATGACTTGACTGGCAACGAACCATTACCTAAAATAGTACGAGTTTTCTTGATGATCACTTTGACTAGATATAAAATAACATGACTTGGTGATCTTTTTTATGACCAACTACCTTATTTCGAATAGGATCGAACTTCTACAACAAAGCCCTAATACATTAAAAAGGGCGTATTGACATTCTCAAATTATCATATACATTATTCACTATGTGGAAGGCACGTCAAGGCTACCAATCATATGAAACCCTAAAATAATGGTCTTGTTGATTAGGGTTGCCAATCATACCATGCAAGTGAAACGTTCCTAATTGACTCTCCACGCCATTATAATCATCATCCAACCTGTATCGAAATATTCGACATCTTTAATATAAAAAAATTCACTACTAATACTATATTTCCATGAAATAAATAAAGGAAAATTGTGTGCACTATATATAGTCCAACTCATTATAACATATAGATAAAGAAATAACATAATCTACAAATAATTAGACAAAATCAGAATCTGACGAGAGTAAAGCCTAAATAAACAAACCACAGAAGCAAGCAATGATGGCATTATGATTTTGTGAACCTTTGTCTTGCATGCATGAATTAATGACCACAGTAGCCACAGTACGAGGGAAGTGGTTTTTGTTTTGTTTTCTGTCTTGAGCTTTGTTTTCCAGTGAATTCCAATTTGTAGTTTTCAGAGAGGGAAATAAAATATGGCCATCATTACCTAATCAGGATTCAGGTGACCAAAATTGTTTCACCTTTCAGTTTTCCCATTGAATTCTGAACTGCAATTAATTCTAACCAGTAACCATGCAAATGGCTAAAAACAAAACAAAATAGTCAGCTAGCTGAAAACAATTTACAAATAACAAATTAGGTTTGCAGGTGGAGTTAAAATCAAAGCATATACCATCTTATAAAAAAAAAATTCACAACTTCAAACATCTCCTCCTAAAACTCTTTACTCGTTTCTTCTTCTTCTCTTTCTATCACTATAGCCTCCCTCGTCGTCGTTCCTGTGCCACAAAGGAAATGTTGACACCTTCTTCCTTAGCTTTCTTAAGATGCTCCACTCTTCGAAGCAAACTTATATATTGTTAGCAGTTTATCGAGGTAATATTGCAGCATAATCTTCAAGAAAATGAAAGATAATGTAATGAAATTACGTTTCAACTTACGAACTCTTCACTTTTCTGAGTCTTATTCATTGTTCCTTATTCTTGTTCCCTCCATATGCTTAGAGACAAACCAAACCTTTAGTGTGCACTATGCTCAAAATTTAAATACAATTCTTATCAATCTTACCTTAAATGTGATTATAATATGGATTATCTATTCAAAGCCCAAACATTAACACACATGTGAACCAAAGCCCCACTTATTATATTATACTATTCATGGGGGGAGGTAAGTTAAGTTAGTAACCTTGACTCTGTTTTTTTTAACTCTTTTTGCTTTTGCTGACTCTGCTTTCTTCATGAACAGTACCAACCATAAGAACAGGCTTTATATGAATAAACAAAAGTTCATGCTGCTGCTACGATGAAGCCAAACCACAAGTGGTGGGAAGAAGAAGAAGAAGAAGGCGTAGGATTCTAGAAAGCAGAATGATCAAAGATCTGGAGACAAGGGCCTAGAAAAGGCGATAACTAAACTAAATCAGAACAGAGCACGCCTTCACTTTCTCCCATAAACACACTTTCATTTCCTTCTCCTCTCTTTCTCATTCGGCTCCCACCTTTATACTCCAGTACCTCCTCCTCCTATCTTTCCTGTGGATTAATAAGTGGATTGGTAAGATAAAAGTAGACATTGTACTTCTAAAGTTGCTACCATTTGGTTTGAACTTTGAACTTTCTTGACCTGTTAATGATCAGTGAACTTGTTAGGTCCTAGCCGGTTCTCGAGCTAGAATTTCGTCAAATTCTAAGTGAGAGTATCATAAATTTGTTCAACCGAAATGAGACTACTTGATCACTCATACAAAGTAAATGATGAATGAGATAATGATACATTTAGATGAAGGACTTTTTACCAAAAATATATAGAAGAAAGTTAGTTGGCTTATAGTAGTGGATACAAAATTGCATCTTGGTTCATGGAAAGAATTGTATTTTTTAATAAAGTACATCGAGATCAAATCTAGAAGATTAATGAATTATAATTTGATGGCAAAATCGTAAGTGAATCGCCATGGACTCGTATGGATTTTATTATAGATTTTCAAAGGTGATTGGTCCAACTTTATAGCTTACTAATTAATTGACATATTTGTACAAATTAACCTCTGGTAAAGATCCATTACATTCCAAAATCCAAACCCACAAACAAGCTGCAGGTAGATAGAATTTTGAACAAAATGGGCACGTAACCATTTCCCCAAAAGCTTAGAAAGGAAAAAGGGAAAAAAGATGTGCAAGGAAAGGAAAGAAAACCGGCAGACACAAAGCAGTGCACCGATGAGTCACAAAACCTAACAACAGAGAGAGAGAGAAAGCAGGGGAGAAGAAGGCAGAAGGCCACTCAACTCAGTCACTCGAACCTTCACCCAACTCAACGCAACTCAACCAGCATTTTCCTTCCCACCCCCCTTCCCCCATTTCCCTTTCTCTCAAGCAAAGTGAAATTTTTCCTCCCGGAGAGAAAAAAGAATCATACGATAAAGCAGGAGGAGGAGGAGAATCACAATCTAATCTACAGATATTAGATCCGCATCAGTAGCCTACCTAGCTAGTTTAGCTCTGCAGTTAGTTGTGCTTTATTTCCCCCGTTCTTCTCAAGCTACTATTTTTCTTCTCCCCATTTCTCAATCGATAACCATCATCAGAATCCACATTTTGTCTCTCCCACTCTCTTCAGCACCTAGAGGGAGTTAGGAAATTAGGCTCTGTTTCCGCTGGGGGATTAAAATAGCTCACAAGGTAAAGCTCAGCCCGGAAAGGGGGTTTGTAAATTTGCTATTTTATTTGTGGTTTTTGTTGATGAGAGCGAGATTGGTGATGGGTAAGAAGGGAACTGTTTGTTTGTCTTGTGGTGTCATTGATGGCGGATTTGGGATCTGTACAGGGGCAGGGGTCTGAGGCTAAGGCTAGTGTCGGTCGGCAGGCATTGCCCATTTTCTTTCTTCCCCTGTTTTTATGCACTGTATATTTAATCCTTTTGGTAACGGTTTTCCAGTGAATTCTCATTTATGATTCTTAGAGACCTCATTTATGGCTTTAATAAGTGGCTCTCTCATCAGTGTCATGGATTCCTTGTTGAGCTGTCCACTCTTCCCCTTTTAAATCCTTTCTCTAAAACTATGACTTGGGTTCTTTTAATATATATCTCCTGTTCTGGAATTTTGCTGGTTTAGATCTCTCGGCTTTTCCACCAAAAAAAGAACTCTGTTTACAGTCTGTTGAAATTTCCTGAAGAGGGGCGAGCCGGTTGAACATGGGTTCATACTTTATAGCTGTAATGTAATGATTTGTTTGCATTTAGAGTAAAAAAATTGGACAAAGGTGCCATCTTTCTTAGTTGAAATTTGATCTTCTTCTTGCTTCACAGTTCTTCTGGAGTTGCTGTGTGAGTTTGCGATGGAGATGAAGTAAATGTCTCACTATTGCATGTCGTCAAAGATGTCAGGTGAGTTTCTTAAATTCCGCAAACAGGCCTAACTTCAGATAAGTAGCCAGTACATTGTGTTTCTGATGAGGTGATCATTTGCAGAGGAGTTCCTTGTTGATGGTGATGAGTTTAGAGAGAGAAGATCCGATTTTGATAACTCTGAGGATGAGAGGAGGCGATCCAAGATTGGGAATCTCAGGAAAAAAGCCATCAATGCTTCTAACAAGTTCACTCATTCATTGAAGAAGAGAGGGAAGAGGAAGATTGACTACAGGGTTTGTTCAGTCCCCATTGAAGATGTGAGGGATGAAGAGGAAGAGAGAGTTGTGGACGAATTCAGGCGAAAGCTGCTGGAGAGAGAGCTGTTGCCTCCAAAGCATGATGACTATCATACTATGTTAAGGTCAGTGAGTCTTCAGAAAAATGTGCTTGCTTCTTGGAATATACTATGCAAATTCGGAAGGCTGGGTGTTGACTTTATGTGCTATGTCTTGTTAGATTCTTGAAAGCTAGAGACTTCAACATTGAAAGGACGATCCAGATGTGGGAAGAAATGCTTCACTGGAGAAGAGAGTATGGAACTGATTCCATATTGGAGGTAAGAAGAAATTAATAATGGTAACTTGGATCATTATGTTGGAATATAGATGGAAGAGGTATTTGAACAGTTTTTTCATGATTAGGATTTTGAGTTTGAAGAGTTGGAAGAAGTGGTTCAGTATTACCCTCAGGGGTACCACGGAGTGGATAAGGAAGGTCGTCCTGTTTACATAGAGATGCTTGGGAAAGCTCATCCGAGTAAACTGATGCGTATCACCACGATAGATCGTTATTTGAAGTACCATGTCCAGGAGTTCGAGAGGGCTTTGTGTGAGAAGTTCCCTGCTTGTTCGATTGCTGCAAAGAGAAAGATATGGTCAAGTACCACAATATTGGATGTCCAAGGATTGGTATGCCTTTCCAACCCTTTGATTATGAAGATATTTTGCAATCTTGGTTGTAATACACATATAATTTTTCATATCCTCTCTGGAAGCTTGCTAGCTAGTTTGGCTCACATTTATTCAGTATGTATGTATTCATGAAATATTATTTATGTTTTAATTCACAGGGCATGAAGAATTTCTCTAGGACTGCTGCAAGTCTTTTGGCAGCTATGGCAAGGATAGATAATAGTTACTATCCAGAGGTATTGGAATCACCGAGGGTCTTCTTGTTTCACATATTAATCTAGTTCTTACAGTTCTGGCACCATTTTGCAGACCCTGCACCGGATGTACATAGTTAATGCTGGTCCGGGGTTTAAGAAGATGCTTTGGCCTGCTGCACAAAAGTTTCTAGATGCAAAGACTATTGCGAAGATACAGGTAACAAACATGCAGTAGATTGTACCTTATGATGTCCTTTTCCGTGAATGTCATGAAGTTAATCCACTAATTCATGCACCATTTGCAGGTTCTGGACCCCAGATCTTTGCACAAGCTATTAGAAGTCATTGATTCCAGGTATGTATGTTTTTTTTTTACTTTTTGTCAATTCCAACTTTTGTATTTCTATAACCCTGACATGTATACTCTCTTTTTGATACACAGTCAATTGCCAGACTTCTTGGGTGGCTCTTGTACTTGCCCAGAAGGAGGTTGCCTCAGATCCAACAAAGGCCCATGGAATGATCCTGAAGTGATGAAGGTTTGACTGCCACAGCCTTCTCCTCTTGTTTTATTTTTGGTTAAGTTGGCTCCATCTCTGTGTTTATGTACATATCAGTACAAATTGAATCCAAACTCGTATTGTCTTCAGCATGTAAATAATGAAGCAGCAACATATTTGAGGCAACTGACCCGAGTCTCGACCGATCGGAAGAACCCATACATGACTCACCCTGAGAAGGTTGACCCAGGGTTGGATTATATTGATCTTTCCCCTACTGAAATCAACACATGGACGACGATTCCAAGTTTGGCCTCAGTTCGTGGTGAAGTAAGAGTATCTGATGCAAATGGATACTACAGCTGTGATGACAATCCCGTTCTGGATGAAGAGGGACTATGCAAAGAACGTCTACTTAAGGTCCGCAACATGAAGATCCTTTCTTCTGAGGCAACACACTGTTTTCAAGGTACTTACCTTTTTCTCAATGGAATATGCATTGTAGTTAGTGGCAAACCAAAGACACAATATTGAGCTCTGCTGAGAATCTCACATTGTTGTCGCTTGTGCTTCATGAATGAAAGTAAACTCTTCTCCTTGAACACTAGACAATCCAACAAATTATTGTCAACTTTAAGGTTAATTACGATTTCTAGATTATGCTGTCTGTCATGTTAGTGGCACTGAACGTCTGTTAAAAATTCACGAAGAATTGAAATTGAGTGAACGATGACACTGACCTGTTCACGATTGTGGCGAAGTCGGTGAACTGTAGCTGTAAGCTGTAGTTACATCATTTGTGAAACTAAGGTACTTCTGTTTTTTAGCAGGGGCAGTTTGTTGGCTCAACATTGCAGGAGAGAAGCTTGGGAAAGGGAAACTCATGCATGCAACAAGAGCATTAGCATTCTTGCTATCCAAGATAATTGCAATTTTCCGCCGCCTACCATTCGAGTATTGGAGAAAGCACAACAACATTCACCCATCAACTCCTGTGGAAATAGGATGTACTAGTAGTACCCCTAATGATGGTGATCTAAAGGTTGTTGAACCTGAGCTGCCAAAGAAAGAGGACTATGTTAGCCCGTGTATGGAGCGCCTGCAGAGACTAGAGAAGCTAGTTGTGGAACTGAGCAACAAGCCACCTCAGATTCCAAAAGAAAAAGAACAAGTCCTGGTTCAATCTCTGGACAGAATCAAATCCGTGGAGCTTGACCTCCACAAAACAAAGAAGGTACAGTTACACCCTCTATAGGTCATTCTTTGTTGTGGAATCTTTGCCGTATCCTGGAGTTTAAGAACTTGTTGATTTTCTTGTCTTGCAGGTTCTGCATTCTGCAGTGGTGAGGCAGGTGGAGATTGCACGGTTGGTCGACAGTTTGAGGGAGTCTAAATACCGTGTAAGTCCAAGGATAAAGGGAACTTCTTCATTTCTTTGCTTGAGTTTGTTTGTTTGAATAGAAAAAGTTACAAGCTTGATCTGGAGCACTGACATTGACGATTGGATCTTCTCCTTTCCAGAGAAGAAGCTTCTTCTGTTAGAGTCAACAGAAATCAATTATTACAGGAGGCGCCATGGGCTGGCAGCAGCAGCAGCTGGCAAGATGAATGGAGAGAGATTGGTTGTTACTGATACAAAAAGGATCTATGGGGACGAGGCAAGAAACAAAACTTAAAGTAACAGTAGTTTTGTGAGAAGCATTGCACAGGGAAGGAAACAGATCTGCCACATCTATTTCCGAGAGAACTTTTAGGCACACACTGGTTTACTGCTTTTCCTTCTGTTTCTCCTCCCCCTTTTTTGACTAACCAGGGGAGGTAGAATTTAGAAGTTTAGGCAGGCGGGTTCCATATTAGCAAATAATATGTAAAGAAGAACTGGTGGGGGAGAGGGGTGAGAAGAGAAAGAACACATGGTGAAATGGTGATATAAGAACAAAAGGAATGAAGAAAGTAGTTGAGATACCATGAGATGCTTCTTTCCATAGCTAGAGACTCTACCGAGTTAACCAAAATCATTGATGTATAATTCGATGTGATTTCATTGCTAAATTTAAAGACTTCACTCAATTGGTTCTCTTAAGCACAACAAAAGACAGTCAGAATCACAATAGATCAAACTGTATCCAATGCATGCAAGTCTAACCTTTCTCTTCTAATGTGTTAAATGTGCTGTTATCCAATTCTGGACTCGTCCAACTATGCATGAGCATGTCACAAGTTGGATGAATTGAACCGATTTCAGATCTAAAGTTAGGGGAAGGCAATGATGGAAACACAACACAAATCAGATTAGACCAAATCGAGTTGAATGCGCTATTTGTCCAATCCTGCTCTCCATCTTCCCCTACTTATGTGCATCTTATAAATCATGCTCATTTTACTGATAATGCTAGAGAAAGCAGCTTCAACTTCAGTAGTCAGTACCAGACAGCCATTATTGATCGTGTGCTGTTGCAGCCTCCAGACACAAAATAATCCCTGTTCATAAATACAGTAGCCAAGCAATTCCAGGCATGTCCATATTGAAGCCAAAATTATCATTTGAATATAAGTAGAACACAATTAAACTCCTTGGCAGAAATATACCAAGAACTGTTGCATAAAAAAACATGTTTAGATCTTTAAATCTTTCCTCTAGCAGTCTCCAAAACCTAGAAATACACTAGTAATCAATAATATCATCATCGTCATTATCACCATTGTCATTATCATTATCATTTGCAGCCTGAACGTAGGCTCGATAGATGCGTCGATACTTGTCTGGGTTGTCGTACCAAGTCGTGGTGTTGATGATCTCTCTTTCTAACCAAAACTTGTCCACCTGCTTCTTCTCTGCCAGCTTCTGGCGGTAACTTTCCCACTGCTCCAACACTTTTGCCAGACGAACACTTTTGTTCCCGGTGAAGACATACTTTAGGTAGTCCTTCAGTATCCGAGTCATGTCCTCGCCATTGATGATATAAATGTACTGCAGTATAAAAGTCATTGATTGATATATTTCTATCGGACACACTAATTAAGAATTTTAATAATGGGAAAGATGGAATCTTTTGTCTAACCAGAAGTACGAACCCCACAGTGGCTAAAACCACTTGGAGAGTTTCGTCCAAGACTCCAGGAAGGTCATCATCCTGGGATCCACCTGAAGCACCACCGCCACCACCACCCCCTCGTGGTGGACTGCCACCACCACTGCCGCCTCCATCGTAGAACTCTTGTTTTTGCATCTGTTCCTTCAGCACATCTTCTACTGATTTCCCCTGGAAACTTCCGAAAGCATTTCCAAGAGACTTCAAAGGAGATCCCTGGTGCCAATTGAGAAGTTTGTCACAGAATTCGTCGTCAGTGTGTACTGGTGAATGAATAGAAGATTAAAAGGCCATGTGTCTCAATTCATACAAGATCCCTCCACTCGATGGAGACCAAAATGTTGATATCGCAGAGATAATGGTTAAAGGATAATAAGCATATGAAGACTTATATAGTACATATAAGCAATAGAGCCGGGATCAGAACCGGCAAATTACAATCAAGTCGCAATGATTTTTCCTCAGGAACTCCAGAACAAGGACAAGTACTTGTTATCCCCCACCTCCCACCAACCAAAAAGCTAACTGTTAATAAGAGAATTTTTCGTATGACACGATGAGCGTCGTATAATGAGAATATAAATCAAAATTATACATCTAATAAGACAACTCTTCCATTCCAATAAGAGTTATACATCTAATCAGCAATACCTCATTTTCTCCTTCGGACTTGTCCTTGCCACCAAGTAAGCAAACAAGGGACTTCCGTGGGTATTTCGCGGTGAGGTTGTGCTGTCTAAGCTTCGGGACAAGTACAAAAGAAAGGTACGTCGAAGTTTTAGCAGCAGGTCTCAAGACCTTCAATGACGTTAGAGTGCTCCATGAACTTTCCAGTCGAAGCAACTGAAGCTGGGTACTATTAGGTAGGCATGGATTTGCTTGGATGCAGAACAACATTATCCTTCAACTTATGCAGCACTAAGTATATTTATACATAAACCTGCAGGAACCAAAACCATAGGGGATCAGCTATTCATTGATCTGCAAAAACTTCATCTTTCAAATAGTAACTAAGCCGCTTCCAAATATGATCATCACCAATCACCATTCAGCAAAAATGTTAGCCAGTAAGGCGAGATTCAATCAACACTTCAAGATAAGCATTGAGCTAACAAACATCAATTCAGGTGAAACCCAATGCAAAATTTCAGTAACCAAAGTTCTTGCAATTCCCAAAAGGAGGAAACTTGGAACTCAAAAAGGGGCAAATCCGCAATGAACAATCAAACTGAGAACCCCAAATGTGAAACAGTAGTCTCTCCAGACATTCTGTTACGTCAACCAAGCTCAAACAATTAAATCCCTAAGAAAGCATTCATCATCGGAGCCAAACAAATTGGTCATTCAAACTCTCAAAGCAGGTGACTTTATTCTGGGAAGAAAGAAGAATCGTATTGGCAAGATGGAGTGATACTCACTGAGCAGCAAAGGGGTTTGAGAACAGCTCGTTACTGGTTCAGTAATCTCGTTAGCCCATAAACTAGGACCATACTCTTTTCGAACCGGAAAAGCAAACTGGTTTCGCCCACCTTTCAGTTGATGAACGAAGCCGCCACCGCCCGGCGGTCGAGGAAGAAGCAGTTGGGATTTGAGAAAACCGGGAGTCTTTTGCGCTTTGGGAATGGAAGTTGATATCCTGAGGGAAGCCGGCGAAGATGGATAACATTAGTGGGTGAAATGTCTATATGGTCACTAAATTACGGGGTTTATTGTAAAATGGTATATGAAACCTCTAAACATGTCTTCGTCGTAGATTTATTCTTTCTTTTAGAATTGCCAGAAGCTGCTCCTTGAGCACATCATCTTCACTCACTTCTAAGACGAACATCATAATGCTTTGCATGTATTTAAGAACAAAGTCGAGGTGGTCGTCCCTGCAGGAATAATGGTTTTTTTCGTTCGTTTATTCACAAATTAATTAATCTTTTGGCATGTCAAAGGACCCTCTTTTATTTTTGTGGCAATAATAGTACAAAGACTTGTCCCTGCAGGAATAATGGGTTTTTCGTTCGTTTATTCACAAATTAATTAATCTTTTGGCATGTCAAAGGACCCTCTTTTATTTTTGTGGCAATAATAGTACAAAGACTTGTGCGCAATATGTAACATAGTGCGGCTGAGAGATCGTCGATCAATGTCATCATATACCTTATAGAACCGAGAAGATTCTGAAACAACTTGACAATCAAGTCACGACACTTGCAATTCAACATCATCACCATAAATGACTTCCAAGTCGCGATGACTTCGAGTATCGAAAGCCTCTTCCCAAATGTCGGACTATAAAGGTCGCTCAGGCCTTCACTTTGATTGATAGGGTAAGGTTTTACGGATCACAGCGAAAGCGCGGCCACGTCCCATGTTGATTGATAGGGTAAGGTTTTATTAATTCTTCCCTTTCTTCTTTTGCTTCTTCTCTCTTAGTATTTATTTTAGGGGTTAATATATTTGTATGACGTGAACTTTGCACGTAATAAACATCCTGGTCAATATTTTCGATCTATAACATTCTGGCACAAATTATACATCAAAGTAACGAAATTGGTCAAACCCCATGTTTTACGGTTATCTTGAATGGTCAAATGCGTTGACTAACGGTCAACATGTCATGTTACTGCAAGTCAGTAAATAAAATAATAATACTCATGTTTAATCATACATACAATATACTTGAAGATAATTTACTTATCATTATTTATGTTTTTTTTAATATGAGTTTCAAATAAAATAACAAATGCTCATATTTGAATATTACATTTAACGTGAATATCTAAACGTTTATACTTGAACCCAACAAATAACACAAACGTTTAAGTTTTATTCTGAATAAAAATTCGTACATGATGTAGATATACTAGTGAATAACGTAATATTAAAAGCAAACTAAGATTTAGGGAAAAGAAAAGATTAACCAACTAAACAAGAGAGTAGCTTTCGAGTCATCCAAATAAGCTTGAAGAATTTAATTGAAGCAATTCAAAGTCTTTGGATCGAATTGCCTAAAATATAATTTCAGGGACCTCCTCGCAATTGTCAATAAAAAACAACAAAACAAAGAAGACAACAGCAGAAATGTATGCGCAAGGAATAATAATGGAGGAAATGAGTTTGCGCGTATTTGCTGGAACCTGCTGCTCACCCACTTTCCTCCCATGTCTTCAGACACCTGCGTTGTTATCCACCTCTTTGTTCTTTTCTGAAAGTTCTTTCATTTCTTCCTTCCATTTGTCAAATTTATCCACTAGTAGCTGCTTCCTTTCCTTGCCGGCTGTTCTCCGGCTTTTTGGTAGCTTATCTCTGTAGCAGATCTCCAATTCCAATGCGTTGAGCTTCTCGCTGAGATTTGGAAGCTCTGGAACTCCATTTCTGATCCAGAAACTGAAACCCCAGAAGTAAAAACAAAGAAATAGAAATCAAGGAAGATCGAAGGGGAGATCTTCCGTCCATTCAAAGATGAGGGGGTGGAATTTCCGTTCTGGGTCTTGTTGCTTCTTCTTGGTTTGCTATTTCAGCTTGATGGGTCTCTTTGTTCCTTCGTCCTCTGCTTCCACTTACCTTTCAGGTAGCTTTTGTAATGAAAAAATGAGTTGCTTCTGCTGATACTCTTTACTCTCAAGTTTTGATTGAATGATTGATTTGCTTTTTGTTGGCTCTTTTTTGGATCCAGATTCTGTCTTTGAATCGCATTCTGCTGCTGGGAGGAATCTGCTTCAAGCTAGAAAAGGTGTGTAGTTTTTTTTGCTATCAGTTGGATTGGAATTAACCCGGCTTGCTTGTGAATTGGATGGTTGGTTTGACTTGGCGAATTCGTTAGTTGTGTCCTCTTAGGGGATCATGTTCTTCTGGTGTGCACGTTAGTGGGAGTTGCTATTGTTGTGCTCCAGAATTAGAAGTCAAAAGCTGGTCTCAGTCTCAATTACACTTGAAAGTTGCAATCTTTATATATATGATTCATAGGTGGATGAACCAAGTTTCATTCCTGAATTGTGTCCATGGGGCTCGGATAATTGAAATACAGCTTGTGAAATGTTTTCTCCTTTGGTCTGAAGGTTTGTGCTTGAAACCAACAGCTTTTGAAATGTTTTCTCCTTTGGTTTGAAGGTTTGTGCTAGAAACCAACTTTTCTTGGTCTAACAATATGAAGGATCTAAGGCCTGAATATGGATTATATACAAGCATCTAAATTTAAGCTTTCCTTCTTTCAGTTGAAGCATCCAATTCAGTCCCTTGATATTTAAGTAAATTGGACAGCTAATTCGTGTTCCTAAATTCTAAGTGTTAACTTTTAGTGCAGTTGGTTGGACATATTACACATTATTTAAGTTTTGAGATATGATGAGAACACAACTTTTTCTTGTTTTCCTTCGGGATATCTGACAAAGGCAACTTTCCATTTCGTTTACTCTCAAGTTTGGATTCGTCGAACTTCTGATGAACTGGGTTTTGAATTCTTACAAGTCATTAAGGAATGAAGCGTATGCAATGCACGCGATATAAGCTGACCATTTCCATCTTTGAATCTTATCTGCAGCTTGCCCTGTGAACTTTGAGTTCATGAACTACACGATAATCACGAGCCAATGCAAAGGACCCAGCTACCCTCCCAAGGAATGTTGCTCGGCGTTCAAGGACTTTGCCTGCCCTTACAGCGATGTCATTAATGATCTGACCAACGACTGTGCATCAACCATGTTCAGCTACATCAACCTCTACGGCAAGTATCCGCCTGGTCTTTTCGCAAGCGAGTGCAGGGAAGATAAACAAGGACTATCTTGCCCTGCACTTTCGCCCTCCCAATCTGCCAACGACAGTGGAAGTCATGATTTACGAGCCCGATCAGCACTGCTGATACTCTCAACTGCATTGCTAGTTATATTGCTTCAGTTACTTTGATGGTTTAAGCTCATCATCTTGTCAACAATTTGTTTCTGTCCTCCCTCTCGGCTTAGCCTGGTTTACCATCATGTACCCGTTTCATGTAGGCATAATGAGGAAGAAAGGTTCGAAAATTCGCTTCTGAATTGGGTTTTGTTCACAGTTATGATTCCCTGTGGCTGAGGATTATGTTGATTCATTATATTTGTATATGTATGATGCATTTGAACTAATGTAACACTTATGGTTCTTGAAAGCTTGTTTTCCTTGTCATATACTTTGAGCTAAACAAAACTAACCTAACCGAAACAAACATAGTATTTCGCACAAGTAAAACTAGCCCCCACTTCGCCAACATAATAATACTCAAATTTGTACTTATTTCCTCGATTCCTCATGTGGTCCCTAATAGCCAGTTTCTTTTTCCCCCATCAAAGACAGAGAACCTCAACTGATAAGATTTCCTCTGTGTGGCTGCAAATGCTTCATTACTTCATGACCCATCAATCCAAAAGGGGAACCTTCCCATAAAGTTCCCAACTTTAGCCTAAACCCAGCTAATGGCTATTCCTTCAGTCTCGCTACACCCTCCTTCAGACCTTCTCTTGCTCCAATTGTGCAACAACATCCATGAAGTGAGACAATTACACGCCAAGTTCCTAGTTTCGGGGTTAATCAATCACCATCCAGTTGTTCCCAGGAGGCTCATCCAGGCCTATGTAGCAACATCCCACGTCGAACCAGCCATATCCATCTTCGAAACATCTATACATTCTCCCGACGCGTTTCTGTACAACACCATCATCAGAGGCCTCATTAATGACTCCTCTCCCGACCGTGCTATCTTGTTCTACAAGAAACTCTTGCTTGAGGGTACAGTAATCCCAGATAACTTCACGCACACGTTCGTTCTCAAAGCATGCTCGCATCTACAAGAGGATGAGGCTGTTTCCGTTGGCAGGCAAGTGCACTGCTGGGTGATCAAGGCTGGCGGGGAACTTGGTAGTTATGTTCATAGCTCACTCACTCATTTGTATGCTACTTTGGGTTTCATGGACGAGGCAGAGCACGTTCTCGGTGAGTCCTTCGAGGAGAACGTGGATGCTGTCAACGCGATTATATCAGGGTATTGTAGGTGTGGACGAGTGGATGAGGCTAGAGCTAAGTTCGAGGGGATGACAGACAGGAACGTTGCATCGTGGAGTGCTATGATCACAGGCTACACACGGAATGAGATGGATTTAGAGGCATTGTCTCTTTTCCAGGATATGTCTGTGAGTGATCCGGAACTTATCCCGAACGAGTCGATGGTGGTGAGCTTACTAACAGCCTGTGGACGCTTAGGAGCTTTACCACAGGGGAGATGGATTCACAAGTACATCGAAAGGGCTGGGATGAAGATTTCTACCAATGTTTCAACAGCTCTCATTGACATGTATGCCAAGTGCGGTAACATACAGTGTAGCTATGAAATATTCCAACATATAGCATCGAGGGATAGAGATATTGTCTTGTGGGGAACCATAATCTCGGGGTTGGCCAAGCACGGCCAGGCAGCAAAGAGTCTGGAGTTGTTCGATGAGATGATTGGTCATGGTATCCAACCCAATGGAGTTATCTTCACAGCTGTACTTTCTGCCTGCAATCACTCAGGGCTCATCGAGAAAGGGCAGGAGTGTTTCAATCAGATGGCGAAAGTATTCAGGATAGTTCCATCCATTGAGCACTATGGATGCATGGTGGATATGTTGGCTCGAGCAGGGAGGCTAGCAGAGGCAGAGGAGCTCATTGCATCTATGCCCGAGAAGGCGAACTCAGTGATCTGGGGAGCATTCCTCAGCAGTTGCAGGATGCACAACGATGTACGAAGAGGCAGCTGGGCCTTTCAACGGCTTATGGAGGTCGAGCCACTGTCAGGGGATAGGTGGAAACTAGGAGAGTTGATGTTTGGGAATGCAGGCAGGAAAATGGAAGCAACTAAGATTAGGAAGTTGATGCATGAAACTGAAATAGAGACAACAGTAGGGCGCAGCTTCATTGAAGTTGCTGGTGTTGTCCATGAATTTGTAGCGGGGGACATTATGCATAATAAAGCTGAAGAGATCTACAGAATGTGCAGAAGCATCCATAGAACTATGAGAAAATCATTCATGAACATGACAAGTTGAGATTACAACATAGATGAGAATGTTACGAGGTGCAAATTCAAGACTCAGAACGGTTCTATAGCTTACTCAACCCACAATCATCTAGTCACGAACGAGATCTGCAATGTAAGAAAATGGAGCATGTTTGTGGTTCTACACTTTTTCAGTAACATCAAACTATAAGCCAAATCGTAGGAATGGATTCATTCAACATGAATCTGTTCAAAGTTCCTACAAAATCACACTACAGGAAGATACACCATCGTAATTAATAGTCATCGCCTCTTGATATCACCTCTTTGCAGGTTGGGCGAAGCAAGATTGTATGCTCAAACTGGGACACATAGCTGCCCTTAACATCGCAAAGAGGAGGGTACGGCTGCAATAAAAGAGCAAATTGTTAACTGCCACAACTTCAACAGTTCAGACTTCAGACATTAACAGCTTCAACAGTTCAAGTCATAGTTCTTTGTAGCTATCTAGAAAAAACAAAAAGATCTAAAACTATATCATCTGTTGGAAGAGACTTATTTGCATTATGTAAAATAGTTAACTTTAATCTGAAGGACTCCAGTTTCTGCATCAGAATATATTGATTACCATTTGATCATGTGCCAAGGCGAGGAAAAGGTGAAGCAAATATCGATTGATGATTAAGAACATGTTCAAAATATTTTTTAAGTGATCGAGACAATTGTAGAATTCTTCACAGGCTAAAAAAGTACCTGAACAATGCCGGAATCGCATAAATTCTTCAGAGCCATCAAGTACTTGGTTTCTCCAAGCCGGTCCAAGTACCGCCTGCAGAAGGCTAATGTTGAGAAGTTTTTATCTATTGTTGCTAGCAGTTGCTTTGCTCTTGCCATCCTCAATGGCACATGGCCAATATCAAAGTTTTTCATGTAATGACTGCACTCCAGATCTTCTCTGACATATCCTTTCCCTAAACAAACAAAAAGTGGTTTAGACATTGGCATCATCTCAGTGACTAATGCTTTCAATTCCAATGCAAAAGAGGTGGCTAATACCTGTTGAGCCGAATGTTTCAATTGCATAAAATTCACCCTCTTCCATTTTAGTCTGCTCCCCTCCTTTCACAATAGGAACTGACTTTCCAGCATGAATTTGATATGGCCCAATGCTGTGTCCATTCAAGTTTCTAATGCTTTTAACTGCAAATTACATTTTAAATCCATGTAAAAAGATATCCGCACGTAATGAGTTTCTGAAATACACAGAAATTTTGATAATCCTCATCAAAGCTCCAAAACTTTTAAACTAGAAAAATATACACCGGAAATGCACAAGTGGAAAGGACCGAGTTGCTACATTTGGTGGAGCATAGTAAAAGACATAGCTTTGTGATTCAAGGGATAACCATGACAATTTCGAAGGGTTATATCTTGTCCACAATAACAGACGTTTAAAAGCAGTAGATCGGCACCTTACAAAACCAAAAAGGAAGTGCATCAAGGACAAAACATGTGGATATATCTAACCACAAGTTCAAACAGTAGCCTAAAAGCAATAAACAGCTAACAAATAAGTTACCAAAAAGAGACAGGGCACAACAACAATGAATCTTAATATAACATACCTTGAAACACCTTTCCATTTATCTCAACCTCATAAGATTCCATGACCTCTTGGATTGCAGCACCAACATCACACAGACGAACATCGATCCCAGCTTCCTGAACAATTAAGTGAAAAAAGTTAGTAAGCTGCTTCTTTTCAATGATATTGTATCAGCAACTGAAGAAAGGCTCATCTAAGAGAAGCCCATCACCTTAATACCCGTGTTGGTAGCCTCACGTGAAGCTTCAAGTAGAGGGTTAAACATGGGATTGAATGCCACGGTAAATGCACAGTCAACAATATGTCCTAAAATTCAGCCAACCACTATTTCAGATATACTTCCAGCCAAAAATAGTGATGCCAATTCCAGAATCAACTACAATAATGAATGTAATGGAAAGCTTTCAAACATAAAAACATCCAGCTCTAGATTCAAGCCTTCGAGCCATCATGGCCTACCGTAAGGAGAAAAAAAAAAAAAACTTCAAGAGATTTACCATCAATATGAGTCCCAAAGTCCAGCTTCATCACATCATCATACTGAAGCACTGTCTTGTCACCAGAGTTAGGAGTCCAGTGAGCAGCGACCCTTTCGATAGATGGAAGAAAGTAAAATCAGCTTCCAATGAATACATGACCAAATTGACAAAAGAAAAAAAAATATATATATATAATAACACAAGAGCTTATACTAACCAGTTCAGGGAGCATCCCGTAGGAAATGCAATTCCAGCTTGAAGACCATTTTCTGATATTAGCTTGCGAACCGTGTTTTCCAATGTCTCACAGAGGTCGGTCATTAACATACCAGGCTTCAAAATGCTTCTGATGTGCTTGCGCACCTAATGGAAAGTAAGAAGAATTTAAACAGACAAGAATGTCAAAGAATGGGGGTAGTTGCATACAGAAATCAAAGAAAAACCTGTCGGTGAACTTCTGCAGCTTGTCGAACTGAATTATATAAAGGCTTTTCAAGCCGCTCCAATTCCCTCTTCTCCTCAGATGTTGTGCGCCATAAGTTACTGAAATATAACATTTGAGAGTTCAGAAAGATGACAAGAAAGCATAGGCCTTATTGCTTCATGCAACATTTGAATAGCCAGTTGCAGAGGGACAAGAAAGCAAGAACAGAAGAAGAATAGCAGTTGCAATCTTATCTGCATCATCAAGATCAAGAAGCAGCATATACTCACTCATCTTTGTATTGTTGAATTTCTCCCTCTGGAAATTCTCCAGATGGGAAGAGCTCAGCAACAGGAATAGAGGGTGGATCAGTCTGCTGAGCAGGTTCCTTCTTCCTCCTGTCAATAACGAATCAGAAATTATTGCCATCCATGAAGACGTCGTCCAAATGCACTGAAAGGTTAACGTAGTCCTAGAATTTCCGACGTGATATATATAAGCAAAGAGCATACTGGACTAAAAGACTATCCATATGACCATGTTATCAAAGAATGAGATACTCACTTGCTTTTATTTTTCTTCTTTTTCTTCTTTGCAGCTTCTGAAAGAAAGTGTTGCAGAATGCAAATGAGTTATTCTACAGAATTAAAAAAAAAAAAAAAAAACAGCAACATCCTACAGAGAGAAGCCAAAGGGCATATGAATTTGGGAGTGGCATCCTTCAATGAGCACTGACAACATTAAAACTGAAGAATGCAGAAAGCATCTCGTGCAAATGCAAAGCAATGACATGACGAGCCAATTTCGAGAAAGAGGCCCGATTGGGCGAAACGTGGGGAACTCCAGAGCAAGCATCAAAATTGACGAAGAAAAGACAAGCTCTCGAATGAATCAAATAATAAGCAAGGGGGGGAATAACCTTTCTTCTCATCACCATCGTTCTGTCCCGCAGATGGCTCGTCATCTCCATTGCTAACTGAAGGCTCTAAATTCACATTCTCTTCCTTGGTGCCATTCTCTTCAATAGAGAGTTCTTTAATCATATGTTCATCCTCCATTCTTACTTACCTATTGCACACAAGAAGGAAATTAAAAAACCGAGGCATTCTGCACCTCATAGTCGACAAGCAACAGAATGACGACTGGACATTCAAGCCTAAAAACCTAGAAAATTTACGACTACGACGGAGAGAGAGAACGATCCAACTTGGAATAAAAATTCAAGCTTCCTCCACCCGGAACTAAAGCTTAGAGCTTTTTCCCAAACGCAATCCCGAATTGATCATTGGGAACGCAAAGCACAAACCTTTTCGCGGGCGCACAATTGCGCGAAAGTCAAACAAAAGCAGTTAAATCCCCCCACAGTTTCTAAAAACAGAGCCTGGCATGTTAACTCGACGGAGGCAGAATATGCTTTACCTGCTATTCCTTTCCTTCCTTCTCCTCCTGATACTCTGTAATGAATCGCACGTTTGCTCGGGAACTCTCTGTCCCAATAGCTCACTCGGTCGGACTTTCTTTGCACCCTAGCTGATTGATGATGACAGACAGACGCCATTGAAATACTGGCGGGTGAGCATACACAGGCCCGGGAAAGCCCGAAACTTTGATGGGCTGATGCAGGGTTTCACTGGCCCATTAACTGCGCTTGCGAGTTGGTATGGTGGCCTACATCTTGGACACCAATCGTTTCCACTGTGATGGAGAAATTCATTCACTGCCTAACGCAAAAAACCATGCCTTAATGGCATATGGACGAGCATGAGCATGTTTTCCTATGAATTGGTAGTGTAATTAACCTGGTTCAACTTTGTGTTAGTGTCATTTACGATTTAGCAGTGGCAAAGGATGTATATATAGTGAATGCCGAAACAAAATGAGATTAGAAGCAAAAGACATTGTAATTGATACTACGATCAAGAAGATAAGCTGTGTACATTGTGTGCTCCGTTTGTCACGGGATGCTGCTATCTTCGTGTTTCTGGTATGTTGTTCGTATTTGTTTTGATTACATTGTCTTTTAGGATTTTGCTATGGTGACATGTATACGATCAAGAAGATAAGCTGTGTACATTGTGTGCTCCGTTTGTCACGGGATGCTGCTATCTTCGTGTTTCTGGTATGTTGTTCGTATTTGTTTTGATTACATTGTCTTTTAGGATTTTGCTACGGTGACATACATGTCACCGTGACATGGACTTTTCGGTCGACCTAATCCTGAAGGCGGTCGACCGAATTGACTAATTTGGGCAACACGAGAAAGCATTGCGGTCGACCTAATTCTAAAGGCGGTCGACCTCAATTCATAGCATAATTGATGAGTCCTTGTTATCATTATTTATGACTAGTTATGATGGTTTAAAGAGTAATTTATACGAGCAAAAGAACCACACAAATCGACATACATACGCAAAAAAGACACGGGGCATAGGTTGACTTTCTTGTATTCGGTCGACCTCGTACCGGATTAGGTCGACCTCGACACCAACACTTGATCTTCATTTTATGTCAAATGATTGGATAAATTGATAGAACACTTATCGTCTATCTGGTCGACCTCTGTCTTTATTTGATCGACCATGTTGTTAATGACTGCCATCAAGTGGTCGACCTATATACCTTTACGGTCGACCATGTTGTTTCTGACGCCAACGAAATGGCCGATCGAGGTTTATTATGGTCAACCAAAAATAACAACTTAAACTAAGAACGGTCGACCAGGTGGTCTTTGAGGTCGACCCCAATGTTTTCTCGTGCTGCCCAAATTAGTCAATTCGGTCGATCGCCTTCAGGATTAGGTCGACCGAAAAGTCCATGTCACGGTGACATGCATGTCATAATAGGCATACCTGTCTTTTATTATTTTTCTCGGCTCTTTCCGACTTCTAGCCTCCATATACTACTTTTCATTTTGAATGTGCCTCTTCGTGATTGTACGCATATAGAAGCAGGTTTGACACTTTGTAGTTACGTTGATGGTTCCATCACCTAGCTAGCTAACCTAGATTGCAGGTTTGGTTACCAAGGCTGTGACAATGGTGCTAGAGCTGCAAATTAAGGATGCGATCGAGATGATCGTTTTATTTAACGGGCCGTCGTACAATCGATACATAACCGAGTACACAGCAGGTTAACCCTTTGTATTAGCATTAATCATTATTATTGTTTTGTTGTTGTATTTTTTTTTTTATCTCGTAGCAGCTAATTAGCTAGCTGGAGCTAGAAAATGAGCCAGTTGTACTTGGAGCCGCCGCAGGATCTCCAGGACCAACACGCGACAGGCAGCCCAAGCTGATCGAGACAGAACCGAATCTCGACAAGGTAATAGTCCCCGAGCAAACAAAATGTCACAAAGCCTACCTAGAGTACTTAAGTACACATATATATACATATGCCTCTTTGCCGGTATTGATTATGTTGATTGATGGTTGATATATAAGTGTTGTTAGACAAGTATTTTATACACAGTTTGGTTGTCCTGAAATATATAATCCATGAATGAGATGCATTTTGTTTCAACTTCTTCTTTCCAGCAATTACCACTTAAACCCAATTTCTCATAGTGTAAAGGGAGCTGCCACACTCGCCATGGAAGTGAAAGCAAATAGTAATTCTAAGTCAATTGGTTAAGTACTTCAACTCTCTCTTTGTTTCTCATTATAGTATATTTACATTACATTGTCGAATAAGAGAAATCAATATGCGTGCTCACATTAATTTACATGATTCAAAAATTTGATCAATTTCCTAAATCATAACATGTACTTACTCTACGCGAGGATTCATAACATCATTACTTTGTATTTTTCCATTGGAACAACTGCTTACCCGGTCCATATAATTTTAGCTTAGGACTAAAGAAGTTGGGCAATATTTCTCTAATGAACCGTCCAAGTTGAGTAAAGAATTCGATGACTATTTATCAAAACATTTCACCATATCTGTGAAAGAATCGCATAAATAATATTGACCAGAAAAAAATATTTGCCCCTTTTTTTTAGTGTAGCGCTAATTAATATTTGTTTACCACCAATTCATTCGAATTCTCAGACCACAAGTTCCCAACAAAAAATTTCAACCCCAAGACATCCCTACCCTTCACTTTGGAGTGATGTGCATGTGGCATGCAAAAACATCGCATGTGTGCACGTTGCAACGCCAAACTTAACAACAGGCATGCAGCCTAATTCACAATCCATGACATTTTGCCGCTTTTTTGTGTCACGGATCCGCGAAAAAACATCAACCCAAACCAACAAAAAGCCTCCTTATAGTCAGTGGCGGAGCCAAAAAATTGGCCAAGGGGGTGTCTTTATCATATCATAAAAAATCACATATACAATAGAAAAGTCAACTTTAAATTAAACAAAAAGTCAACAACACAATACTCTAAATTCACACAATTACATTAAAATAGTTTCACGTACACCGGTTACAACGTCAAACAAATAAGTTCAGTACATACAAATCAAGACTTCCATTCATCAAATATTACAAATTAGAACTCAGAAGTACCTTGGAATTGATTTTGTGAAACAAACAAGTGAACTTCAATTGGTACTTCTTCACTTTCAACTTTGTTTAAACAAAAGACAAGAAATTTCTCTGTTGTAGAGCTATAAAAAAAATGAGCGAGTTTAAACAAAAGACAACAATTTATTACTATAAATAAAGACAAAAGTGCATTACATAACAAAACTCACTCGATCGAAATGACAAGAAATTCTTCCTGCAACTGAATGGTCATTGGTTCGAATTTTTATATACCCAAACTCGAAAAAAAATTCTTCAAACCCAATGGGGTGCAAAGCACCCCTCCTCTCCAAGTGGCTCCGCCGCTGCTTATAGTTAATAGTACGTGAAACAAACAAGTTAGGCATAGATAATAAAAAGCAACGAAACCAATGGCCGGAGACCACAGCAGCAGCGGCACTTTCTCCGATCAGCTGACGGAGGACATCCTGACCAACATCCTCCTCCGGCTGCCCAACGGTTCATGCATCGCCAGATTCCGATGCGTCTGTAGATCCTGGCGGAATCTACTCTCCGATCCCCAGTTCATCCTCAGGATCCTCCGCTTCCCAAAACACGGCGGCGGCGGCGACGTCACAAACAGATCATCCTCCCCCCTCCAGATCCTAATCACCGGCGACCTCCACCGCCACCTCTACTCGTTGCACTCCTACGACACCCTCCGCCCCGTCTCGACGGGAGGGGGGGATCTGCCCAGCTCCCGGCAGCCCGCCGCCTTCACCTTGATCGTGGCGGGGAGCTGCGACGGCATATTCTGCATCGTGGACATGAACCCCACCGGCGGTGCCCCCTCGGTCACCCTGTGGAATCCGGCCACCTCGGAGACCAAGTTCCTGCCCGATTCCGCCGGCCCACCGCGTCGGTCGCTGTTTGATCACGAGCAGGTCACCGGTTTCGGTTTCGATCCACGAACCAATGACTACAAAGTGGTGAGGGTGATGTTCTTCCATGAGATGTATGATGATTGTAATGATTATGATCTCACTTGGGAGGAGAGAAATACCAGACTTACTTATGCTGAGGTACGTTCCAATCCAAATATGCATTATTCATGCATGCTAGATTTTAAACTTGAGGATAAGAATAATAATTTCTTAGGTAGGTTGAAGTCGGGAGGAATTATAGTCCTCAATTTTTAAACATAAGGGGAAATATATGTAAATTTGTAACAAATTTAGGAAACAGAGTAGTCAGCAAGGCCTTAGTCTTCTCCCCTCAAGTATTACGGTTCAAGTTTGCCTCGCCCTGTTGATATGACTTGAAAGATCGGACTATCTGGCGACCATCGGAGCTCATAATATATGAGCTTATACACGTTTGGGTTTCTCTTCTGGGTCTGGTTTGTAACCTCAATATTTACCATATTAGATTTGGGTTGGACCACATGGAGAGTACTATAAATACTTCTCATACTCTTTTGTGTAATCGATCATCGGAATTTCTTCAAAGTATAGTGAAACTGACTCTATCATTTATGTCCATGGACTGCCTAACACATACATATTGTGTTCATGAAACATCTAAAACCAGTATGTCTTGTTTCATTTTTTTTTTCTCTGTCGATCTCCGATCCGCAGAAACTGTCTCCTTATTCATATTTCTGACTCCGCCCGTCACTAATGATAGTTACGTTGTTTGGTTTGGGTCTTCTTCTTCATCAGGTGTATAGCTTGAGGAATGACTCGTGGAAGAGGCTAAACTTCCACGAGGGTGATCGAATCCGGCAAATCGGCAACTTCATCAGCAACGTCTACCCACAACAGCGAGGCGACGACGACTCTCGAGACCACAGGCATCGTTGTCACTGGTTCTACGCATGCTTTGAAGACTGCTTCACTCTTTCGTTCGACATGACCGAAGAAGTACTCGACTACGCCTCGTTAGCTCTCCCCCGTGCCTTCCATGGCGATTCACTGATAGCCCTGATGGGTTGCTGTATGCTCAAGGATTCAACACTCGTCGCCATGTTTTACGACGGCGACCGCAATCCGTGTGGACCCTGTTGAAGCACGGAGTTGCCGATTCGTGGACGAGGTTGTACGACTTCAGGCCGCCGGCGTGGCAGATGGATTTCTTGATGGCGTGGAAGGAGGAGGGCATGTGCATTTGCTCGCGGGAGAGCCGCCGTGGAAGCATGAGTTTGGATCCCGGAGAAGTGGTGGAGGAAACCGATGGTGTCTACGTTTTTTCTCCGGCCACGGGTGAGTATATTGGGGAGCGCATTGAGACTCGAGCCAGAACTCGTCGGTTCCAAGCTCATGTGTTTACTCCGACTCAAGTTTCCCTTTCGGATTTGGTGTAGAAGTTGACGGTGGTGGTGGTGGTGATGGTGTACATCAAATATAGTTTTAGTTAAGTGTCTACTTCTCATGATAACAAGATGATTATATAATTAGTTGCATGTGTTTATGTTAAAAATTAATTAAGGATTGATGGTTATATATGTTTTATTCACTATATATTATGGTATTGATGTATTAAGAGGAGATTTTTCTCACATAATGATGATGTTATTGACCTCTCGTCTACACGAACCACACAAATTAATGTTCTTTCTAATTGTGTAAAACGAAGTTGATATTATCGAATGGAGAGTGAAAAAGTTTAATTGACAAGGAGGAAGAAACTTTCACTTAATAATGTTGATTATGGATAATTTGTGATTTGCTTCAATTTTCTTATGTTTTCTAGATTGGTGTTGAACAATTTGTATATTTAATTTGTGATTTGCTTGAATTTTCTAGAATGGTGTTTTATATATGGATAATTTGTATTGAGAGTTTGATATTTGACTTTAATTTTGATAGAAACTTGTTATTGTAAAATTTTTACGACAAAAATCCATGGGTACCCTTGATAACCCGCGAATACCCAACGCGTTGGGTTGAGTTTGAGTTTTTCAAACCCAATGAGTTTTATCTCAGGTTTTTTTCACGAATAAACCCATGGGTTTGGGTTTGGCTAAATATGACCCAACCCAACCTATTGTCATCCCTAATTCTAACAGTTAATCTCATACCAGCATAATATTGACGAATACCTTATTATGAATATTATGAGCTTAGGCAGGAGAATTATGAGTCGTTTGCTTGATGGATTTGGTAATGTATTTGGATCTATCTATTGTCTGTTTCATGTATTTGAATGCAACAAATCCGTGGACCCCATGGACTTTAAGGGTCCAAATCCGTGGGTCTTACGGATTTGAAAATTCCACCTCTTAAAGTGGGATTTGATCATGGACTTTAAAGTCCATCATTTATGACCAAACTACTCATTCTTTTATCTTTGTCATCTCATACCAATGAGGGTAATGTAGGTCATTTTTACTTTTTGCACACAAATTTAATTAACCAAATCCATCATAAAATCAATGAAACAAACAATGGTATTTTACAAGTCCATAATGAACCCAAAACCTTCATATTTTACCAAAACCTTATTTTTCAAATTTATTAAGCAAACCACCCTAAATGTGAATGAGCACCATGCCCGTTGTCATTGTAGAAAATCAATGTCCAATATACGGTCATACTTATAAAATTAAAATTTAAGGACGAATTAAAATAATAATTACGCCAAAAAGATAGTTTGAAATCGTACCTAACATGAGCTTTAGATTAGAGTGAAAGTCGTAAAAAGAAGATTTCCTGAAACCTACTTTCTCATCCACTTGCACTTCCTCTTCCCCATTTGCCTTTTTGTCTGTGACAATCAAGCCAAACTCAACTGGACAACCGCTGTCTCATGATCACAAGTTCATAACTTTATTCAGAGAAGCTCCTCAATTTCCTTGTGTTACCAACTTACCCACTTGGGAATCTTTAATTCGGTTTCCTTCTGGTGGGGGGCATGGAGCATGGCGACTAGAATATGAGCTCTAGCTCGATGTTCTTAGCGTTGGGTTTTGGTTTCTGATTCGATCCTCAGCTGGGCTTTCTTTCATTGAAGTCAAATAGGGAAGAAAGAAGAGATCTTTTTATTTTTCGGTTTGGTTTTGGTTTGGTTTACAGAATGGGAATCTGTTACTCGTCAACGGGGAAAGAGGTAAGAGAAGCTGAGAATGGCGAGGGGCATGGAGTTGGGAATCGGTGGAGGAAGAAGAGCAGAGATAAGAAATCCGGCGGCGGGGATCAGGAGAGTGTGCTGAATCACATTCCTGGTAGGATTGCTGGAAATGGTTCAAGTAAAATCGCCTGCTTGCATACCCAGCAGGGGAAGAAAGGAACCAATCAGGACGCCATGGTTGTTTGGGAGGTTAGTTAGCATCATCACTCCTTTCAATTTGCAGCTCATTTTGTTTCTTTTTTGAAGAATAGCTAATTAGGTTGACTAGCTTTGGATTGGCTTCCATTTCTGGCGGAATGAAAGTGTGGAAATGGCTATTATACATTCCTTTGTGTCTATTGGTTTGGCAAAGGGAGTTTCATATCAGACAAAGCCTGTTAGAGCCTAGAGGGTTGACCTGGCCTATACGTCCATGACGATCTAATGAATGTGTGCTGTCACCATTAGGCATCGATTGTTTAGTTTGGATTGTCTTTTCTCCAATTTGAATCAAGTTAAGCTTCTTCTTACCTTGGAGAACCCATTCTCGTTCGACAACGACATGGTTGAGCGATGGAGCCATTTCTTGGGATTGTGCCTGGTTCTGGATAATTGATATTGTGAGCTGAACTTGTTAGGAAGCACACTACATATTCTATTAGATTGCCCAAGAATCTTGTTGAACTCACCCTACTTGGGTAGAATTCTCTGCTCGAGTTGAATCAAAAGTTCTCTGATTATGATCTAGCTATCTTAAGTAACTTTGTTTGTATGTTGGCTTTGGTAAAGTTCCGTACTTGTGACATGTCGTTACTATCAGTTTTTATTCCTTCTCTTAAGGGCCAAGGGTATCTGATGGCCATGTTGGAATGCTTTGTTTGACAGAATTTTGGATCCAGAAATGATGCAGTGTTTTGTGGCGTATTTGATGGTCATGGTCCTTACGGCCATATGGTTGCCAGAAAAGTTCGGGATTCACTGCCTCTCTTATTAAGTAATCAGTGGAAAGCTGGTAATGATGAGGAACAGAATGGCCCCCAAAAGTCAGAGAACACTCCTGGGACTACTACGAATTCGGAGGAGACTGGTTCAGCATGTGGGGATGATGAATCATATGACTCAATGGAGGTTGAGGAAAGTGACAAAGTCCCTGAGATGTATCTGCCATTGAAAAAGTCGATGTTGAAATCCTTCAAGCTGATGGATAAAGAGCTGAAGCTGCATCCTATGATTGACTGCTTTTGCAGTGGGTCGACTGCTGTGACTCTGATGAAGATGGTTAGTTTCTCGTAATGCCCTTAGTTTCTAATTGAAATTCATTTGAAATTTAGTATATGGAGTTTGTTTTTTGGTTGCTTAGCAAGGTGCTCAATTTAGCTGAATGAAGTTAGTAAAATTATTGAAATTCTGTTTTACAACGAATTCTATGGTGACAGTTGTACGATAGTTTATTTTTCATTTAGCCTTGATAGCTTTGCGGCCAGACTCGCAACAATAAAGGGTTTCTGGTGTCACTGTACATCATAGATGGCTAGTGAAGTAGAAAGCTTTGAGCTTCGCAGGGAACTCCCTACTTCTTTGGTCCATGGTTTGTAAAGCAATGACCTTGATTCTTCATATTGAATTTCCAGTGCCACCTGGTTTATGGAAGGCTTTTTAATTAAACTTACAAGTTTAAGCTTTGAAACTGCTCTAAGGATGCCCTCTCTCTTAAAAATTTACTTTCGTCATTTACATGATCTTCCCATGGGAGATCTTTGCTATTGGCATCAATTATAGAATGGTGAGGAAACAGATTCCGATACCTGTAAGTGCTTTAACATACTTGTCGACGGCAATATTTGATGTTTGGTGACTTTTATTATGAATAGTCCTGAATTCTACTACGATAAACCATGTAGGACTTACCTTTAAGTGCTTCAAAGATGTCCTTATGAAACCTGGAAAAAATAACTGGCTTTCAGGGTGAGGATCTCATTATTGGAAATGTTGGTGATTCTAGAGCGGTGCTGGCAACCAGAGATGAAGACAATTACTTACATGCTGTTCAATTGACTGTTGATTTGAAGCCTGATCTGCCAAGTTAGTCTTCTCCATTGGCTCTGCTTAACAGAATGTAGAAGTGATCCTATAGTTTCTACTATATTAACGTGGGCATGCAAATTGTGATTACTTTCCACATTAATCAGGAGAAGCTGCCAGGATCCATCAATGTAAAGGAAGGGTCTTTGCGTTGCAGGACGAGCCAGAAGTTGCACGCGTGTGGTTGCCCAATAACGATTCCCCAGGTCTAGCTATGGCTCGAGCTTTCGGTGACTTCTGCCTCAAGGATTTTGGTTTAATCTCCGTACCTGATCTTTACTACCGTCGTCTCACATCGAAGGACGAATTCATCATTCTCGCCACTGACGGGGTAATAACTCGTCCTGTGTAAGATACGCATGCCAGCTACCAATTTGCATTGTTCCTTTGCTTATTATCTCTTGACATTCAGGTTTGGGATGTTCTTTCCAATATGGAAGCTGTGGATATCGTTGCTTCAGCACCTGGTCGCTCAACTGCAGCTCGGGCGCTGATAGATTGTGCTGTTCGAGCTTGGAGACTAAAATACCCCACTTCCAAAAACGATGACTGTGCTGTCGTGTGCCTCTTTCTCGATCATCCACTTGCAGAACATGGTACAGAGAACAAAGATATTATGTCCACAAATGAATTGAATGAGACATTAGCTCAAACAAACACAGTCTCGGCGGACACAGAAATGCAAGACGACAGTTCCCGTGATCACGTTCTCATGCATTCAGGAACCATAAGGCCCTGCGAAGAGATTGTTCCGGTGTTCGAGCCTGCAGAGGCAAAAATGACTGCAAAGAGCCAGTCAAAGAGGAGCTTGGCAGAGTGCATTTCGAGCACTGAGGAAGAAGAGTGGTCGGCATTAGAAGGGATCACCAGGGTCAATAGTCTTTTAAGCATTCCCAGGTTCTTAGCTGGGGATAGAAGATCAGCCAGTTGGAGGAAATGGTTATGACCTCGCACACCGAGTCCCGGGTTTCAGTGGAAGCAAATGTCCCATCTTTGTGTTAGTGCTAAGAACTCGGCTCGCTACCCCAGCAGTCATTGAGAAAGCTGGAGGTTTTGATTCCTTGGATTTGTACATCATCTTGCTACTGATACAGGTGATATTAGCAACCAAGTTAGAAGATGTCTGCCTCACTGAAATCAATTTGGTGACCTTGTGTTGCCATCATTCCTCTTTGTATTCAATTTATTGGGTTTTTGTTTTTCTTGTCAAGTACAGCCATATATCTTTTGATGTGATTGAGAGAGGATGAGTTGTTGGAACCATAAGGTGGAACTGTGAAACACATTGCGAAACATGTTTCGTTATTGTAACTTGTACAGTAAAACGTCTGAACAAGGAAATCCCATGGGATGCACCCCTTCAATGCAAAAAGCTCTTACCTCTCTCTCTCCAAAGAGGTTGCTCAGCAGTCCTTCAAAAACGAAGAAAAGAGACAGAGCAAAGGGTCAGAGTAGAGCCCCCTCCTTTCCTTCATTTTCAACGTAAAGAAGACACATTTCCTTCTCTTTCTACTTCCTCTTTCTCCCCTGCTTTTCGTTCTTCTTCTTCTGAACAAGGAATAACCTATGGGCTGCACCCTTTGACGTAAAAGATCTTACATCTCTCTCTCTCTCTCTGAAGGTTTCACTCCTCAACAGTCCCTTAAAAAAACAGAGCAATGGATCAGAGTAAGCTGGAAGGAGTGAAGTCCCATTCTTCCCTTCAAATCGAGGTATTAACTCACATTCATTCACTTAGTTCCCGTTCTTTCATTCATCCGTAACCCTTTCCATTTTCCTCCTGTAGTATATAATCAACGAACGAGTAAAGAAAAAGTTAGATCGCCAAATTACCAGCCTGTTGGCTCATGCCAGGGAGCCACTGATATTTTATGAGCAACTCTTCGAAGGTCCCGTGAACTTCAATGAGGATTAGCTTTGCATCTCCATAGCTCTCGATTGGCCGAAGCCAAGCAGTAATCGTCCAGATCGGTTGAGTCAAATGCACAAGAACCAGAAACCCGAGACATCCTGCAGCCTCCCCAAGTTCACAGTCTGAAGCTGGAATTCCGGCCACCGAATCCATTCTGGAATCCAAATCGCAATTGGATGCAGGAATTTCGGCGCAGTTCATGAATGCACTATGTTTTCTGTTGGTTCCCCGTGTTTCTATGCGATCGTTCTCTGCATTTCCGTTCCTTTTCTCGTTTTTTCTGGCTCTTCCAGGTGCCAATTCAGCGCAGGGTCAATATATCGCACAAAAGTCAATAAATCGCCTAAATATCGCGATATTTTATTATATCGCGATATCTCGTCAATTTCAATTTCTCGTCAATTTCTCGCGTTTCGATTTTGGTTTTGAGGCCCCGAAACGTTTCACGTTTCGTCCGTTTCTGGCATCCGTTTTTCACCCTTGCGGGGGTTTCCCTTTTTCGCACGCCGTCCGCGTACCTCCCAACCGAAACGCCACCCAATTTCAGTTTTCTGGGCCTTCAATTAAAAAGGGAGGACACATCTTGGGCCTTCGTCTGACTGAAGCCCATCTATTCTCCGAGAGTCAGCCTACCTTCCGATAAATACGGGGTGTCGCATTTTCCAACATGTGGGCCTCTAATTAAACAAAGAGGAATCATTTTGGGCCTTTGTCAAAACTGAAGCCCAACCTTACCAACGGTCACTTCTCCTCCTGTTTCCCCCCTGGCCATGATCCCTTGGCTTGGAAGCTTGGGCGGGGGCTCCAACCGTTTCGGACGCCCGTTTTTTTCACTTCGCGAGGGTTTCCCGTTTCCGCGCGGCCTCCGCCTACATCCCAACCGAAACGCCACCCAATTTCAGTTTTTTGGGCCTTCAATTGAGGAAGCCCATGCTTAGCAGCGCCAGATAGATTTGAGAATCTGTCGTCCCTTCTCCCCTGTTTTTCCCCATGAATTCTTGTAGCTTGGACGAAGCGGATTGTTTGTTCTTGGAGGGAGAAAGAGAGAGCAACCAACCAATCATCCCAACATCTGAAACCTCCCTCCATCTCCATTAGAAGCTGATGGAACTGTCCGTCACGGCCTGGTCGAGTTAAGGGCCGCAGACTCTGTTTCTGACCGGTTATTCTGTAGAACTCAGCAGCACACAACGCAATGCTAAAAAAGACCGACGAGGCGACGACGATATCCACGGATGCTTCTGAAGGCATCGGCGTGTGTGTTGGCCGGCTGGAACTCTTACGCCTCGTCCAGAAACACCGACGACGAAACGAAGGCAGGCAAATAAATGAGTTTTTTCGTAAAACCTATTCTTTCATAAAGTTCGATTATTCTTTATAATATGGACTAGACGACAAGACATTTGACGATGGGGGGCTATAATTTGTGATGGCATCTCATGCAACCAAAAAATGCAAGACATTCAGAAGCAAATATAATGCAAGCTTGGGAATTCGCTAAAGCAGAGAAGATGGTTGGCAGGCAGGTGAAGGTGAAGAATCTTGGGAAAGGAAAGGAATGAAAGCGATGAATACAGTAATAGTAATAATTAATGGTGGTGTGGGTGATTAAATGAAGGGGAAATTATGGGCTTGCTTTCATCAATTGTCACTGTCAGGAGGAGGTGATGGATTCCTTGGAACAGGGGCATCGATCATCATAATAACTATCTGCAGCTGCTGCTGCTGAGCGAGATAGATTGTGGCCAAAAGATTCTCCCTCTGATTGAACCCATGCACACAATAAAGAGAATAGATAGATAGATATGGGGATTCCTCTCTCTCTCTCTCTGAACTCATGCTAAATTGCTAATTAGAATGAGAGAGAGAGAGAGAGAGTAACATCGATCAGGCCCTGAAACTGAGCCCATAAAACAACACTGATACCACCACCAACAAAAAGAGAAAAGGCAGCCTTTGCATTGCTTGCACTCCAACCAAAAAGTTCCATGGAGGAAAGAAAGAAAGAACATTTCAGTTTGCATGTCTAGCTAGTGTTGTGTCGTGAAGGCAAAACTAAAAATAACAGGCGGCCAGTATATATGAATAGCCTACACTTGGTGGTAGCTAGTGATCATAATTCTGAAGTTGGTAGTTAATGTATTATCACAAGTTTAGTTATAGTCATTACTCAAATACCCAAGTCCGTGAGATTTGCTCAAGCCAAAACCAATTATATGCAGTTAGTGTGGATAATACTCTAACTTCTTTTGTTTGATTCATAAACGATGGAAATTTAGACGAGAAATTTTACGATTTGGATATTCGAACGGATTATTAGATAAGATAAATTGATGACAAGACAAAACGTGGGATCTAGTTTAAGTTGTTCGATAACCTGTATGTGTTTAATTATCTTGTTTATGAACATGAAAAGATTAATCTCTAACATTTGACAAAAAAAAAAAAGATTAATCTCTAACTGGTAATCATCGTGATCATACCTTTAACATTGTTATTATTCTTATATATGTTTGAATTGTTCTTCTAATTATGAATCAATTTCACCTAACAACGCTATAATATTGTGACAACATATAGGGTGATGAGTGTCATAATTCTGTGAGTGAGAGCTCTTCTGTTTGATTCTCGATGACTCCATTTTCGGACTGAGCAAACTTCAAGTCTATATAAGTAGTTTGAATTTTAGGGAGTATGTTAATTTGTAGTATAAAATTTATTATTGAATCAGTTCTATCCATTCGAGTTATAATGACAAACTAACTTATATAACAATGGGTGCATGATGTTTGGGTTTGGATATGATTAATGAAGTGACAAAAGATACTAATAAATTTTTAGTTTGGCACCTCATCCATAATTATTATCAGCTATCAAATCTGTAATTATACAGCAACATTCACCTTTTCAAGGAATTTTCCCCAAAAGAATCCAACATCTATGTGTATATCCACACAGGCACATACTCTCTCCCACACACCCTTTTACAATGTGTCAAACACTGCCTTCAACCTTTTCCATTTTGGATTGTTGTACATTACTACATGAGAGAAAGAAAAGCCAAAATGTTATCACTATCTAGCAGGAGTTCTGTTGTGTGATGTTTGCCATTATTCATGATGAGATATATAAGAGAGAGTAGTTTGTCTATATACCTCATTTTATCTATCCTTTCTTTTACCCAAAACTTTCAATTAGTTTCCATATATAGGAAGTTGCTCAAAGGAAGTTATGTAATAGCTAGTGTAAGAAAGGGGTGGATGGGAACCATTCATGCCATTGATGGGGCTCCTCTTGAAGAGCTAGCATCATGATTCATGACCCATGTGCATATGTATAGATACCAATCTTATATGTCGTCTGAGTATTAGCACATCTAATAGTACTCAAACGACGTATGAATCAAATTGTGTTCGTTTCATGTTTGAGACCGCATGCAGTTCACTAAATAATCGAACTCGTGACCAACTATGTAACATAGAGGTATTATTAGTTCTTTAATATATATGTTGCATGTATGTTTCGTAATCAGCTTATTGTTAATACCTTAGAATCGATACAGAATCGATATATATTTCGCCACCTTAGTAGAAGAAGAGATCACAAAATATACAACATTGGAATTGCATACCTTACTAATCGAAGACCACAAAACTTCAGTTTTGTCCCCATAAAGCATGCATCTACTATGTGTTCCAGGAAAACGAGTTATATAATTGGGGGATTGTTTTGTGGGGAATCCATGTGGAATCACATAGTTCCACTCGACAAAATGACCAGCAATTCAACCCCATGGATTTCTCGCTCCAAAAGAACCAAAATTCAAACTGATTTGACACATATTAAATGAAGAGGGCACTGTTGGTCACCAAACCCAATTAAGACAACCTGCAAATAATGTCCATTTATGTCGCAATTAACAAGAATGAACAATACACAACATTTTTAGAAAGAGAGGAGGATAAACGTACTTCTAGCTTAATATCACCACAATGTCATCATAATCTTACATGCGAAAAAGTAAAACGATTATGTGTCGATCTATTGACAAAAACATCCATCATCATTAGCAACAAGATAAGTACGTAGATGAGGGGAAGGAAATATCATGAAATAAATAAGCATTCACTAAGCATTAAATCATCGATATTTTTCGCGGATGCTATTAATTTCTTTCATTTTCAACAACAAAGTATTCATGGCTACTTTGGAAACCGATCGATGATGGTCGGTGTTAGAAACTCGGTTTCTAACTATTTTGGAGTTTTTGACTTATTTGTCTGTTTATTATTGTTTTGAGGATCTTGGGTGTTATTGGTCGGTATTTTCGAATTATTGGGGGTATTATCGATTATTGGGCAAGTATTGGATAGTTATAGAGAATTTATCGGATTGTATATTTTGTAATCATGGGATTAGTAGGGTAAGCATTTACAGAACAAGAATTCCGTAAACCTAATATCTCTTTTCCTCTCTCTCTCTCTCTCTGTTCGGCCGACCCTCTCCCTCTTTCTCCTTGCTGCCGTCGGCCCTCCACCCTAAGGAGGACGACTTCTTCTTCTTTTCTCCCAAACTCCATTTTCCCAACTCTTCCTCTCTTGTCCCCAAATCCCTAAAACCAGTACTCTGTGATTATCTAGCGATTCCCATATTTAAGAACCCTAGATGCACACGCCTAGATCAAGGTTTCTAACAGCTGGTGTCCAAATTCTCATTCCATCGGCTAGAAGGATTATACGAGGGCCTATCTCGATCTTATATGAAATTGAAGAGCATCTTATAACACTGTTGCGACAAGGGTTGGTCATTTCCCACTAATGTATAGCTAGTTTTGTGATCACATATCCCTTATACATGGATATGATCCCACTGATCACCAAGTTCACTACAGCCAACTTTAAGCATAAAGGGTAAAGTTAAGTTTGTCGCCGAAGCGCATTACATAATTCGTGCGGGTCTGAGAGTAGAGAAAGCATAACTACTTTTATACTTGAGGAGTTGACTTATAGAAACAAGCAACACTTAAATATATTCTTGTTAGCTAGTTTGAGGCCATAAGAGAGAGGAATAATGTCATTAATTAATTAGCAGGCCTTGTTCATTAACTAACGAATGTGCCCTAATAAATGAAAACCAACCAACCCACTTGATGGAATGGATGGATGGATGGATCTTCCTTTTGTTTTGTCGGAGCCAGTATATTATATTGTGTGGATGGGGAAGAGAAGAAAGAAGCAAAGAAATTATAAATGGATTGCAATTGCAATTGCAAAGTAAAGAGAAGAAAAGAAAAGAAAAGCTTGGGAAAGCTGCAACTACTATAGCAAATGCAAGAGCGCAGCATATCAATCACAGAGTTTGGGGCCTTTGCTTGTTCTCCTGGTATTCCACTTTGCCAGGTTTCACCATTTTGTGTACCATTTCTTTCTATCACCCCTCACCTCCAACTCCAACCAAATCAAAGCAACCCCCTCCATCACCCTAGCTAGCTATAGCTTCCATAATAAATACAGAAAGGTAAGTCGAGAATCACCATCGATAACGTTTTATTTTAGCGATCGAACTCTTTTTTATTATAGTATCTCATGTACAAGTTACGGTTAATCTCAAAAGTATTCAGTATAGATACATACATGAGAGTACCGTCATTTGGACCTATGAAGTATAAAGATATAGCATGATAATAATTTTATAATACGAACCTTTCGAGATGCGATAATTATATCATTTATGTTCTACAAGCAACTACTTTTTATCATATTGCATACAACAGCCACTCATTAAAAAAATAAATTTATGATGCATTGATAAATAGCATCAAATACGCTGGATCAAACTCTGCGTACATTCAAATGCATTTTATTTTGATCCTTGGTTGTTCTTATTAATCCATGTATGTATATTCCCTTGCTAGTTGCCACCCTTTCCCATGTTTCTAGGGTATTCTTCTTCTTTTTTCCCACCCTGAAGTATCATACATATCAACATATGTACATAAATTTTCTTTTTGCCCTCACTTCCATTTCCTTTTTGTTGTTCTATGTTTTGGGGAAGGAAAGGAAAAAAAAAGGAATATCCTCTTACTTTCTTTCCATCATCTCAATCTCCCTCCCTCTTGCTCTCGTCTCACCGCCGCACGCCGCTTCCTTCCGATCACCGGGTAGCCGACTCTGTTCTTATCATCATCACTACTACTATGTTGAGCTCCTTCAATAACACCACTACTACTTCATCCTCCTCCCACGACCCCGACGAAGACGAGCCATCTCCTTCCACCACCGCCGCCGCCGCAGATCTGCACTTCCACCACCTCATGGCCGCGGCACCACCACCGCCCTTAGCACTACCACCTCCACTGGCCATGGCCTCCTCCTCCTCCTCATTCGCCACGTCGGCAATCCACGTGCGGCACCTCCTGGCGAGGTGCGCGGAGCTGATGTCATCCTCCTCCTCTTCCGCCTCAGGCCACGCACACCGCCTTGTGGCCGCACTCTCCGCCGCCTCCTCCCCTCTCGGCGACTCCACGGAGCGCCTAGCCCACCAGTTCGCCGCAGCCTTCTCCCTCCGCCTCCACAACCGAGTACTAATCGACAACAACAACAACAACTCGGCTGCGGCGGCGATGCAGTCTTGCTACCTGTCGGTGAACCAGATGACTCCGTTCATAAGGTTCGCCCACCTGACGGCCAACCAGGCCATCTTGGAGTCCGTGGAAAGCGAAGCCGGAGGTGGGATCCACATCGTGGACTTGGACATCATGCACGGCGTCCAGTGGCCGCCGCTGATGCAGGCGCTGGCCGAGCGCCGCCCACCTCCTCCCCTCCTCCGCATCACGGGAGCCGGCAGCGACCCCGAAACCCTCCACCGCACCGGCAGCCGCCTCTCCAAGTTCGCGCACTCCCTGGGGCTGACCTTCCACTTCCACCCCTTGCTCCTCCGGCCCGACCACCAACACGTGGTGAGATCCTCGTCCGTGGCGGTGGTCCCGGGGGAAGCCCTAGCGGTGAACTGCATGTTCTACCTGCACCGCCTTGTGTCGAACCAGCAGCAGCGGGAGGAAGAAGAACAAGTTTTGAGGGTTTTTTTGAGTGAGGTGAAGGAGGAGCTTTCGCCGCGGGTGGTGACGGTGGGGGAGAGGGAGCTGGAGGGGCGGGAGGTGGGGGATGCGGTGGAGTACTACAGGGCGGTGTTCGAGTCGCTGGAGGAGACGGTGCCGCCGGGGAGCGGGGAGAGGGCGGCGGTGGAAGGGGCGTGGTTCGGGAGGGAGATCAGGGAGGCGGTGGCGATGGCGGGAGTGGGAGGAGGGAGCAGCCGGAGGATGGAGTGGTGGGGGAGGGTGATGCGGAGGGCAGGGTTTGGGAACGTAGGGTTGAGCCCTTTCGCCGTGTCGCAGGCAAAGCTGCTGCTCAGGTTGCACTACCCTAGCGAAGGGTACCGCCTCCAAGTGGTGGATCGCAAAGAGGTTGAGGAATTAGGTGACGACGACCAGAATCTTAGAGTTAGAGGGCTGTTGTTGGGTTGGCGGGATCGCCCTCTCTTCTCCTTCTCTTCCTGGCGATAGCCTGCCACCCTGCCTACCTGCACCTTGCTTGGATCATATCATATGATCATCATGATCCAATATTGAACAAGCTAAGGTCGTTACAACATATATTTTGGTGGTTTGTTGATTAATTTACGTATTAATTAATTAATTAGTGAGTGGGCATGCATCACATTACTAATATATAATGAGCTTAGGCTAATAATTTTATTCCCTGATTGATGTATAATTTTGATTAGGACAGTGTGCTTTCATGATAAGCTTTGCATGCACTAAGGAAAAATATATATAGCTAGTGCGCAATCAAATGTATATTAATTGTCAATTCAATATTTGGTTCATTGGTCAATTTCATTATGGCAAGTGATATGAGTGACCCACAAAGAGAAGAATGTCAAAAGCCAAAAAGGAGGTCATTATTATGATTGATCGATACTCAATTTGATGCTAAACCTTATCGATATTCAATTCGATGCTTCAAGTTTTGAAGAATCCTATATATTGTACGTACGTGACCCACAATATATAAAACTATAGAAAGAAAGGTAAGGTATGAACTGAAGGATCATATTGAGAATGACTAGCTAGAGGTTGACCTTATTTCGGACTTTATTCCTCTATGCGCGCTGACCTTGCTAGCGATCAGGACGTGATCATTAATTATTATTAATTAATCAATCAATTAACATCGTGATGATCATTATTGGTTGGAGTACACGTGCATGGTAATGGGTATATATATATATATATGCTGGTCCTCCTGTGCTGCGATCCAATTAAGGGCATGGCTGATGGCCTCTCGTGGAAAATTCAAAACCATGCATATGCATGTATAAATTTATACTCTTGGTGGATAGATACACAAACTGATTAGAAAGCTAAACTTATGTGTCTCGTTTCATTTTTCTCTGAACCCGTAAAAATTTTGTATTTTTTTCCTTCAATAATACTAGTATCGCAAAAACCTGATCGTCTAGTCATCATTCATTGTACATGTGCTACTAACGCTATAAGTTTAGGTTACACTACTCAGCGATTTTCTTAATTAGTACACACACGTACGTGTGCATTAGTATAGCACAGTTTCTTGAGGTGTATAGGTAGGGTTTGGGGTTGGAAATTGATGAGTGATGCAGTACCTGCAGAGCATCAATCCATCATTGTCATAATACTTTTTTTTTTTTAACATTTCAAATTAGAGACCTTTGTGGAGACATATATGATCAGTGGGGTACGTAATGCGTATCTTTGACATACTTTCATTCCCCCTAATATCCTCTCTTCTCCCTAGCTAGCTTATAAACTTATAATAAAACCATTTCTTAGTTACGTTGGTTAGTTTCTAATTGATATTTTCCCCTTCTTTTGCTATATGTGGAAGAGAGCATTTCGAATTTTGCGATTGTCTCTTTCTTCCCTGCCCGTACGTGTGGATTCTCCTCATCTACAAATATTTTATTTTAAGTACTATTAAAGCTTAATTAAGTGGGGGATCTTTCTTAGTTACCTAGCTAATATATATATATGTAAATTGAATTTGTATATGTTCCATGATGTTATGTAAAGCAAAAGCACCTCCCTTCCCCCAAGAGGGGTTTCTCCTTTTGTCTCCATTTGCTTAAAATAACATTTGAAAATGGTAATGGTGGATCACTAGCTAGTTGCTTGTTTCAACCCTTTTTTCCTTTTGTTGCTATTGTTGTTGGAATATAATGGTAGTGTTGGTTGTGTCTTGGTGCCTTGGTGGTGTGTTTATGCCCAATGGAATGCCTTTGTCTTACCCCTCTTATCAATATTCCTTTTGGCTGACTTTTATTTTATGGGTTCCAGTTCCACGATGATGAGAGTAGTACTCTCTTGGTAGCAAGCAAGCTACAAGAAAATATGATACATGTATCCAAATTATATATCTAATATCAAGCAAGAGCTTTGAATACCAAACAATTAATTAATGATGTAATCATATTCCTTCTTTTCTATATATGCAGATCATAGTTTGAACAATTAATCATCAATGCTGATCTACCCTTGTAGTTGTAATATACATAATATCGGTATTAACACTAGAAGCAATTTAGAGTGGAGATTTCATAAAGCATGCTTTCTTTCACCATCATTCTTCTAGCTAGCTAGTAGCTATACCATGCATGACTGGCTTGATTCATTGTGTATGGTCGAACCTCTCTCGTATTAGTTTACATATAGTAAATATACCCTTGGAAAAAGATTAGAGGAAGACTCAAGATATGTTGTCAAGGTGTAAATAAGTTGTGTTTTGGTGTGTGAGTCTAGAGCTAGCTAAGATAGGCCAGCTTGATTGTGTTATTGTTTGTCTTTTAATATTGATACACATGCATGTATATATATATATATCTATATGGCATCAAAATGGTATCAAAATGGTGCCCTAATTTCTGCCCTTTGTCCCCTCTCAACAAAACCATTGGATTTCTCAAAAAGGGACCTTTTCTTGCCCACCCTTTGCCCCCTTCTCCCCACCTCCCCACATTGATTCATCATCACCATCATAAAAAAGTTTTCTAGGTTTGAGAGAAAGATGGATCGATGGGAATCAAAATATCCCAATTAATCCTTAGTAATTTATTAGTTTAGGATACCCTTAGCTTTTATGAGGAATCAATTGCTTAATTAACTACGTACCTCCTCAAATTCTTGCATCATTTCTACTTGCATGTCTCTCTACTTGTAGTTGTATGTAGCTAGCTTTAGCTTAGCTGCCTATAGGCATCACGTTTCCCCCTAACTAGCTTGTTACTTTTGCCTCAAGGGGAAGGAATCTATATATCCATCCTTCAGGGAGGGGAGAAAGCTAAGGGTATCTAATGATGAAATGAGCACCTGATAATGTGCCACAATTTGGTATTAGCTAGCTAGTAAAAGCATTCTCTTTAATATATATCGATACATAACCGTGGTTCAAATTTCATTGTCGTCGATATTGAGAATACTACGTCCTATTGCTTGTAAAAGTATCAAGCAAGAGTATTATGCAGTTTTTCATCAGATAACGGTGAAACTCATCTAGAAAGCAACATCTATAAATCATATAGACAGCTGGAGAGGACAAAGCCTTAATTATTACAAAGTGTAAGAACAGTTCCAGTATGTTACTAACGTTGTGTCATCAAACAAGCTAGACTCATGGTGGCTTCACTTGGCAGTTGGCACTCATTGTTTTTGCATGCACTCACTAACTCGGCAAATTTTGACTTAATTTGATTTTTATATAACGAGAGAGATTATAATCGTTTCAAATGCCAAAATAAAATAAAAAATTCAGCCATTGAGAACTATATATGATACCGTACGTGTGACATTAGATTCCCATATCATGCTCGGATAGTTAAAATAAAAAATGAGTGTAAGAGTATTATACTAATTAAATCTGACAGAAAATGGAATCAAACGTTTGCATCTTAGTATCAAATATTGGAGTGGGAGAGTCGGAGAGAGGTAACAAGTTGGGAAGTAGAAGAGGAAGGGCAGATGGATTGATTTATGTATTATGGGTGTCAACTTGGGGAATACAAGTGGGATGGGAAGGGGTTACGTTTGTTTGTAAATAATGTAGTAGGGTTTCCTTTCATTTGCTTTGGCTTGCTGACATGGATAAGATGGTCACTAGCGTGTATTGTAGATTTGTAGTCCCAAAACCCACAACTCAAGAGAGAGAGAGCATGAAAGAAATAAGTGCATCATATCAATGGGGAAACAGAAGGAATGGAAACAAGGGAAACCAGACCAGAAGATCGATCGAGATGTCCAAGAACCAATTGATTCCAATAATTCGAGTTGTTGGGGGAAGTTCAATTGTGTATCATATACCACAATACTAACACGCCCCCTCAAAGGAAAGCCACTCACAAGGGTTTGAAGTTTGCACAAGTCTAAAGACAAGAATACCATGTGCTTAACAAATGGAGGTCACCGGGAATCGAACACAAGACCTCTCGGTCACAGAAGGCTCTATTATCATGTCAATAACCAGTTGATCCTAATAACTCGAGTTGTTGGGAGAAGTTCAATCGTGTATCATAAACCACAACACTAACAAGAGAAGCCGTCTGCGACTGTGGATATATGGCCTTAGCCTCTCTCTCTGCTAATTTCTATTTGATTATTTGGATGTTTCAGAAACACACACGCTTGCCTAAGCTAACATCCCACGTAACGTACATACTATATGTTCATGGCTCCATATATATAACAGCCAGCCGGCCATCGTATTGCGTATAGCTAAGATCGATTCGATGGCTCCATCCATCTGTATTCATTATACTAGTTTGGTACCCGGTCCGTTGGCCGGGCAAATTTTGTTTGAAATATGTACTTTGGTAATTTTTTCCTCCTAAGGTGTCTATTTTGTTCAGTCTGTCATTGTCCTCTCTCATTTCAAATCGTGTATACATTTGAGTCCGACCAGTTGGCCGCTAAATAATTTTTTTTAAGGTAAATTAGTTTGTACTGCACGACAATATTTTAGCACCCATGAAATTGTTGTGCATTATTATTATGATATTACAAAATTAAACATTGATATTATTTAGTAACTCAGTAGAATAAGAAATTTGTTCTGCGATCTATGTTAGTATATACTTTATGGCGGTACAATTGAATGATATTGATATAGTTTCGCAACTATCGAATAGGAACATGCCTTGTATATATATGATTGTGGCTATGTTTAAAAAAAAATATCAAAATGGATATCCTTGTGTAGATCACATAAAATCTGATTTTTTCGCGCAATAATATTTAAATTTGGAGTTGAAGCGAAATAAATATGAATCAATTAAGAGTAGTAGGGGAGATTTAAAAATAAGAGAGAGAGAGAGAGAGAGTTAAGTGGCACATTCTGATTGGGGTATAGAAAAACTTAAAATAAAAAAAAGGAGTTAAGAAAAAATATGATTGGTCGGAAGGGTGCTGACGTGGATGGGGCTGAAATTTTGAAATGGTGAAGGTAGTTTTTGGAAAAATCTTTATATATTTTATAGATTTATATATATATCCATATTAATTCCATTTTCTGTCAATATATATATAATATATTCTTTCGCCTTGGAGCTGTCGTGTTTCTCCCATCAAATCGAGATGGATAGATAGATAGATACCAGGCAGGCAAGCAGGCAGCGGATGGAAGTAACTTAGCTTGTTGGCCTTTGCTGCTGTTGCCGATTTATTGCTCCTCTTGCTCACCTACCTCCTGCTCTGCTGCTGCATGTGCCTTTACTTTTCTTTAATTTGCAGAAAACAGAAACTACACTACACAACCCACCCAACTGACTACCGAAGGCAAGCTAAGGTGTCTTGTTGTTCTGCTCTAGTTTTCAGCTTAATTTGTTTCCACTCATAAATCATCATTCCCAACTCAAGTTCATGCATGCATGCATAGTGTATGTTTTACCTCCATGCAATTCAAGTTATCAATACGAATTGAACTTTGCAATACAGCTGGTATTATTCAGCATTATTAACTTTGTAGGGATAGTTAATTTTGATCAAAGCATTTGTTTTAGAGTACAGTTTTGTATGTCCACCATTTACCAATAACTCGAATTGTTTGGAAGATGTTCAATTGTGAATCATATACCATTTATTAATAAAAGCAAAATGGTAATTAATTATTATATAAGGGGTTAGAGATTAATTCCACCTTGATAAACAAACAACACTGAGCAAGCAAGCAAACAAGGTAAGGTAAAATATATATTACTAATTAATTACCCCGTTATAATTATGCTAAGGTAAAATACATATATGTAGGAAACAAAGAGGGACAAGTTTCTCGTAATTGATGTTGTTATAATTGTATATGCCATTCCGTCGCCCCCGGCCAGGCCACCATGTCGTCGATCTGGACCCAAAACAACAATCTCCTTCATCAATATTCTTCCTTCCTTCCTTCCTTGTACTCTAATTAACTTCCCAATGCGCTGTGTAACTAATATAATAACGTTGACAATATCAGAGGATGGGTGAAGCAAAGTCAGGTCCCCGATTTTCTGAGAATTTAGAACTGTACAATCAACAAAGCTGGAATAGCTCAGTTGGCTAGAGCGTGTGGCTGTTAACCACAAGGTCGGAGGTTCAAGCCCTCCTTCTAGCGAGTTCCCTATTTTTTCCCATTTTTCTTTACTGTTCACGTGTGGGGTTGTTTCTTTTAGGTGTATACAATACAAACAAATTTTACTGAGACAGAGATGTATAAACTATAGAGTAACTGAAGCGAGAGAGGGGAGAAAATGGGGGGTAGGTGGGTGTGTGCGTGCGTGCACAATAAGGTAATGTAGATGTGATCTGTGCACAACACTGCAGCAGCATCACTTCATCTGCAGAAGCAAGCCAACAACAACACCACCCTCACCAAAAAACAAAAAAAATGAAAGGCAGACCTGGAGTGAAATTATACTGAAATGAGAATAAGATACCGACCATTTATGTATTCATACATAGACAAATAATATCTGTCTGTGTTGATGTAGAGATGAAGAACTACTTACAGACAGAATGGCCGAGAGAGAAGAGAACCGCCCAATTGGAATTGAGAACTTGTGAAGAGAACTACTCACAAACAATACTAGCTAGTCAACCACTCCCACAGCCCACATGTTTACTTGCTCTCCTAATATTTATTATGTCCAAACTTAACTGCTTAACATACATTGAACCTGGGTCTAAAACTATGGTTATAACTTCTTTTTTTTATTTTGTGCTTTATTTATCATACAACTTTTTTAAGTTACAAATGAACAGATTACTTCTCTTCTCTAGTGAACAAATTTGCATTTTAATCTTGTTATTATTCTGCAGAGGAAACTGTCCAGTATACAACAGTGGATGATGCTCTTCTTATTCTGCACTGTAAATGTAGGCTTCTCAAGAGTTGGGGTCCAACAACCAAAGTTTTGAGTTAATTTCACGGAGGGCTCTCAAACAAATATCAGATTCTACAGGAAATCCCATCATCATCATCTGAGTGCAGCAACCAACACGGAAAAAACCCAAGCTGCCTATATAGATAGCAGAAGCGGAGTTTAACCTTCTTTCTTTCTTTCTCTCTTTCCAGGCTGATGCTTCTTCCATTTCTCTACTGAATCGTTTTCCTTTTTCCTACAGGGGGAATTCTTTCTGGAGAACTTCCAGGTTCCTTGAATCGCAAGCGTCCATCAGGTCGTTCCTAGATGCACAGCTGCAAAACAGTAGGAGAGGAGAAGGTGATGTTAAAAGAACCTCAAGCAGCAAGAGGTATATGGCCGGGATGGGTACATACATGTCTTGGAGTATAAGAGGCATACCTCAGTGAAATCCTCAAGTATTGCCAGGCATTATCTGCCTTTGGATTCATTGCCAGTGCACGGACATAGTACCTTATTGACTCTTCATACTTTCCCTGCGACGAGAGAAACAAAGAATTCACAGACTACTCTCAACTCCCAAGCCTATACCCTAAATGAACCTTTGCAAACTTCAGTTAAATTCTCCTTCTAAAACCATTCCATAAATCATGCTTCTCGAGGGAAGTTGAGAAATAAGCCAAAAGTACCATTGATTTTGCACAAAACCGTATGACATGTTCAAAACAAATACATAGTCGTTGAATGGTGATTCTGTAGTAATACTGTACTAGGGATCATTCATATGATCCAAAATGTTAGTAAAACCAGCCATAAGAAACAGCCGAGTACCAACACCACCAAGATTCTACGTTCAGATATCATAGCAAGCAACAGTATAGACTATAGAGGTAAGGACCTGGTTGGCGAAACTGATTCCCAAGTTTGCCCAAGCACGCACATAATTGGGCTTCAAATCAAGGGCCTGAAACAGAGGGGAAAACAATATTACAATCACCACATCAACAAGTATATATATTGAAAAAGAAAAAAGGGAGTGATAAGCACCAAGCTTGTTCCACAGGGAGTGAAAAAGCCAAGACACTAGACTACTTGGCCGTTGTTGGGTAAATATTGATAAATACATGAGATATGCATCAAGGAAACCCTCAGAAAGCTTTATCTCATAGGGTGGCATTTACCTGCTGATAAGCTAATATAGCATCAGCACTTTGAACGCTATTTGCCTGTGTAGCTCCAAGCTTGTTCCACAGGGAATAATCTTGTGGCTTCAGTTTAAGGGCAAGTTTGAAGGAGTCAATGGCTTTATCATATTCTCGTGACAAGTTATAAAGCACTCCGAGTACTATGTGCACGTCAGCATCTTCAGGAGACAACTGAGCAGCTTCCTCAAACAACCTAGCTACCTGCATATCGAGAGGTCTTTATCAGAGGGGAAAATGGAAGTAAGATCTACTGGATCTAAAGCATGTTTTTCCGAAAGGAAATCGAATTTTCATCTCATGAGTTTTAGACACATGTGGTTGGGTTAACACACAAATGGTGTCTTTGTCTTCATCCCAGTGATGAATGAGCACCAAAGTAGCCCAGTTTTAAAAAGATTAGCACTTACATCTGCATAAAACAAAGAGGGAGCCTCCGATGGCGCAAGAGTTCCATACTTTGAGTGGTTGCGTAACCATCCGTATAAATACTTTAGTGCAGCTGCCTGCTCCATCTCTGCAACGACAAAGATGGTTACTCCAGATTAAATGTAAAAACGAGGATAGGCATCTCATTAGTAATACACTAAATAAAAATCTGAAGTATACAATAATTTTAAAATCCTTATGAAGTACTAATCAAAGCAAACAAAATTTTGCGATTTTTTCACATTTGCCAACAAACCCAAGTAGTTAACCATTACTACAAAATATTATAGAAATTTGAGTCAACAAGGATGAGGTTAAAGTGTAAAACCATGACTAACCATTAGTGTGGCTAACACCAAGAGCTAGGAGGACTTCAAGATTTGTGGGATCAGATTCATGTGCACGCATCATAGCTGCTATGGCCTGTCAAGACCAAATTTCTTAGATGAGCCCCCAATATAGTAAATGATAAGAAAACAGACATGCTAAATAGCTACAGAACAAGAAAATCTTGATGGCAGCTTGAGAAGTGACAATCACTTGTCACAACCCAAGCGATGACTAGTTCACCAACCATGCAATAAGCGAGAAATCTCGAGAATGATAGAGAAATAGAACCAGTTCATCAACTATCGCAACCAGCAAAACCAACCAATCAAGGTATACGTGATATACTTAATTTAAATCAGAAAGAACTCTAATATAATGATTAAATAGCATTTGAATAACCTGATGATCATCATCATTCTCGGCATTTGCTATTCCAAGCAACCTCCAACCTTCAGCATTTTCAGGGTTTTTCATTACTTCGGCCTCTAAAGCAAGGACTGCTTCACTTAAAAGACCTTTGCGGAAGAGCTCTTGGCCCTCCTTCAAGGGGTTGGGATGACCAACATAAGGATTCATCTCGGAGAACTCATATGCTCCCTTGGAATTCTGCTGTTTAGCAGCCATTTGTTCATTCAAATAACTGCAAACAATATCACATGCCGATAAGCTAACTATAGCAAGATAAATCGAATGAGGAAAAGAACAACCAACAAACAGATGACTAAGAGTATACGGAACCACAACATAGTATATGATAAACAAGATCAGGTGAAAGAAAATCTACTATACTATCAATGATAAAAAAAACTTCATAAGTTACCGATTGATGAACAATGTGGTAACTCAAAGCAGAAATTGAACAAAGTTTAGAGAAAGCATTAGGGTCAGAAGGTTTCAGCTATAATTACTCGTCATATGCATTTGTCCAACCATCAGCTGTATCATCCTCCTTCAACTGTTGTCCAAATTCTTCCACCCAGTCATTGACATGCAACTTTGAGAACTCATTTACCCACTCATCATCAGCAGGCCCATTTTGCTCCCTTCCAGTAACAAACTCATTTGCCCACTGATCCGGGCCAGCAGAAAGCTGAAAAAACATAAACAGAGACTTCAATATATCTTGATGCAGGAGGCTAGCCGTTATAGGGGCATAATATAGATTGTTTCCAATAGCAATCCTGGTGCAGATGATTGACAGTCCAGCATCGGCTTTATTATGTGGAATGTAACTGTTGGCATTTGTATAGAACAAGATCATGGTCCTAGCATATGATAATAACCAAAAAGACTAATTTACAGATTGTAATTAACACAAGGAAACCAAGAAGTGGAGCATCCTTGTTACCCATTTGCTAACAAAAAGAGAACACATACACGCACTACTTGCCTGGTTGTTTGCATACTCATCAGCCCATGAAGGGCCAGCACTGTACTGCCCTTGATACTCCGAAGCCCAATCCCCAGCTGCAGAGGGCATTGCAGGCTTGACTTGATTATCATCAAAAATGAGTTCACCGCGGCTCATCTTTGACACAAACTGCAGAAACTTTGAGTTCTGCAAACCATAGAGTAAAGATATAAACACACGTCCATGCATCCAGAACACAGATAGCTGATGGAAAGATACGTTCATCATGTCCATATATGATATATCATCTATGAACTATGGCGAACAACTAAGGCTGACATAGCCAAACAAAGCAAATATTCCAAGACAGGAGTCGACAATGCAATTTTATGAATTGGCCTTTATCAGTCACGCTGTCAATCAACCTGAAATTTGGGATTGCTATTTAAAGCTAGTGTGTGTGCCAGCATACGACTCTGCTCCATTGCAGCCAAATCTGGGATATTTGCGCCTCTTGTCAGATCTAATGTTCCCAACCGCTGCTCCTGTATAGGGAACGGCAATTAAACGAAGTGAGAGAGCGGTGCTTTATAAACACAAAATTGCAATGAGTAAAGAAAAATGTGATGTATGTGGTTATTAAATTGATGAGAAACATCTCCCACTGGAGTATTCAGTTATGGTGGAATGCAATTCCACAAACAAAGAAAAACACTATCTTACCTGCTCAAATTCAGATGCCCAACCATTGGCTCCATGTTGCTGTTCAAATGAGTTAACCCAGGGATTGGGATCACCATAGTCTACCCTGTTGTAAGTAAATTCTTTAGCCCATCCATCAGCAGCATGGGGAGCAGGAATGAGAGCACCTTGAGACTCATTCCAATAATTCTCAAGTTCTTGAGGACCAGGTCTGGCAGCACCTTGAGACTCATTCCAATAGTTCTCAAGCTCATTAAATTTTGAATGTGGTGGCCCATTGGCGTGCACTTCATTGTCAATGTCCAGTGTAGACAGTAGTGTATTTACCTAGATTCAAGAACATAAACTAAGTCTTACCTCTTTTCATGCGTGTTCAGCACAAGGATACATCAGCCAGAAAAAATTGTAAACAGAGAGCCACATACCTGAGCGTTGATGAAATCTTCACTCTTGTCAGCAAAAAGGTGTCGGGCCATTATGCTGCTACGGTCACGTATGCATCTTCTGTCACTTTCAGATAGTCCTAACGCAGGAACTGGAATGTGAGCAAGTGGAATTCCGTCCCGGCCACTGGCAACAAATGCATGTAGGCAGTTTGATAAAATTGCTTGCGGCGAGTCTGAAACATATGAAGAAAGATGTCATGCACAACTGCAACAACATAAGAAGAAGAGCAATGATCAACAAACAGAGAGAGAGAGAACATGTGAGGTCCTCGGAAGCTAGGCTATAGAATTCTAGTGCTAGTAAAAATAAAAGTAGTTAAGAACCTACCAAAATAGATGGATTCCTTAAGCATCAGAAGCATAGATAGTTGAGGAGTTCCTTAAATAGTGAACTTATGCATGTAAGGACTTGAAAATAGCAATGATAGCCAAATTTGTCGCAAGTGATCCAAAGGTTGAACTATCAGTTTATTGGTACAATTATTCTGATGCACAAAACAAACATAGCTCTAGCACTAGAATCATGCATTGCTCTCCAATGAAGGAAGCATGCACAAAGAATGACTTTTTCCCATACATTCTCCATGATCTAAATGAGCCATCATACAAAGAAATCCAAAGTCTGCATGCATTTAACTCCAGCAAAGCAAGTGCAAAATTTATATATCAGTTTCAAAGCTAGCATATCACAACTTGCAACTGTGCAGTCAGTACAATCCCAACTCATATGCTACTTCTCAACTACACTGCAAATTTTGTTTGAGCACCACCCACGAGCAATTTAAATTCTGAAACTACATTCTAATGAACTTGCCATGTGATGTGACTGACATAGTGTTATCAACTCATAGCTGGTTCAACTACAACTTACTACAATCCCAAAAAAAAAAAAAAAACACAGCATCCACTGCTAAGTTCAGTTATAGCAATTCAATTGCCGCAATTACCCACCAACAGCTGGATCAACCATAACTGGTTGAGGAATAGGAAGGCCGGCGTGATGAGGACGATAGAGTCCAGGTGCCTCCACCATCTGTCCATTTACCTCATCCCAAACATGACGCAGCCCATTCTGTTCAGCACCCCGAAAACCTTGAAGAAACTCAGACCCCTGCCGAATTCCAGAAATGAACAATTCGAATTAAGCAGAAACCAAACAATACCAAATCAAGCAAATAATAAGGGAGGGGGGAAGTAACCTGAGCAGTGGCGGGAGCAAATGGCCCATCGAGTTCCGTCCCAGGGAGTGCCGTCAGAGGATCCACGGGTTGCTGGAAGAACCTATTCTCCGCACCGGTCGATGTCGACGTCGGGATTTCGTTCAGCCGCTCCTGTCGTTTCCGCAGGCAGAGAGAGGGAGAAATTCAATTTTCCATTTACGAAAAACGGCGATGAAACGAAACCGCCGGCCGGAAATCAGCAGTTACCGACTAACTAACCTGAGTCTTGGAAGATGAGCCGACGAGAGCGTTGGCCAGGGCGCCGAGGGGATTGGAGGAGGAAGACGAACCAGGGACGGCGCAAGCGGCGCCTCCCGAGACAAGCTCCCGCATCGCCATGGTCAGAGTAAGAGATTGAACAGAATTGGAGGAGAAGGCAGACGAAATAAATGGAGGAGGAAGAGAAATTGAGCTCACAGGAAGCAGTAATGGAGCTTACTTCTTCCCCGATGGAGCTCCGCCTCTTGCTGACGGCAAAAAATGGGGGAAATAGCCACGAAATTTGACAGGAAAATTGGGGTGGATAATATTTATTTCTCGAGGTTCGGTCATTCAGTTACTTACGTCTTAGCGGCTATTTCTTCGTCTCCGCCCCCAGTACTCTAGTTTGTTAACATTTTGGTCCCTTTAACAATGCTACAACTGGATTGTTGGGCCTTGGGGCCCAAAACTTTCTAAAGGCCCGCCCAACAGAAGATTTGTCGTGATGAACATCTGGTGAAGATATGGCGCCAGAGTGGCACAGTACCCAATGGCAGCAGCAGCAGCAGCAAAGTGATGACACCCACCAAAGCTACCGTCTTCTTCTTCCTCCGCCCATAACTTTCCATGCTGTTATCTTTGAATGGTATAAAATATGCAACTTGCTGACTCCCTCTAGCCCATTTCCTCTTACTTTCCTCTCCCAAAAAAACCAGTTCACTCCATATAGATAATCATAATCATTCATCATCCACCAAATCCCAACTCACCCAGCACAAGACGAAGCCGCTCTTCCTTCCTTCCTTAGCTGGTAATTAACCTCTAGCCTCCAATTAATCTGTGTGTGATCCTTCTATCCCTGTCTGCTTTTCCTGCTTGTTCTGAAGTTCTGGGCCATTTGGGTCTTTTGCAACTAATGGAGAATCTTACTTATGAGAGGGTAAAGTTCGGTTCTTTGTATTTTTTTATAGGAAAAGTTGAGTTCTTTTGGTTTTTATGCCGATCCTGGTAGTCAGAATTTCGTTTATTGGGTCTGTCTAGCTCGGTGAAAATCGAAATTGGCGATATGGGATAAGAGAATTTTGTAAGCAATTTCGAGAATTCCAGCAAATTTCATGCCTATGGGAACATCCCAATGATGCTACAATTGCTAAGAGAAAGTAGTCAAGTTAAGGCCTTTTGTGTCAGACAGAATCAAACCAATTCTTAGACTGACTAGTGTTTTGTTTCTGTAAGAGTTGAGTTTCAACAGTGCAAGTCTTTCTTGTTGGTTGCTTGATTCATTATGTGATCAAGTAAAGAGTTGTTGGATGGCTTCATATCATCCCAATCTAGCTGCAACATCCTACCATATATCTGGAGATCCGTCCATTCTTCAATATCCTACCTTATAATCCGGTTCAGGTCAGGTTAGCCATCACTTCCCTTAGTCCTCTTCCTGTGAGGCATACCTCATTTTGGAAGCAATCAGAGGTTCATGTTTCAAGTTTATACTCTTGTGTCAGCATTGGCTATCCGCTCGATTTGGTTGTGCAAAAGGTTCACTGCCTTCTCAAGAACTCAGAACAGTCCAATTTCTCCTCGAAAATTCACCCCATAAAGCCAAGTTGCAGAGCTCATTATATCATCCACAGTTTGATCTTTGTTGAGTGTGTTGCCTAAGTTTAGCGAGAAGCAGTTCGTACTTCAACTAAGCTAAGCTATAGAGAGGTGGTAATGGCAAAGTGAGGGTTGTCTTCTCTTGTTTATATAGCTCTATTTCATCACATTTTGAATGATGCCTTTCTGTTCCAAATACTGCTACTAGGCATGTTCAGCGAGTAAAGTGTGTTTGTTGAGGTCTTACGTTACTTCTATAAGCTCATCACCATTAGCCCTCATACTCGGTTTCCTTTCATAATTCGCCTTGTTGCTGCAATATATATACATGTAATAATTCCTGCTCGTCCGGTTGACACCAAATTAAATGCTTCCTGCTGCATAATAATGCAGGGTGAGATAGACAGAAAAAGGAAAATGGCAGGCATAGCAACAGCAGAAGCGTGCGACTCGAACGCCCCACTCCTGGCGAGTGGCGACCTCCGAGTCCTCCACCCGGTGTTCACCATCTACGGGCAGAGCCGCATGTTCTCTGGCCCCATCGTGACGCTCAAGGTGTTCGAGGACAACGTCCTGGTGAGGTCGATGCTGGAGACCAGAGGGGAGGGGCGAGTCCTGGTGGTGGATGGCGCGGGGAGCATGAGGTGCGCCCTCGTAGGGGGCAACCTCGGCCAGCTGGCTCAGAACAACGGATGGGCCGGGATCGTGGTGAACGGATGCATACGAGACGTGGACGAGATCAATGCCTGCGACATCGGGGTCAGGGCGCTGGCTTCCCACCCCATGAAGTCCAACAAGAGAGGGCATGGGGAGAAAGGCGTGAACGTGCACATTGCCGGAACTCTGATCCGTGATGGGGAGTGGCTCTATGCGGATAGCGACGGCATTCTCGTGTCCAAATCCGAGCTCTCCGTTTGAAAAGAATGAATGGAAGAAAGAATTCGCCTTCGTTGTTGCTTTGCTTCAAACAATGTAATAACACTATGGAGAAAGGTATAAACCAAACTTGGAAGGACAAGGCCAGGCCACCCTTTTTTTTTTTCTCTTCAGATTCTGTTTACTGTATCTGCCAAACCGGTCAGGTGGGCAATTGAAGACGGGTTTCGGCCTATCCCTTCTGGAAAAGAAACGCCGGCGGAGAGGTTAGAAGGTGGTGGTATGCTGCTGCATTCCATTTATCTAACACCCACATTTATCTACTCGCTCGATCGGCTTTCCCAAGTCCCCCATTCCCTTTAGTTTGTTAACATTTTGGCGGTTAACATCTACTCGCTGAGTGCTGACTCTCTCGAGACTCTTAACCCATTTCCTCCTCCTCCTAGCTAGCTCCTCATGTGTTGGAGGCTCGATCTTTGTCCCTCCTCATAGATAATCATCATCATCTGCCAAATCACCGGCCAGCAAAATCAAATATGTGTGTGTGTGATCCTTTTATATCCCTGTACTGTATGTTTTTTCCTTCTTGTTTTGGGGCATTTGGGTGTTGTGCACCAATATCCCACTGATATGCTACAATTACAATTGGTAAGAGAGATATTGGGGCCGTTTGCATTGTCGGCAGCAGCTACCTCCAGCTAATTTAATTCGATATAATGATTGATGGTTTGGTAGATATGTATAGTGAATGCGGGCCGGGCCTTCTATGCAGAAAAGAAAAGAGTAAATGCGGGCCTTGCTTGCAGCTGCCATAACCATGGTTTCTTACTGCTCTGCTCTGCTCCATTTTGGAGAAAAACAGACCATGTAGTAGTAGTCTGGTAGCAAAATGGGCCGGGAAACAGAAGGTCAAGTGAAAAATGAGTGGAAGGAGAGCATGCCAACCAACCCATATTTTCAGATCTCGGGGTCTCTTCTTTAGCTATATAATGCAGGAGCTAGAAGCCATCAAATCCATCCATTCCATATTTCATTCTTCCTTCCCTTCATTTGCTTGTTCTGCTCTGGTTTTATTTCTATTGTGAAAACAGGTGGCAGATACGAGATTCTCTTGTGAGTAAAAACAGTAAGATGTTTTTTCTTTTGTAGAAACACACGTAAAACTTCAATGCTGTCATTTACTTACCGACTACTGTGCTATATGTTTGTTGTTATATATTTCTGAAAATAGTCGTTCGTAGTACGTATATTGCATTGTAAAATTGTTCAAGGATGCATGATGCAAGGTGAGAGAGACTGAGGAAGAAGAAGGAAAGAAAAATGACAGCTGGAGGCATAGCAACAGCAGAACTGTGCGACACGAACGCCCCACTCCTGGCAAGCGGCGAACTCCGAGTCCTCCACCCGGTCTTCACCATCTACGGGCAGGCCCGCATCTTCTCCGGCCCAATCGTGACGCTGAAGGTGTTCGAGGACAACGTCCTGGTTCGGGAGCTGCTGGACACCAAGGGCGAGGGCCGCGTCCTGGTGGTGGACGGCGGCGGGAGCATGAGGTGCCCGCTCATGGGAGGCAACATCTGCCGGCGGGCCCACGACAACGGATGGGCCGGGGTGGTGGTGAACGGGTGCGTGCGGGACGTGGACGAGATCAACGGCTGCGGTATTGGGGTCAGGGCGCTGGGCTCGCACCCCATCAAGCCCAACAAGAGAGGCCACGGGGAGAGAGGCGTCAACGTGCACATCGCCGGAACTCTCATCCGTGATGGGGAGTGGCTCTACGCCGACAGCGACGGCATTCTCGTCTCCAAATCCGAGCTCACCCTCTGAACACAACACAACAGAACGTCTGTGGAGGGAAGGTTTATTTTAAAGGCCGTTCTTTTAATTTGTTAGGGTGTGATATAAGAATAACATCTGTTATTATTGAACCTTTTTCTAATAATTTGAATGATTGGAATCAACTGATATATTTTTATTTATATGGTGTTAAACCTTTCTAACTACGACTGAAAAAGATTTTTTATTTAAATCTTCGTGGTTTTATGATTTTAGTTTACATTAAAGTATTTACTTAAAAATATTTGAGCCAGTGAACTAGTTAAACCATGGTGGTTCATCTGGTTTATGTTGAATCGTGAAAACTCGTCTGGTCCATCAATAACCATCCAAACACTAAACCAAACCGCTATCGTAACTGATTTGACGGTTTTACTGGCCCCGCTGTTGATCCGGTTGGAATCGTTTCTTATAACAATGTCCTTTACTATACATAATAGACTACCACATCGTCTATTTTCTTCAAAATGAAGCAGTAAACATAATCCTTGGGCCAGCTGCAATTGAAAGGGTGTCGAACGAGTGGCCTAGCGTTCCCGGTATGGGTCCTGGACCGGAACCCTAAACCTCTGGGGACCCTACTCTGTAAAAGAGGAAGGTCTTCAATGTTGTGACAGGTGGGCTATTTACGCCGGAGTTTCTGCCTCCCCCGTGAACGCGAAAAAGAAACTCCGATGCCCCCTGGGCTCACCGGAGGAGAAGTTAGAAGGTGGTGGCTGCTACATGCCTCGCGGCCTGCCCTGTGGCCACTGTTATTTCCTCGCCTCTCCTAACACCCTACTTTTTTTTTTTTGTCTCCGTCGAATTAACCTACTATTCATGGATTGGTGTTAATGATTGCAATTAAACTGAGGATCCAATCCAGGCAAAATGATTTTAATTTGGTTTGATCTACAAGTTTATATGACATGAGATCATATTGATAAATAAGTTATTATAATAATGTGAAACTAAACCAATTGACAAAAGATCGAATTGATAAACCGGTTTTTAAAATGATAAGCATACCGAATGGAATGCAATCTCACTTCATATCAGCTAATATGTTAAATCAATTAGTTCCCTGTCTTGAACAAATCATTTCGCATGCACTTCTAAATTGTCATCTACAAAAGGTAGGATTGATAAATAATTGTAATCAAAATGAGGATCAAACAGTAACAAAATGCATTTGATTTTCACTCAACCTAAAAGCATATGGTTGGAAATGGAATTTCAACGTCAATTCAAACTCGAACTTCGCCAGATGGCAAAAATATCCGTAACCGTGGATATCCACCCGAATCCGACCTAATCGCGTAGGGTAAGACCCGAACCCGAAGCATTTTTCGTGGGTACGGGTAAAACTCAAACCCGAATATTGCGGGTATTGGGTGGGCATGGTTATCTCACTATCCAACCCGAACCCGCCCGATTATACACATGCATATGTATTTTGTCTAGAAATAATTATTATTTTTCCTAGAATATTTTATATTTAGCATATAAATATAATATTTTCATGAAATTATGTTGTTTTAATTAATTTTCGTCATTCTAGTGAATTATTGTCGTACTTTTCCTCTTACGTAATGTGAGTATACGTGTGAATGTTAACATATTGGTTTGAATTATAAGGAGAAATTATTACCCATGGATAACCGTGGATACCCGAAACCCGAACGGGTATGGGCATGGTTTTAATTTTCTACCCGTTTCTCGTGTGGGTATGGGTATGAGTAAAACCCGAACTACATTGGGTAGGGTAACGGATATGCACTATCCACCCTCGACCCGACCCATTGCCATCCCTATTCGCCTCTCTATATGTTTACGATGAATCCTGGAGAGCAGTGGCGGATCCAGGGGTGGTCACCCCTGGCCACGGCCCACGGCCAAGCCGATTCGTAGATAGTATAGCTCTTATGATTTATCGATTTTAGTTATTCGGCCCAGTGTTATTTTATAATAAGATTGTGTGTAATTAGGAAAATAGGTCAGATGTACAAATTCAAACACAACTCTAAATTTAGTCTGGAAATTCTAGCTCCAATGATTCTCTTCTAAAGAAAAACAAATAATGAAACCTATAATTCTAAAAGTCTAAAACGTAAAAGACTAAAAGAAATATGAGGTTTGCTCCCTTGAAAAATTACTTGAGCAGCTGATAGAAATAGAGATTGACACATAATACAAATTGATTAGTCGATTGATTTGTCTAGTGTTGACATTGCCCGTTTCAACAGCTAATATGGAGGGAACCTTTTCAACAATGAAACATGTGACAAATTATTTGCGCAACAAATGAGCGATGAATTTCTCGCCGATTGGTTAACTTTTTTATCCGAAAAAGAGTATGCTACTGGTATGGATGTAGACTCCATTATTGATGAATCCACTATATAAAAATTTAAAAGATCGACGTGTATAATTGATATTGTAAAAAATTTACGATATCTAATTTTCTAATGAAATCCGACCCAGTGCTCTACTGTGTTCTGTATCCGCCGCTGCTGGGGAGTCTTTGCTCTAGAGGAAGGCAGACCCTTGCCATTGTCCAAAGTTCTAACTTCGCCACAGGTTGCTCCAACTTATTCAATGCATTTGATTTGGATTATGTAAAAGTTTTGTGGTTTTAGTAAAATAAATATATATGGGATTTCATGGACACGAGATCATATTGATAAATGAGTCACTAAAACGAGAACCCTATCGAATCAAATGGATTGACAAGAAATTGTATTGATAAATAGGGTGTTGAAATGCTGATGATATACCAATCAACTATTTTTTGTCTTGAAAAATTTATCCCACGTGAACTCCTAGAGCAGCATCTACAAGAGGTATAGAGGCCATATTGATAACTGATTTCAATCAAAACAAGGATCAAACTGTAACAAACCTAAAAGCACATGGTTGAGAATGAAATTCAAGTATCAATTCAAACTCCAAATTCGTCTTCTTGAACTCTTTGTGATGAGTCATGAGTAGTCTCGGAGTAGGAATATCAATTTGAATAAGTCTCATCGGGTATTATCCGAACTAACCCGTGATGAGGCGGGTATTACCCGACTCGTAGTAGTGTGGGCAAGGCATGTATATCTACTTCTGACTCGCCCTATTCTTTACCTATTTAATCTCAATTTCTTATTGTATCTATTCATATTTCTAGTATTTTGACTTTTTGCAACTAGTTAAACTCAATCATTTTGACTTTAATATAGGTTGGTGGTAAACGATGGTATATGATGATGATTTCATCTGATTTACAGTGAACTTGGATTGACATGCATGAAATTCACATTGACAAATAATAGAAAAAGGATATGACGTCAAGTCAAACCGACTTTGATCTTCTCTGTATTTTCTGTTTTAAGATACGATGATATTGGTTTTCAACTACATGGGAAGGAAATGCATTATTGTTTGGCAAAATTCACTTCCATAGCCATAACTTTGCACTTTGTGACAAATATAGCCAGATTCTGAGAAATACACAGAAATAGCCATTCCGTCCATTAATGTAACGGAAATATAACGATTGCTGACTGGACAAACTGTCGTATTTAACTGCGTTTAATTTGGACTATGTGGCATGCCATAGTGGAAAATAAAATTATTTATATTTATTATGCTAAATAAAAAGATGAAAAAGAAAAAGAATTATTTTTCATCTCTCCGCCCCTTTTTCATCTTTCCTCCAACTCCCCCCAAACCCCATTCATCTACCACCGCACAAACCTTCAATCTGCCAAAAATCTCGATCTCCAAAAGCTTCCTCTCCTCCTCCGCCGTATTTGTCACCGCCGCCAAAGCCGCCCTCCGCCTCCTCACACTCCTCCCTCAAGCCCCACCACAGAAACTAACCTTCAGATCTAGATGATTCCCAATCACCAAACTCACGCCATCGTCGTTGAAGCAGAGAAGTAGAGGAAGAAGGCGACATCGAGCAAGGGGGAGAACGACCCTCATCTTTGCTTACCTAATTTATCAACGGATCTGATGAGGGAGAGAACGAGCGGATTGCTCCTCCGATTTCTGGGAATCGCCATTGAAGGGACAGAGCTCCGGGCTCTGAATTCGCGAGATCTGGAAAGTTGAAGCAGCCGGAGGAGACAAAGCGTCGTCGGTGTCAGCTGTACTTGTGGGTACGGTGACGAGGTAGTGGCTGGGTGTTGTCAGTTTGGGAAGATTCCACATCGGCGGTAGCGGCGGCGGAACTGAAACTCCCTCCCGACGCTGAGATAAATCTTGCAACAACACCATCGGCAAGAAGGATGAGTCGGCGACGCCGGTGATGTCAGATCTGCAAGAAAGGGTTGAACGTTGGTTGGTGGAGTAACGTAGGCGATGCGGCGGCGAAATTGTTGTTCCCATCTCCTCGATTTGAGAAACATTCACCACCAGCACCATATGCAATTGCAACACTTTCTTCTCATTTGGTGATGATGAATCGTGGGATTGAGAGCGGTAATGAATCAAAGATGACGGCGATTGAAGATGAACCCATCAACAGCCAGTAGGTGCCGGTGGTTGTTCTCCTGCCAATACCCAACCATGGAACCGGCGAAGAACAAAGGAAATTTTTAATTAAAAATTTGTGAAGAGGAAGAAAAATACGATCCACAAAAGTGTATTTATGTTTTTTTATTTGAAAATGTGATGTGGCGATTATGTGGCAGTGGGGGTCTATGTGGGAATGACGTGGCCATGACGTGGCAGCCTCATCAGAATGACATCCATTTAACTGACGGAATTATTAACGTCGTCAAATTATTTAACCGAAATGGCTATATTTGTCAAGTAAGTTTATAAAATGTGGCTATATTTGTGTATTTCTCAGAATCTGGCTATATTTATCACAAAGTGCAAAGTTATGACTATGGAAGTGAATTTTGCCTTATTGTTTTAGCGACTAGCTCTTACTACAAACATGGGCAACTCATTGCATATATCCACCTTTATTTGTTTTGTGGCAAATCTAATCTAATATGGGCATTATAGATCACGGTAATGATTGTGGAAAACGTTAATCCATTCCATTCCATAGCTAATTAAGCTAGTGGTGGAAATTTTTGTTGTGATTATGGGCAGGTAGGTAGGCCGGTCGGTTCCTAATGTCAATCAATAAATACTAAAAACAAGCAAGAGGGAGAGGGAGAAGGAGGCGTCAAGAAAGACAAATCTCCAAGCTAATTCAGGTTATATTCAAAATTATGGTGGGTCATCGATTATATTATTCGCTCATCAAAGGTCAACATGCAATATAAAATTAAATGGTTGGGCAGTCTACTCATTCATACACAAAGGAAGGAAAAGTAAAAAATATTTGAAGGTTCGGTAGTAGTGTAATGAAGAAAAATGAGAAATCTAAAATACATTGATATAAAATTGAACCATTGAACATTCACTTATTTCTCTGGGTTACTAATTAATAAATATAATTAATCGCCTTATTCAACAAAATTTGTCACGAAATTTAATATGCCATACGTATATCAGTTATTTTTCGCCAATTCCAGTCAAATTTCTTATATGGATCGTTTATGTCAACCTATCAAGTCATTCAAATTAATAATATAAAAGGATAGATAAATCGTAATTAGTTGGAGTGAGCATCATAGTTTCATTTTACCGTTCGTGATCTTGGTCATACATTCATATTAGGTAAATGGCTCGACTAATAACCTCGTGTTGCCATAACCCACCCTAATCACTTTGTCCCCATCCAATAACCAACTAGATAACATACGCGACATTTCATTAGTGATTCGTGTATATATAGTTTGGTTTTACACGTTGATCCGGAAATTTCATAGCTATCTAGAATCTTTTGTTGCTGACTTTTTACACACTTGCATATGTATTATATATGATGTATACAATCAAACAATCAATCTAATATTAGTTCTTATCGTACCTCTCCTAAAATCGTCAGCAAATGGATAATAAACCCTCCCTGAGATGATGAGAGACAAAATTAAAGTAGTGACAATAACATGCGTCCATTTGGGAGAAAATAGGATTTATGCAAGCGAGCGAGCGAACGCATGCACGTGTGCAGCCGAGTAGTGACACCGCGATGCGACCCTAACCACTTCCACCCACATATTACGCTAATAATCAAATCAAAACCATACTATAACCCCTTTTAAGCGCCGGCCTTCACGATTGCTTCCCCATTAATTAGGGTTGGGAAACGATGCGGTCTGGTACCCAGACCGGACCATATATATATGATTTATGGTCTAGACCGAGAGGGTGGAGTATATAGATTATAGACCACGTATCAGACCATAGACTATACGTTCCAGACCATCAGTGGCAGACCCAAAAATTTCATTAAGGGTATTCACCGATAGACCAAAATATATAAGGGTTGTCAAATACTTTCGAATCCAAATACTACCAACTAATTAATGACAATTATATATACGTACGTACCACTCATTTGTGGAAGGCTAAGTACGTATACGTATTAATTAGGAGGATCCCTTAAGTATTGATCCATCGTTGATATATACTTATAACGTTGCGTTTGCTTCTACGTAGGGGAAAAAGCCTTTCCATATTATATGTACGCAATCAGTTGGCAGGCTGCACACAGAATGAGGCTGTTACAACTTCCAGTCGATCTACTGTTGGATACAGCACAACACAGATCCAGCAGGAGCCGGCCGGCCGGCCGGATTGATGAGGACGAACCAGCAGGGGGCCGGGAATATATATATATGTTGTAAAACGACGACCCAGCTCCCACTAAAACTTAATTGAAAAGAAGAACGAACAAACCTGCCCATAACTAATTAAAAACTTAAATAATGATGATGAATATTCATGATTAATTGTGTACAAGAAATGGCCTACACGAAACAAATTAACGTAATAAAGAAAAAAAAACAACAACAATTCCAAGACTAATCAGTTTGTGAATCCAACGCCACTTTAATTATTATTATAGATTAATTAGAGATGATCCATTTCCCTACGTTCTTCCCCGCGCCCCGTGCCCAATATTCCATCTCTATATATATATATAATGCTCTCTTCTTCACTCGTTTTGTAGATTAACCCTAATCAGTTTGTGAATCCAACGCCACTTTAATTACTTCGTTCCAAAATCCAAAGTGTTCAAACAAATGACACACTAGCTTTCACTGCATGTATAGTACGAGATACACTAAAAAAAAATATATATATATATTGTGTGTCTGGTCTGTGATCACTGACATTATATGCAAATATACACCACCATCCCAAATAAATTTATCGGGTCATGGTATACCAAAAGTCTCGGCTATGATAAACACAATTCAACATTTAGTGAACCTGTACTGTACATATTGTTGTCTACCCGAGTTGTACGATTTTCGAAATTAAAATAAATAACAATTGTAATGCAATCAAAATAATGTTCCTCGCATGCATTTTCCACTTTTCAAGACACACAAATTTTTATGTGGCATATCTAATCTAGCTATCCGGACAGACATATGCTACCAAACAATACTATCAATAAATCTGTTGTTTGTTGTCACATACATTGCACCCTACTTAATTATCTTGCTAGGAATCCTCCATTTGTTGCCATTCTACCATCATTTTCATCTACTACACTCATTAATTAATTATTTAATTAATTGTTCGCTTATTAAATTAATCTCTTTTTGTGAATGAATTTTATATGCTTCATTTCTTTATCTTGACGTAATATATAGTGAGAATACTTATAATATCATATCCCCCATAATATTTTATATGTCCCATTTGAATTATAATCAAGCTTCAACCATTTCTTCTTTTGTCGTTTTGGTTCCAATCTAATTGATAAGCTAAATTGGTTGTTACATCTTCAATTCTCGCACCATACATACATTAGATCAAATTAATTCGGTTAGCTAACATTTTCGTTTAGAAATATTAATACAATAACCGTTTGGTCATCAAACTTTGTAATCTTGTCCCGACAATTGTAATTATATATATATATTAATAAGAGGGGAAATTGTTACGAGGGACATATAAAATCAAAGTGAGCCATGATTTCAAAATCCCACGCCCAAACGTGCCCCTCTCTTTTGTTTGTTAGCATGGAATTTTTTTTTCCCTGATTTGTTTTTATGTAAATCTTAGGTAATTAATTAGAAAGTGTGGAAGCTTTTACTGATTTGTCTAAAATCAACTATAATTAGATACGTACAAGGGTTTTAATTTCAATCTCGAATTACGAATCGAGATTAATCTCTCAAACAGCGCAATGGTAGAATTAAATATTAGCTTCTTTGCATAGTATGTAATTTCATATAATTAGGGTAAACAATTTTTCCCCGAATCAAGTCAACTGAAGATAACTATGATACAAGTGTGAATTTTAAAATTTATTAGGATAAAATCAACGTCCCAACCCGCTCGACTACAACTTTGATGGTTCAAGGCTCTCCATTTGCCTCCTAAAGCACGTTAGTTTTTAATATTAGTAAGAAGAATAATCAACGAATTTGGGCATGGATACACAGGATCGAGAACAAGTTGGTGGTCGTTCTTTGGGGGCGTGTGAGTGAGTGAGGGAATCAATGAACCTTATTGGTCACTGTTTTCTGCAAAATGTTGGGTCAAAGACCAACACTACTCTTAACAAAAGATATATATAATCACTAACTGACAATTCCATAAGCCTAAAATCCAAGGACAGATTTTGGCTCCCAATCCCAAACGAGAGATAGAGGAAACCAAATCTAAGGCCCAAGAAAGATAAAAGGAGATGAAAAACTTTCGATATTAATCGTTGTTTTAAAGTATATAATATAGTGAGTCTGTGCAAATTTTAATCTCATGATGAGTTGGTTTTCGTTGAAGAGGATGTGAATAAATGGTTAAAATCCATACATATGAACGTCTCCCAATAACTCGATTTATTAGGACCAACTGATTTAGGACAATATACGCATTGAAAATTTTTTAAACATCTCTAATAAAGCAAATAAATGACATCTACTTATTTAGTTCTCGTTGATGTCTTTGTGCTTCTTCATATGGGTTAACTCGCTTCATCAAATGTCCTATACAATTTGTATATGTAGCCGACACTTGCATGTTCAATCAAAATAAGATATGGATGTGGTATGGTAACCCTAATTTTGATATTCAATCAAATGTCCTCCACTATTAGTATATGTAGCCGACAATACTAAACCCTAAATCCGTATATATCTGTTCGAACACACAATTTGTGGTCAATTGTTTGTTTCTTGGTTGAATTGGAATTTGGGGGGGAAATTAGGGTTCTTGAGGTATGAGAATTGGGAGGTTTTGATGCATTGCTCGAATTGAACCTTCTAGTATGCAATTGATGCTTTCATATTATCTTTTAATATGGTTATTTGTCCTTGATTTTAGGTCTAAATGCAAAGCATATATCATCATGAGAGATTATTCACATCTCATATACCAACACGAAAGAACTAATCGATCATAGCATCGTTGGATACAATCCAATCCATACAAACATCTCTTACTTTTAGTTGTGGTTTGAATTATATTTCTACACCATTCTACATTTATACAAGTTTCGAAACTCAAGATAGAGATAGAGATATTGTCTATAGAGTATCAGGAAATGTGAAAACCCCTATTTTGGGGTTATACTTTATTTTCTGGACGATTTTTATTTCCTTCACACCGAAAAAGGGGTTTGTGGGGCTATTGCCGGCTGGCCTCCTCCTTCACTCTCCGGTCATTGCTCACCAACTTGTTGAAAATGTCTTTGTGTTGCGTACTTCTTTTTTCCTCCCACGGCCAAAAATTCTATTCCCATCCATCTCTTCCTTTTTCTTTCACTTTATTTTCTCTCAAGTCTCAACTCTTTTTTATATATATATATCTCCCTTTTGTTTAATTTCCCACCATGGTACACGGATGATTATAAATTATTATGCATATCCAATTCAATTAAGTAATGTAATTAATGGAGCCAACAACTATTGGCAAGCTATGCTATTCATTAACAAAATCCAGCTTATGGGGAAGCAATCAATTACTAGTTTATTACTTTATTACCATATATGTCAATGATAGAGAGTGAATAGGGACATTAGACATATACGAATCTAGACGGCTATTGAAATGTTTATGTACAAAAAATGGATTGAACATCATATGTGTAGGAGAATAATATAAGTGCAATATACTCTTGCCAAGCAAATTAGACAAATGGATCATCTCCATCGTTCCTAAACACAATAGTTCACTGAGTATAACGGAAACAACTTATATGAAAATCAAACCCAATACACATTTATAAATTTCTCATATTACTAAAGCTCGGTCCAGACTTAACAATATTATACCTTACGTTCATTATGAACGAACCTAAGGTAGAAGGACACAACTCATCACTGAAGTGGTGCATTCATGCTCTAACGAATTTCTAGTTGTCATTTTTCGGTCCCTTTAGTTGTAACAATAAGTGTAGTTCCTCTCTACTACAGAAAAAATGATAATTAGTAATTACATATTAAGTTTTAACCTTGCTATGAATGATGTTACTTTAATATTATTTTTTCATGATGCTACGATTGTTTCAATTAAATTCACTAGTTAAGCGTTTAATAAATAGTCGGTACTCAATCATTTAGATTTCAAGAAATTCATCTCGAATCATCATTTTGTACGCACAAAGATGAAACAAAACCGAATGAAACTAGTAGTATTATCGTACGAATCAAATACTCTATTTAGTTTTTAAAAGAATTCGATTAGAATTCTACATACGGTAAAGAATAAAATCAAACTAAATAAGTAATTAACTATCAATAACTAAACTACATAAGTAGGAAAAATGTATCCTTCCTTTTGGAAAATGAAGTGGAAACTACCTTTCAAATTTCATATTGTTTCTTCTTCCCCTTCCCTAACCCCAAGTTGTCACTTTAACTTGGTCCATCACGACATCTTTTCCTTGTGGCCTTTTGTTTACTACTATCAATACGCCATTGCTTCTTTCTCCTCCTCGACCTCCAAAACCCAAAAAAAGTAAAGCAAAAGGGCACCAAAAATCAAGGCAAGGCGGCCCTTCTCTCTCCCCTCCTTCGTCGTCTTCTTCTTCCCCTCCTTCTGGCGACTGGATCTGAAAAATCTTTCCTCTCTGACAGAAAAGTGCCCAACTGGGGAATTCTCTGCTTGGTGGGTCTACTACATACAAATACAATCCACATACACGAGTGTCTGTTTGTTTGAGTGACAACCCGACATTTCTTCCTGCACAGGTACTCCCCCATCCCTCTCAGTATCCAATCTCACCTGTCCTTTCTTATTGATTTAGCCCTTTCCTTAAACCCTCCCTCTCTGGTTTTTGTGTACTTCTAACGATGTTGATTCCTCCACGGAAATTTTCCAGAAAGTGAATGAATATGAAGTTACGGAGAGCGAGTTCTGTAGGGTGGACAGCCCAGGAACGGCACGGCAGATCTAGCTGCTGATGGAAGAAAGAAAGATGCTTTGGAGAGTAAAACAAGAGCAACGAAACAGGGGAAGAGTAGAACAGAGCAGCAGCAGGAGAAGATTATTATTATTATCTTTGCCCATTATAATACTCGGCAAATCATTACAACCCAGATGATTAAGATGGATTGATTTTTTTTGGTTGGTTTTGTTCTCTTGTGCGTGGAGATTGAAAGCCGAGCGAAGAGGAAGTGGGGGGAAGAAAAAAAGGGGGGAGCTTTGTGTTTATGCAGAAAGCAGCAAATTTGACTACAGAGAGAGGGGGGAGAAAAGGATGAAGGAGGGAGGAAGAAGATGGTGGAGATTCAGTAATGGAGTTGTTGATTTCCTTTTCCTTATATTCCTACTGCTGCTCATCCCGCCGTCGCATTCCGATGATGTTTCTGGCCTGTTGACTTTCAAGCAGAGCTCTATTGATTCCGATCCCAACAAGGTTTTGTCCAGCTGGAGTTCTAATTCCAACGGCGGTGGGGCTTGTTCGTGGTTCGGGGTCTCCTGCTCCGGCGGCCGCGTTACTTCCTTGGACCTAACCGGAGCTGGCCTGGCTGGTTCTCTACAACTACCCCAGCTCATCTCCGGGCTTCCTTCTCTCACCAGGCTGATTTTGCGGTCGAATTTGTTCACCGCCGGGAATCTCTCCACCGGTGGCGGATGTGCTCTGGAGATGCTCGATTTGTCGGCCAACAACATCTCGGACCCTCTCCCGTCGGATTCGTTTTTCAGCTCATGCTCCCGCCTCGCCGCAGTCAACCTCTCCGGCAACTCAATCCCCGGCGGGAATCTCCGGTTCGGCGGTTCCTTGCTCCAGCTCGACCTTTCCCGCAACCGGATTTCCGATTCTTCCCTCCTCGCCGACGCGCTCTCCGGCTGTCAGAATCTCAACCTGCTCAACTTCTCCCACAACAAACTTCCCGGGAAAATTGGTACCACGCCACGCGCGTGCAGGAATCTCTCCGTTTTGGACATCTCCGATAACCTTCTCACTGGGGAGCTCCCCGCCAGCTTCGTCGCCGATTCTCCGCCGTCGCTTGAGGTATTGGATCTGTCCATCAACAATTTCACCACCAGCTTCCCCGGGTTGGATTTCGGGCGGTGCGGGAACTTGACCCGGCTCATTCTGTCGCGGAATCGGTTTTCGGGTCCCGGGTTCCCAATCGGGTTCTCTAATTGCTCCCTTTTGGAAACCCTAGATTTGTCGCAGAACGACCTCCAGCTGCCGATTCCGGGAGCGTTGTTAGCTAGGCTGAAGAAATTAAAGTGGTTATCTTTGTCGCACAATAGCTTCTCCGGCGAAATCCCGGTCGAGCTCGGTGGTCTCTGCGGAACTTTACAGGAGCTCGACCTCTCTGGGAACAAGCTCACCGGAGAGTTCCCCTCTGTTTTCAAGTCATGCTCTGTTCTCGAAACTCTCGACCTTGGACTCAACCAGCTCTCCGGAGATTTCCTGACCACCGTCGTCAGCGGGTTGACCGCCTTGAGAATCCTCCGTGTCCCTTTCAACAATCTAACCGGCGAGGTACCGCCGTCTCTGGTCAATTTGACTCGGCTAGAGGTGCTCGACCTTAGCTCGAATGAGTACATCGGAGCTGTTCCCTCCGAGTTCTGCACTTCTTCTTCCAACCCTTCTCTCGAGAAGCTCCTTCTCGCCGGTAATTACTTGACCGGGCAAGTCCCGGCGGAGCTAGCCAAATGCAGAAACTTAAGGAGCATCGATCTCAGCTTCAACAACCTAGACGGACCCATCCCGGCGGACATCTGGTGGCTCCCGAACCTCTCCGACGTGGTAATGTGGGCGAACAACCTCACCGGCGAAATCCCTGAAGGCATTTGCGTGAAAGGCGGCAACTTGGAGTTTCTCGTCCTCAACAACAATCTCATTACAGGCTCAATCCCCAAGTCAATCGGAAGCTGCACCAACTTGATTTGGGTCTCCCTCGCCAGCAACCGTCTCACCGGAGAAATTCCTTCCGGAATTGGGAACCTAAACAACTTGGCCATCCTCCAGATGGGCAACAACTCCCTCAACGGTCAAATCCCACCAGAAATCGGTCGCTGCAAGAGCCTAATCTGGCTCGATTTGAACAGCAACGACTTATCCGGCACCCTCCCGCCTCAAATCGCCGACCAAGCGGGGCTCATCGTCCCTGGAATCGTCTCCGGCCGAAAATTCGCCTTCGTGCGGAACGAAGGCGGAACCTCCTGCAGGGGAGCAGGAGGTCTCGCCGAATTCGAAGGAATCCGCGCCGAACGCCTCGAGAGCTTCCCGATGGCACATTCCTGCCCGACAACCCGAATCTACTCCGGCGTCACCGTGTACACATTCGTCAGCAACGGAAGCATGATCTTCCTCGACGTCGCTTACAACGAGTTAATCGGTGAGATACCGGACAATTTCGGCACAATGAGCTACTTGCAGGTGCTCAACCTCGGCCACAACCACCTCACCGGAACCATCCCGGGTACCTTCGGAGGACTAACAAAGATCGGAGTTATGGACCTCTCTCACAACCAGCTCCATGGATTCCTCCCTGGTTCGTTGGGATCTCTCACATTTCTCAGCGATCTGGACGTTTCCAACAACAATTTCAGCGGTCCGATCCCTACAGGTGGTCAGCTCACCACATTCCCTTCCTCAAGATACGAGAACAACACGGGCCTCTGCGGACTCCCGCTCCCCAAATGTGGCGGCGGATCCCGCCAGCGTCGAAACAGCGATGGCGGGAGAAAGAGGCAGCCTTTAGGGGCTGTGATAGTGATCGGTATCGTCTTCTTCATCCTCTGCATCATCGGCCTGACACTTGCTCTGTACCGAGTGAAATCGCGTCGTCGGAGCAACGAGGAAATGATGGAGAAGTACATCGAGAGCCTACCGACGACTTCGGGAAGCAACAACAGCTGGAAGCTGTCGGGAGTCCCCGAGCCGTTGAGCATCAACATTGCCACTTTCGAGAAGCCGCTGCGGAAGCTGACATTCGCACACCTGCTGGAGGCGACGAACGGGTTCAGCTCCGAGACAATGATTGGCACCGGCGGGTTCGGGGAAGTTTACAAGGCTCAGCTTCGGGACGGGATCACGGTGGCGATCAAGAAGCTGATCCATGTCACGGGGCAGGGAGACAGGGAGTTCATGGCGGAAATGGAGACAATTGGGAAGATCAAGCACAGAAACCTGGTCCCGCTCCTCGGGTACTGCAAGGTAGGGGAAGAGAGGCTGCTTGTGTACGAGTACATGAAGTGGGGGAGCTTGGAATCGGTGCTCCACCAGGGCGGAGGCCGCCTCGATTGGGGTGCGAGGAAGAAGATCGCGGTGGGGTCAGCGAGAGGGCTGGCATTCCTCCACCACAGCTGCATCCCTCACATCATCCACCGCGACATGAAGTCGAGCAACGTGCTGCTCGACGAAGGGTTCGAGGCGAGGGTGTCTGATTTCGGGATGGCCAGGCTGTCCAACCCGCTGGACACTCACCTCAGCGTGAGCACGTTGGCGGGCACGCCAGGGTACGTGCCCCCGGAGTACTACCAGAGCTTTCGTTGCACGACGAAAGGGGATGTGTACAGCTACGGGGTGATCTTGCTGGAGCTCCTCTCGGGGAAGAAGCCCATCGATCCGACGGAGTTTGGGGACGACAACAACCTGGTCGGGTGGGCGAAGCAGCTGGGCAGGGAAGGGAGGAGGAATGAGATACTGGACAGTGAGCTGATCTTGAAGGCAGGGGAGGAGATGCAGCAGTATCTCAGGATTGCGTTCGAGTGTTTGGATGATCGGCCGTTCAAGAGGCCGACGATGATTCAGGTGATGGCGATGTTCAAGGAGTTGCAGGTGGATCCTGAGAATGATAGCACTGATGGATTGTCGTCAGTGAAGGAAGGTGGTGGTATAGATGAACTGGGGGAGAAGTAGTTTGGTAATGCTATTGATTGAAGTAATGGTAGTACAAGTTTACATTTTATATAAAAAAAAAATCTCTTCCTTTTATTCCCCAAGTGTTTGTTAAGAGCAGCTCGACCTTCTTTTACCTTTTGTATATAGAAAGAAAGAAAGAAAGAAGATGATGATGTTAAATGAAATCAGGCAGAGGAAAAACCAGAGCTGGAGAAGGAGGAAGAAAGAAGATCCAGGGGGTAAAATCAAATGTGTTTGCAAGCGAAGCCAGCTTAGCTTGTTCTCTTTTTTCCCCCCTTTCGTTTTTGTCTCTGTTGAAAGGGGTGATCTCTCTCTCTGTCGCAGTTTTGCACAACTGCTGTTGTTGTTTTGTTAAGAACTGGGAAATTTGAGGTTGGTGGACAGTGGGCAGCATTTCGCAGTGGGTCGTGGACAGTCTTTTAGCTTTACTGGGCTGGGGTATGTTAGCTGGAAGAACCCATTGTTCAATTCATAAGGGAACTGTTTCATTCGTTTGAACAAGGACGCAAAAGCCTCCAACTGTTTCATACGATCAACACTTTTTTTTTTTTCAAAAGATATCATATATTGATAGTTACACCCTGGAAGAACCCATTGCAGAAGATAGTTACACCCTGGAAACCAGCCAGGTCTGAAAATCAAAGAAGCGACTCATAGTCGGATACAAAGAAAGGGTTTTCCTAGCTACCAAATGAGCTACCCTATTGTTCTCCCGACCTACAAAACGCACACTAAAGCCAGACTGAGTACGAATATAATGAACAACCTCTTCAAGCACCGCACCCAACCGGCTATCTCTTGTGTCGGCCTGATTAATTTTATCAATTATCACTTTCGCATCGCCCTCAAAACGGACCGCCGACAAACCTTGCTCCATACACCAAATAATAGCCTCACGAAGCCCAAGCAATTCCACCACTGCAGGATCATCCATTTGAGCAAACTGGATCCCTCTAGCCAGTAAGAGTGTCCTCGTGGGGTCAAAAAGAACCATCCCACCAGCCGAATGAGACCCACCCTTAGTAGCCCCGTCCCACATGCAAACCAAATGGGAATCATCCAATTGAGCTGAAGATCGCATTATCGGGACTTGTGCCCTAGGCACCTGGTCTGCTGGGAGCCCCACCCATTTCTCATACTGCTGATTAAACTGGCACATAAGAGCTGAGATCCCAAATTGTTTGCCAACACGAGTATAAAATTTTCAGGGATTTTTCCTTCTATTGCCAACAGAGTGAAGTGACCATTTCTTTGGTCATTGTTGCCAACCCTCTGTATTACAGGCTTAGAGTGTAGCTCTCTTCTCCGCCATCTTGGTGGATTCAGCGGTTGAAATGGTGTATAGATGGGCTCCATCGTCAGGGTAGCCGGCCCGGCTCTGTTCGTCGCCCATAATTCCATAAGGTCCTATCTCCCAGGCCCAGGCCCAGGCCCATACGAACCCAAGATATGACAGCCCAAAGCTCTGCAATTTAATTTGATGCTCTAATGGTGGTTAGTTTCTCCTAGTCATCCAATTTGCTCTATTGCTTCAAGTTGACGGCTATGTTGTCTCCATACAAACACAGTTGTCTTCTCATTTTTCTAATGCAAGGATTAATGAAAATAAAAACTTCACAAATTGTCTTCTTCCTTGAAGCTGAGTATATGTATATCCAAGGGTTTGATAATTGATGCATTGTTTATATCACTTCTCCGATCAAATAGATCATAACTATGTAGAATGTCACATAATTGTTTTCTTTTCAAGCAAACATTGGGTTTCATCATATCAAAGCGAAGGTGGTCGAGCCAAGCTTAGACTACTAGTATAACGTCAAAAGATATAACGTCATTTGGAGAGAGATCCATTGTTGTTGACTTTGGAAATTGAATTAGCAACCAAATTGCAAAAGATGATGAAGATTCTAATCATATCTCGATTCAAATTGAGGTCGGGGACACTTCTTGATAGATGGATAATGTTTTGAGTCAAAAACAATTTAATTTTATGTTTACAACTACATAGAATAGTTTCGGTGAGATTTTGATTTCACCATAAATCTCGATGTACAAAGAACACCGACTACTGGGCACTAACTCTCCTGTCACTTACTTGCCATATGGATTAACAATGACCAACTCACAACCTGCCAAACAAAAAGGATGAATTACAGTATTACATTTATTACTTCTACAGACAACAACACAATGTGAGAAAACAATGGTATACTCAAATCCTATATTGAAACCTTCCTATATCTACTTACCAAAACAAAATATCCCTCAATCTAGAGCTATGGAACTCTTTTCCCTCACCACTTTCTTTTACTCTTTCTTCAGTTCATTTCCTGGGGTTGGGTTGCCTGTCAGAAGTCATCGGAAAATGGAAACTAACTGCAAAGAACATCAAATGGGGGAGAAAAAAAAGAGAAATCAAAAGGGAAAGAGAAGAAGACATGAAAGCAAAAGAAATAAACAAAGGGGGGAAAGGCAAAGGAAAGGGACAAAGACTCGGTCAAAGATAGAGTCTTTTGACTGAGTGGCGGGAGGGAGGGAGGGAATCGAAAGACAAGAGTAGAGAAACATTATTTTATACAAACATATGAATCTAAGAAAACAAATTTATCCATAGGACAATTAACTAATTACTTAAATTTTCAATGAACTGATTACTAAACTTGAATGATCCGAAGTGTGGAAATTTTTTATGATGTTGGTGTGTGACCAAATTATCGTATGGTTGCCAATAAGAATTTGATTTAGTGGTAAATATCATTAGTGTTAAACATTGAAATTTCAGGTTCAAATCTCTTAAGTAACATATAATTAAAAAAAGTAAACTTACATCATCCTTATTCAAAATTTATGTATGATTAATGTGCACTATTTGGAGTAGTTAGATGTCATTCTTTGAATTTATGTGAATATTTGTCATCAGGCTAATGTAAACGCAACTCTACATTATGAATGTATTGGCAGGGTGTCACTTTGCTCGCTAGTCTAGTATTTTGTGTTCTTGCACCAAGTATATCGTGTTTGATTCTCGCTTGATATACAACTAGAAGGGACATATTGAGGAGGTCATGCAAATTGTGAGGATAATCTCAATCCCTATTTCTTCTTCTTAGATAATACTTGTACCCATATATCGTCACCCATGTATAAGCTCCAAGAGATCATCATACCTAACACTTATCTCTCTAGGAGATTATCATTGCATCGGTGAGAACTTATCTACATGTTGTTTAACAAGAATAAAGATTGGTTAAGAAATTCAAACAAACTACAAACACAAACAGTATTCTCGGTAGATATGCACTTACGTATTCCATGTACATATTCCATGCATGAAATTCTCCCATTACGATGGTGTCCAACTCACGCAACAGTCAAAATAATAAAAGAAAAATTAGGTTGCAATGTTCAATCCTTTTCTTTTTATAGATAAGAGTGACATATGTTGATTTTTTTGTAAATAGTTGCTATTGAAGAGATTCAAAACATGAGACCTCTAAATTTAAAACTATTAAAATTATCACTTGATCAAGCACTTTTCACCAATGTTTGCCAGAGGTATAAGTTTATTTTGGATTCAACATACACATGAATACAACCATAAACCCAAATAAAAGATGATAAAGCCAAAGAGTTGCATTTGCATGGCTATATTATATCACATACGAATATTGGACGATGCCCTTGAAGACGGCCAATCACTAACTCAAAAGGGAGAATTTGAGAAATATGATTCTCAATATTAATTATCAACCCCTCATTTTAGTGTCCACTCACTCAAATTCCAATTAATCTTATAAATTACTTAGGAGCATCATATATATATATATATATTCATATTATAATATTCCCTCCCCGCAATGCAGTTTCTTCTTGTACGTTTTACCGGTCTCGGCCGGTCCTCTAGGCTCCTTATTAACTTTCCGGAGAAATAAACAAAACAAATATATTCATTCTAAAGCATATAATTAAATTAGCAATCAATGATGATTAAATTCAATTCTGTGGCTGGCTCAAGATCCCATTAATCCTTCTTCTACAATTTAGTAAGCTCCGTCACCCACTAAGAAAACAGACAAAGTAATCTCTATATGTATCATCAAAATTATCCCTTTAATTTCCCACTTGCCTTCCTAATAAATTATAAACTATTTATCTATGTCAACATCTCCTACAAATTTTATAGATATATGAGAGTTCTTTTCATACTAGCTGGGCCTGGGAGCAATTTGTATAACCAAAAATCTTCGCTTTTTATTTATATTAGCTGAATAAACCAACGTCGTAAGAAATATTGTAACTTCAAAATACTTAATTATCATGTCCTTTGGATTCCTTGAAGGTGGGTCATGATTGGCTTTCTTTTAATGCATTGTTGCTGATTTTGGAAACAAGAATTTGATGATGGTAATGATCAACTCATTTAATTTTTCTATTTTGATTTAATATGCATTAAAAACATTTGTGCATCCTACTAAATGTGTAAGTATATGAGCCAAATGTGAGGCCTAAAATGTAACATTGAGCACATCCCGACCAAAATTATGAGCGGCTAAAAAATTTATCGAGACGGATTCTGAGGTAGTTACATAACCTTGAGGGGGCTAGTGTTGAGTTATAAAATTCATGATAATGGACTTTTTATGTTTAACCTTTCATAGACGAATATAGTTTACTTACCACAAAGTCCGAATTGGAGATAATAAATTTAAAGAGATAGATAGAAAAATAAGGTGAAATAATTTACCATTTTATATAATTAATGCTATATGGATTAACTCTTGAACTAGAAATAGAAGGTGGTTCAAAAGGCTAAATATAGTGTTCTAATAATTTCAGTGATTTCTCAATATATTTTTTCCCACAATATTTTTGGTTAGTAATATAAGGTGGATTGAATGTGTTTCCATAACATGCAAAATCAAGAGTTATCAACTAAATAACAACTATGAGGCTATTTCCCACTAATTATCTTCTTATCATTTGTCTAAATTTAAAGTTCTTTTAAGGAAAATATGAAAAGTAAATAAACAAAGAGAAAATGGAAGAAGGTAGCACTAGCAAGAGAACAGAAGAGGAGAGGCAACATCAGTCTGAGAGGAAGAGAGAAACCCAGTCCAAGAACGAGGGAATTTTTTTTATATGAATGATGATGATTAAGCTAGTTGGAGTTTAAATCTAAATTATTATAATCTCAGGTGAGAAAGAAGAAGAAGAGCACCTGATGACAACCTGACCTTCCTAATTCTCTATTTCTATCTCTATCTCTTTGTGATTATTAGTTTTCTTTTACCCTTATTTGTTGGTTTCTTTCTTTTGCTCTTATTTTCCAACTTTTTTCTTCCCTCCTTTTTCCAAGATTCCCCATCAATTCCCATTTGCATCCCAATTTCTGGTCCACCACCGGCATAAACACAATCTATCCCTCCTCTTAACCATTATCTCTGTTTTGTTAGCATTTGAGAGGAGAGGAGAGGAGAGGAGAGGGAAATTTTGGGGAAGAAAAGAGAACATTTTGGCAATCACAATTTAATCAATATTAAAAATAATTATACTCAGTTTTGTAAGTTTCTTGCTTCTTCCTCATCAATAAAAAAAAAATCATCATTATTGGCATTTCATTTTCTTTCTCTCCTTTCCTTTGAGGAGACTTAAACAAGAGAAGGGGGCAAAAAGATAAAAAGAAAGAAAAGATAGGAAAAACTAGTGTGAGAGGGAGAGGGAGAGGGAATTCACATTTTAAGCTATTGTGCCCTGAAGTGGTTTCTTTTCTGTTCTTCTTGTTTCCCCGCATCCCCATCCCCATTCCCTTCCCAATCCTTTTGGGTTCCTTCGATCCTCAGAGATGGGTTGTCTGCAATTGTGATGTGTTCATGGAGAAAAGGCTAAAGATTGAGTCTTGATTGAAGGTCTTTTTCTGGGCGCGGCTCATAAAGTTGTTGTTGGTTGTGGTGGGGAGCGGTGGTGGTGTGGGTCTTTCTTCATATCATCATCTCTTGCCTTTTGTCTCAATAATCAATCAGGTAATTATTTTTGATCATCATCTCTCTCTCCCTCCGTCTCTCTCTTCGTGTCCCTTCTCTTTGATTCTCTTCTTCAACTATGTGTCCGTGGAAAATTGGGTGCTCTTTTCTTGAATGTATGGTTATGTTTGTGGCTTTCATACCAGTTTTGAAGGTACCCACCTTTAGTTTTATGATGTTTTGATAATTTCCTTCGACCCTTATTATCTGAAATTTTCTCTCCTTTGGTGAGTCGCTGATAATTTGGTTTCTTGGGATTATCCAAAGTATTTCTTCCTTCTTTGTTTTTCTCTGCTCTTACTGTTACTGAGTTTCATGTTCCTCCCTTATCATCACCAGATCTTGATTGGAAATACGAGACATGATTGTGAAAATATATGTTGAATTATCATCAGACTGCGCGTGTTTTTTTGTTTATGCTTCATCTGATTTGTCAGGCTAAAAGATTTTTGCCCAAAAATGATTGGGAATTGGATTTGATTTTGTCAGTACTGAGGGGGGGTTTTCCACTTTGGGAATAATTTTATTCAGGTTAGCAGCTTAGTGTTTCTTCTTTAATTGGGAAAGAAAGGCTGATGGTTTGTATTGTGGAATCTGTGATTAGATTTTGTTTTAAGATAATCCCAAGTGGTCCTCTCTCTTAAGTCCTAACTTTATTTGCTAAGTTGTTCTCCCATGTCAGTAGCCTAGATGTTCCTCAAGGATGGGAAAGAATTCAGCTCTACTTAAGACTAAGTTTGCAGCAGAGTAAAGATTATGTGTTGACATTCTTGCTTATGAATGTTGTTTAAATCTTGGATAAGCTTTTTGTACTGAAGATTATGTATGGTTCTTGGAGTTATGGAGTTATTGCAACTTGTTCATGAATAAAAATCATCAACCTTTTCAGGAAGTTTACCATTGGTAACTCTTTTGATTGCAAATTGTCTCAAGGCCCAAGTGCAACTCGGTTTACCAAACATGGGTGGAGTCGATGAGAACATCGCTATAATCGGGGAATGGGCGCCTCCAACTCCAAGCCCGAGAGCGTTCTTCTCGTCGATTCTTGCTGAAGAGGCAATGAGCGCAAGAGGTGCAGGCTCTGATCAACCTGGGGAGTCGAATACTAGAATGGATGGCTTCTTTCTCGGAACAACAAGAGGGTTGATGAAGACAGCTGGGAAAAGAGATGCTGCTGCTGCTGCACAATCTGATGTTACCCAGCTGACTGATCATTTCTCCAGTCCTTTTAATGACCACAAGGTGACTTCCTCTTCTTCTTCTCGAGGGGGACTTGTTGAAAGAATGGCGGCTAGAGCTGGGTTTAATGCTCCAAAGTTGAACACAGAAAACATGAGGGCTACCACTACTACTGACCTTTCACTCAATGCTGAAGTGAGGTCGCCTTACTTGACGATACCACCTGGTCTCAGCCCGACGAGCCTGTTGGACTCTCCTGTTTTCGTCAATTCTCTGGTGAGCATCATGGCATTCATTTCCCTGAATTTTCTTTTCAGCACACTCATTGCTTTTGCCTGTATGGTGTGTTTGATACCTTGATAAACAAGTTACTTGTTACAAATATTCTCATCTCCTAGAAATTGAACATGAAGGAGGGATATCGTTTGGTTTTCAGCACTCATTGCTGTTTGCCTGCTTGGTTTTTCTTAATAAGTTGCTAAAGTTCGTTATTATTTTACTTAATGCTTAGACGAATACTCTTGAATGAGAGTATGTATTCTTACCGCAACTAACCGAGTGTTGCATCTCTCTATCTATGAACATCAGGCACAACCTTCGCCAACAACTGGGAAATTCTCATTTTTCCCAAATGGAAACGGCAAGAGCTCTAACATGATGTCTGACCCTGCTTATCGAAATAAAGATAATTACTTTGAGGGCATCAATTCGTCTTCTTTTGCTTTCAAGACTGTACCAGAAATGAGTCCCTCTTTCTTCACTGGTTCTGCAACAAAAGTAAGTGTATATATTGCTCTTAAAGATGCTTAGATTTTCTGAAATAACAACAACAGATTTTGCTCGCCTTCCCAGTAACACCTTGTCTTGTCTCATTAGGCAACTCCAGTTACTCTCCCGCAGCAATCTTTTCCCAGCATTGAGGTTTCGATGCAGTCTGAGAATTCTCTCCACTCTCATGTAGAACAACATGCTAACAAATTCCCACCACCACAAAACAAATCGTCCCTTCATTTTGCGACAGACTTCTCAAAATTGGACAGTGATCAGAGGGAGAACTATGGTAAAGCTATTGCAACCAGTGATGCTATAGGTGGCAGTAGTGCAGCTGCACATTCTTCTCCCCTTCTTGATGATCAAGACGATGAAGGTGGCGATCAGAGAGTGAGCGGAGACTCCTCGCTCGCTGGTGCACCAGCTGAGGATGGATTCAACTGGCGGAAGTATGGACAAAAGCAAGTGAAAGGGAGTGAGTATCCTCGAAGTTACTACAAGTGCACAAACCAGAATTGCCCGGTGAAGAAGAAGGTAGAGCGATCACATGAGGGGCATATCACGGAGATCATATATAAAGGAGCTCACAACCATCCGAAACCACAACTCAACAGGCGCTCAACCATTGGTTCTTCGAATCCTCTCGCTGATATGGCACTCGAAAACCCTGGAAATGACAACATTGAGGTGACATCATCAGCATCAGCTGTTGCCGCAGAGTTTGGCAATCAGAATCGTGGGGCCCATTTTGAGTTGAGTGAAGCTGTTGATGCCTCATCGACATTCTCTAATGATGAAGATGAGGATGATCGAGCCACACACAATAGTGTAGGGAATGATGGTGAAGGGGACGAATCAGAATCAAAGAGAAGGTTCTCTAACTAAAATCACCATATATGTTTGGTCACGAGCTTTGATGGTCAGGTGGACTTATTTTTCTTTTTGGGACTGCAGGAAGATTGAAGCTTACCCTGCCGACATGAGTGGAGCTACCAGGGCTATTCGTGAGCCGAGAGTTGTAGTCCAGACGACAAGTGAAGTGGATATCCTCGATGATGGTTATCGTTGGAGGAAGTATGGGCAGAAGGTTGTGAAAGGAAATCCAAATCCTAGGTATGTTGGTTCAACAATTTGCCAGTTCTGAATTCATGTCTCTGTGCTTGCGTGAAAACCGGGTCACTAAAGAATGGTCGCCACTTAAATTTTGAGGGTCACGAATGAATTGGTCACTGAACTTAAAGTGTCCGTTTACTTACCTCTGCTTGTAAAACTGAACATTATCACTCGGCTCTGTTTTTCTAGGAGTTACTACAAGTGCACAAATGCAGGCTGCACAGTGAGAAAACATGTCGAGAGAGCATCACATGACTTAAAATCCGTGATCACGACGTACGAGGGGAAGCACAACCATGACGTGCCTGCAGCTCGCAACAGCAGCCACGCCTCTGCAGCTTCCGCACCTTCTTCCCAGGCAGGCCACATTCCACGGCCCGAGGCACCACAGGTTCACAACAACATGAACCGTGGTGGGTTCGATAGTAGACAGACAGCTGGCCCATATGGATCTTTCAGCTTGCCTGGAAGGCAACAGCAGCAGCAGCAGCAGAACGGGTTCTCGTTTGGAATGGGCCAGCCAGGTCTCGCCAACCTGGCGATGATGATGCCATCATCAGTTCATCATCCTTACTTAGCAGCAGCTCAGCAGCAAAGGTCTTATAGCGAAATGGGGTTCATGTTGCCTAAGGGAGAGCCAAAGTCTGAGCCTATGTCAGAGCCTAGTTTGAATATGTCGAACAATGCAGCTCTGTATCAGCAGATCATGAGTAGGCTGCCACTTGGACCTCAAATGTGAATGAATCTCTCTCACCTGGTTTATTTTCTTTGATGTTCAAACATTTATTTATTGGTGTTGCTTCATCATGGGTATTATTATATTATATTTTGTTGTTTGGTTTGGGGTTGCAACTGAATATAGGAATTTTTTACTTAATATATATGAATAGGAAGTTTGATCTGGTTCTCATTCTTGCGTCCTTTTAGAGCTGCTATTTACATGTGTACATATATATCTTGAGAAGTATCACTGTTTATAACTTAATATCTTTCTTTTGCATCTCTACTACTGGAACTTATATGATATCCAACCAATCGGTGATTGCATCTTACTAGCATCTCAGCCTATTATGACGAAGAATTTTGTAACAACTTGGCTGGACAAAGAATAAGCAGTAGTATGCGCATTTTACTATATGCATATTCATTTCCTTAAACGAATCGGAAAACTAAAATAGGTAAAAGAAGTAGACCATATTCATATCTACATATAATTTGCTAAAATGAACAAATAAATTCTATGAATTCCGGTGCAAAAAAAGGAGGATCAGCAGGTTCCTCTATCTTGCCAATCGCCATTCTTTAGTGACCATTCCCAATCAACTCCAGTTCATTCTCTTTTCGATGCTGATAGACCAGTTTTCTTCGAGCTATTTCATCTCTGCAGAGCCAAAAGCGAAAGAAGATGAACCACAAAACTTTCAGCACTTGAGGAAACAATGGCAACCAAGAAAATTATCAACCCTCTAAAATGTTCATCGGCACCAGTAATCATATTAACCAACATCGAAACAGCCACGAAATCTAGAGCTAGTCTGAGATGGTGAGTTGTATAAACTAATGTCCCTTGATCAAATGTGTTAGATGACGTCGGTCTAGAATGGGTAACTTAAAATCCTAGCTTTGAAGGGCATAAAATTTGACTTTTAAAACCAACCAACACGAACCTGATATAGTTCCAGATAGCATCGTAGTGAAGAATAGCCACAATCCTTCGCCTCCTCTCTTTCCAGGAGGATCCTCTACCATGTTTAACAACAGGTAACTGTTTGATTCCTTTGGCCTCCATAAGCTCTCTGGCAGTTGCCAAGTTGGTGTCAGGATAACATGTCAGAAGTCCACGTAATTGTCCACGGTAGTTGATTCCTCGAGTGCAAATGGAAGAAACAAGACTGTTATTTACCTGTAAAATGAGCAGAAAAAAGAACATAGTTAAAATGTCATCAATAGAAAGAGCGTGTCCCATCAAAATACAGATGGAGCATTTACATACATCTGCAGGCGCTGGGATCACAGAAGGATCATTGTTTTTACTGGGAAGTCGTCTAATATCGCCGTAGGTTAGTATTCCTTCGAGTAAATCTTCATCATCAACAACAAGCACACAATTCTGTTTGTTGTCATCCATTTGTTTTATAGCTTCCTTCAAAGTCAATGCTGATGAGACCTTTGCATAGTTCTTTGACATGACCCGAGAAACCTGCCAAAGAAGAGTGGAACGGAATCATGGATGGAAGAATTAGACCACTAACTTCAGAAAATGAGATTTCAAATGAATTCTAAAACAAACACAGAGCAGGGAAAGCTTGAAACCTTTAGATCTTCCAAAAGAAGATCTTCGAGGACTGCCTCATGATCAGCTGAATTTTGCATTATACAGAGTTCTAGGTCATCTCCACCTTTGTCATCAGAATTAGAAATCGAAGAATAACCTCTGGTCAAAACACGTGTATCAGATAACTCAGGTTCCTTAGGCTGGTTGGCAACAGAAGGAACCCATATCGCCAATCCTACTGCTCCCTACAAGCAATATCATGACATGTAAGCTACCAAATTTTTTGTAGTAACGAACAGCCAGCAGCAAAGAAAATGATAGAGGGAGTTACCATGAGGGGCAGGATGATTCTGTAATCTTTGGTCAACTCAAATAGTAGCAGGACTGATGTCAATGGGACTGAACAAACTGACGCCAGTGTTGCAGCCATTCCAACCTACAATAAAGGATTAGGCCTTCAATAAACTTACCCTAAATAGTTTGCTTTCTAAACCTGACATTAGAAAATCAAATATCGTGAAGTTTTGCAAAGCATACCAATGCATATGCCTGAGGCTGTGCAACAGCAGCATTTCCTGGAATGGCGGAATTGATGATTTCTGCAGCAGAGCCACCAAATACTGCACCAACTGCAGCACCAATCATCAAACTCGGAGCATAGAGGCCTCCGACGAGTCCAGATCCCTTGCATATAGCTGTTGCTACAACCTTGGCAACTGCAAGTTGGGTCAACAACCAGATTCCAGGAGCAGAAGCACTCTTTCCAGTGTGCAAGATTTCTTCAACATTTGTGAAGCCCCAGTACAATATTCCCGGATACTTAAGGGCAATCAACCCCGCCCCTAAACCACCTAAGGCGGGGCATACAACAGCAGGTAGACCAAACTTTTCCCTAATAAATTCAAATAGCTTAGTGAACCAAGCAACCAAGCGAGTGAAGACCACACTTACAGCACCACAGAGCATTCCCAATATCAGGTATAAAGGTAATTCTGCAAATTTAAGATCGGATTAGATACAGAAAGGAAAGCAGTGGTGAAAGGATAAATATACATGTTTTTACATGTTCCACAGCCCTCAAGACTATAGTCATTAACTTCTATATGTCAATCTGGAAACAATTCACATGCAAGATGCTTATTGCAGAAGTTCACAATAATACACAGAACAAGCCTAGAAGTGATACCTGCAGCAGATTTCAAATCATATGGTGGCACTATAAAAGCTGATTTTGTTCCGAGCGAGACATTGGATACGGTTGATGATATGACAGAAGCCAATATTATCATTGCAGTTGTAAAAGGGGGCGAATTCTCAGCTCTGCGAGGCCTTAGGACTGTTTCAATGGCAAAAAAGCAGCCAGCAACAGCAGCGTTGAAACCTGGAGGGGAAATGTCAGTAAACAGATTAGCAACCGGGCATTACAGCCATTTCCTCAGAAAGAATGCCAAAAGGGAAGTTACATGAACAAATAATTACGAAGTATGGGTAAGAATCCAAGCAAACAAAGAAAGAAAGATCATGCAGATCCTGAAGAAATGTGCATGTTAATAGAGTAACATCTCTTCTCTAATAACATTGCTGTTTCATTGTCCAAATCAAATCATTCATCATGAACTACCCTTTTCACATTTGAGCACAAGGTAACAGCTTTACTCTTCACACTCTGATATTTAAGGAAGTTAAATAAGGTTCTACTTTCAATTGCATGTTATTGGTTGTACAGACATGGAAACTGAGTCTGAAGAGTCAAATTGCAGTATCACGAGAAAAATGTGAAATGGGGACCTCTAGCTCATTCCAATTCAATAAAAATGAAAAGGCTTTTGCCTTTCTTTTTCGGCAATTTGATGTTCCATAATAGATACCTGAAGCAATCCCAGCAGCCGCACCAGCAGCAACAAGTGCTGTTTTCCTTTCTCTGTTGTTTTCCATCATTACCGAAATCCCATTTGCACATGACTTCCCAATATCCACACTCGGCCCTTCAGGGCCCAAAGAACCACCAGTGCCTAGAGTAACAGCTGCTTGAATGGCTTTTATAGCGGGGAAGACTCCTTGGACGAAGTCAAAACCTTGCCTTGGAGAAGAAAGACTATTCATCCTTATTTGTTCCAATATTTCCACTAAACCATGCATCATCCCAACAATAACGCCTCCTGTTACTGGTATTAACAGAATTCGATGCCAAGTGTCTGCCAATCGTTGCAGACGCAGCCATGCTGCACCCTCATTTGGAGTTCCAGCCCATGCCCATTCGTGTATTACATGAACCTGATTGTGAAGATTATTAGTAGACTTCCAGAAAAGGGAAGAGGAATAGAGATCGAAATATCACGGAAGCACCAGTTACAGGATTAAATTACATCAGAATACACGAGGAGAACTAACATCAGCCTAATGCATCAAGAAATAAGGGTTCAGACACTATTCTTGGCATTGAAAATGAGTTAGTTGCATCTAAAGTGATAGCATTTGTTAGAAAAAGCATTCACCATTGCATAAAGAACAAAATTGGAAATAAAAATTCAGGCTTTCAAAGGTTCTGCTAGCCGGACACTTGCATTTGCGTTGGTATACACAATTGGCTAAGCCCTCAAGATAACCAATGGAATTCAGCTACAAAATGAAACGAGAAATAGAGGAGGTAACCCACCCCTTTATTGAAAGCAGCGACGCAAAGACCAGTGGCGAGGCCAAGGAGGCAGCCGACGAGAAGCAATGCCCACTCCGGGGGCGCGGAATCCGCCAAAGCATCATCGTCGCTGCTATGATTCCCGTGGCCACTGCCACCACCTCCGCCTCCGTAGTCCTCGTGATGGTAGAGGTGATCCGAATTCCCGCCATCTCTATCCCTGTCCATACGCTTGAAACTTGAGTGTCGGCGGCCGGAAAAGCCGCGATCCAAGTGTTTGAGAAGCAGATCTTTGATCGCTCCTCCACTCCCACTAGCTCCGGCGGTGCCAGCTGCCGCCGTTCTGCTGGTGAAACCCCCGCTGGCGGTCGGGGTGGAAACTTGAGAAGCCATTTCCAAGTCGTCGCCCCCGCCGTTGTCTTCACCCCCGAAGGATCTCAGAAGATGAGCCTGATCACTGTATTCCGCTCTTTCCCCTGCCGCTCCCGCCATTTCTCTCCTCGATTGGAGATCAGATTGATGCCATGGAAAATGCTGCGATTAGATTTCGATTTCAGTTTCTCTTCTTCTGCTTCTTCTCTTCTCCCCCGATTTTGCTCTTCTCACGCTGATTACTATGAAGGAAGGCAAGGAAGACGAAAGAGAATTTCGGCCGATTTTAACATTTAATTATTGTTTTTATTCCAATCTCCTTTTCTTTTTGTATTTTCGGTTGCTTTGCTTTGATTCTCTATCAGAAATCGGATGGCACGTCACTACAATTATTTATTTATTTATCACTTTTTCAATAAAATAATCATTTTTTTTCCTAATCCTTTTTAAATAAAATAAAAGTGTGTTCATCGTTTCTAAAATATACAAGTTAGTTAGTTATTTTACTTATTTATCTCTGTTTTGACCATGATATCACAGTTATTTAATTTCCATACTAAAAAGGTAAAATTAAGGACTGTAATAAACAATTTCCCGTTTCCTTATATATCATCCGGATTCTGTACATGCAGAAGGCCTGAAACTGCACTTCCAACAATCAAAGAAGGGATCAGTTCTACTCTCTATATACCCCAACCAAATGGCCAAAATGGTGGTGGCTAAAGAATCCCTCCAATCATAAACACTAAATTCAAATGCCCCTCCTCCAGAAACCACCACCTTTCAAGCTCCCATTTTACAGTTACATGGCTGACGGACAGATCACCAATATAATCATTCCACATCTCGATCTGCATTAACATAATATCGTCTCCATACGTGCGAAGTTGTGCAAGGCGCAGCACGCTATAACGAGCTTGACCTGTGTGTTGCAATGAGTTATGAGTACGGAGGAGCTGTCGTCAATGCTGCAAATGTTCGGTCAATGGCAGTTCTAAGGGCGGAGTGCCTCAGATTAAAGTATTCTCGAGTATGAAGCCCGGCATGTTGGTATACTTTCCTGTCTCAATCACCAGATTTTGAGCGCAAGAATTTCAGGTAGAGCTATAGGTTCATAGGCCCAAATATTTACTTACTTAACAAGCAAATAAGCAATCCAATCTTCTCACGGAACCGGGTTTGATCAGAACTTCAGCAGTCTTTAGTAGTAGGCTTCATCCACTTTTATCAGATTAAACAGGTAGTGCATTTTGAAGAATATAGAAAACCAGCCAAGCTCTATCACTTCTCATGGAGAATATTACAATTTAGATTTACACACCATCGGTTTATTGTCTCAGCTCACTTCTGTCATTAGACTTCAATAACCATCATCCATATCCACAGAAACTCCACATAACAATGAGAATATCCAAATCAGCTTAGCACCCGTAAGACAGTTTACGAAGCAGATGGCAACGCTGTTTATTGTTCATGACTCCATCAAACGATCCATGATCAGTTTGACAGCAGCGGGAGCATCAACAGTCACTGCTACCTTTACCGTGGGTTTGTCAGACCACTCGGTAACCTCTTCAAACCTATAAAAAAAATATAGGCAACATGGTTCAACAAAATCCATAAGATTCGTAGAACCTAGAGGTAGTAGCTTCAGGATGTCAAGGGACCAACTAGAAACTATGAATGACTCTCTTGAGTAATCACCACAACTCACCTCTTTTGTTTATTGTAGAGTATCGTGAGTCCCCTTGTAATGCCGACGGTTTGGACTCTAACGACACCTTCTGTGTAAGTCATAAGTGAAGGATTTACAGCTGCAAGAACGGTCGTCGGATCATGAAGATAGACCCCTACATCAAAATTTGCAACACAAAAAGGAACCACTCACTTACAAAAGACTTGAAACAACGTGTCCAGTGCAAGTGAAATTGAAAGAGATAGGTAAACAAACAAACCTCTAGTGCTATATGCATCATGATGATAAGAATAGTAGATGCCCATAATTTTGCACAAATACTGAGCAAATTTTCCATTTGAATTTGCTAGTTTCTCTCGATCAGCATCTATAAACAACCAAGCAGCAGAAAAAAGTTCAAAAGAACAAACCTTTATTGCAGTGTTCACTAGTAAGAAACAAGCAAGTTACAACTATTCACTGTGTATGTTGGTCTAATTTTTCCTCAACGTATGGCAAACAGACGCAGTAGGTAGGTAGATACCTGTCAAAACAACTTGGTGTGTCACATTTATGCCAACAGCCACGACATCAGCCCCGCTAGTGAAAACAATATCAGCAGCCTCAGGGTCACCAAAGACCTGCTCAACAGATTTGAACTTAGATATAAAAGGTCCCTTCATAGTAAGAGCCTTCAAGTATGTAATCTCCCAACTCAAAGAATCCATCTAAGCTGCTTAGCCAGAGTGAACAGGACAGCAGCCTATGCAACTAAAAGCATTGAAAAGAAGAACAAGAACATTGACAACAGAAGAAGACACGCTGCCATTAACGGACAAAAGAGAGCATTGCAAACAGATAGCAAGAACCTTAGAAAAATCTTCCATTACCAGGACCCTAAAACCTCCACTGACTAGACAATTTAATCATTTGGTAAACTTTTGTTCCCATTCAAGAAAGATCATTGCAGTCAAAGAATAATCAATCTCAAAATCCAAAGTAGAGAACTTAACACAAGGAGTATGCTATACAACATACATTTGCCTCTGATGCAGGATTCACATTGCCATTCACACAAAATGCACCACCAAGGAGAACAATCTGCCCAACGTTCTTTGCGAAGGCAGGATCCAACTCAATAGCCTGCAGAAGAGATAGTACATTCAAGAGCAAAAATAAGAAACCAATTCCATAGCATGTAAGAAAAGGAGCATTATAATAGCTGTAATCTAACCAGTGCTAGATTTGTCAGTGGACCCAATGCAACCACAGTGACTTCCCCAGGGTGAAGACTTGCTTGCTCAACAAGGAACTCAGCTGCTGATTGCTTGATAGCCTTTCCACTGGGTGGGGGGAAATTCTGATTCCCTAGTCCATCAGAGCCATGGACGAAATCAGCAATCCGAAGCTTCGTACCTTTCTTTTCTCACACAAGATCAAGAAGCAACAAAACTATGAATCTGGGGGACATTATGATCATCATCACAAAAAAAAGCAGAACACTTGATTGATTGATTAATTAATTATCATAAGAATTGAAAGATGGTAAGGGGTTAGTTAGGGGTGAATCGACTACATACAGTTATCGTAACATGAGATCCCTCCGCCACCGGGATATCAGTCCTTCCAGCAACCTCCAACTAAAATTCACAACAACAACAAAAATTCAGCAGGCGAAGAGAATCCAACTGAGAAATCAGAAGAGCTTCTTCTCACGGGTCTTACCAAATGCAAGGCATTCATGGTTGCGAGAGTGGTGTAGACGTTGCCATAGATGGTCGTTAACCCGATCACCTCCACTTCAGGAGACCGTAGCGCGAGGAATATCGCCATGGCGTCATCTGCAGTCCCCAAACAATCATTCAATCGATTCAAAAAAGTTTCTGGCGACAAGCTAATGAATGAGGAGGAAGAGAAGTGAAATAAAAGAAGCGTGCGTCTTACCGATTCCAGGATCGGTGTCGATGATGATCTTCTTCGGCGTCATTGTTTCACAGATACGGAATTCCGGCGACGGTCCGCTGACTTCGCCGAGCAAAGGTGGGAAGGGATTCGGTTGGATTCAATTCGTATGGGGTTTCTTCTTCTTTGCCTTTTTTGGAATCACGATGGATACTGATGACACTTTACAGAGGATGATTATAAAATTGGAGTATTAGGCGGAGCCACGTGGTCAAGTAACCGGTGGCACCTGGATAATACTGATCTTTTGGTTTCAGTGATAAAAATTCTTATTTGTCACCCTAATTAAGTTAATTTTACTCTAATATTCCTAATTTATTTATTTGTAGTTTAAACATTCAAATTCGGAGCACTTCTACTATGCTATATAGCATTGATGCTTTAATCTACAACTCAAAGTTGTACCATAAAATTAAATGTATAAGTTTAGATTGTATCATAAAACAATTTGTATCATTATGTTATGATACAATCACATAAAAATACAAATTCAAGTTGTACCATAAAAAAATTTGTACAAAAAGTATAGGTACAATCTGAAGTTGTACCATAACGTAAATGTACAATTTTAAGTTGTACCACAAAGACAAAGACCTATAGCACCAATACTATATAACATTGTAAAATTTCTCTCAAACTCGAAACAAACTTATAAATTAAATTCACAGCCACCCATTAAACACTATCTTTCCAATCTAAATTGTCAAAAACCCATTTAGCAGAAGAGAATTAACCCCAATTTAGCATACAAAGCAATAAGAGGATTCAATGCTATAGGATTAGAATCTGTCCATGAAAAGTGATCCTTGCATTGCATGAATCTGCTTACCGAAACCAAAATCAATGCCACCATTATTACAAGCCCGCAACTTCTGCTAACTGTCGCGAGAATGACCCGCGACGTAAATTGGATTGAGAGCCATATGGGTTTTTGGAATTGAGAGAAGATGTCCCTCGTGAAATGAAAAACATGTAAAGCGGAGTGAAGGAGCCAACTGTTTGAGCATTAGTTAGGCAGAGTGATGGATTAAAGAACACATAATGCACAAGTTTCAACCGGTGTTTGAAAGAGGGCTTTGTTGAGGGAATCGGATTCAGAGGTGAATGAAAAAAATACAATCACAACGCCCATTTCTTTATAGAACTCAGAGAGAAAGAGAGATGGCAATTTTCAGTTTTCACATTTAATCTCCCATCTTTCTTTTCAAATGAGTGGAAATGAGATGACAATTTTGAAAATTTTAATTTTATTAATTTTAAATTATCACGTCACACATTTAACGGTCAACTTTTAGAGTTGACCACCACATCAGCAAAAGTTTAACGAAATTGGACGGAGAGTGACCAAACGTGAATGGTTTCAGTAAATTGAAGTACCACCAATTAATTTAAATATTTCGAGTGACCAAACTTGAACGTTTTTTGTAATCTCAGTGACCAACCATGCAATTAACCCAACAAAAATTAATTAAGAGAGAAAATCAAACCTTGCATGTGACACTAAATTGAAGTACCACCAATGAATTTAAATATTTCGAGTGACCAAACTTGAATCTCAGTGACCAACAAAAAAAAAAAAATTAATTAAAAGAAAAAATCAAACCTTTCATGTGATTATTTGGTAATCAATTCAAGGATATGGTTCCATCCAATTATAAAATGAGGTTGTTCACTTGTTCTTGTTAGTCTTGGTGTAATTGTATTGACTTTGTGATTGGTTAGTTTTATTGATCCATTTTTATACGTTTTGTTTCATTTTATAGAATGTATACAAGGTTATCAGCTCGAAAATAATAATCAAGATTTAAAGATTAGTATTTTTAATCGCATTTGGATGTGTTCTATGGTGACATTTTTTAAGTAAACACTCTGGATTTATGTTATCATTATGATTGGATGAACCAAAAAAAAAAAAAATGTCTATGAATCTACACTTGACCTGAAAGTCCCATTCCTGGGACCTGTAGTGACACGAGACCAAGAAACAATAGCGAGTCCAATAAATGCTTCAACGACTGTATCTTATTGAAGAAAAACAGTGATATTGCTCCTCAATTGATAAAAAATTTTGATTACGAAATAATGGTGAGCCACACAAATCTAATACAATTTTACATACATTATTATTATAGTAAAAAAAATGAACCACAAATTAGAAATTACTCAATTTGAGAGATCTAAACAACAAAATATAAAATAGTTAGAAAAAATTAATATCAAACTATTGGACAAATTACTTAATTTAACAAATTAAATCCGATCCTCATAAGTCATAACCAATATATTTTAATCAAAACCCAAAGTAATAATATATAATATATATGGGGAGGGAGGGAGGGAACAACAAGCGAAGACGACGGAGGATCCAATTACTATTCAAATCAATCAATGGCCTCTTTTCTTCCATTCTCATCCTCCTCGCTTTCACTTGTCTAATCTATACCTTTCCTTTTTGCCCAAATCCAAAAATTAACCCGTAGAAGTCAAATTCTCTTCCTTTTTTACCAAATCTATCTACACTTTGTCTCCTCCCCAACCTTCGCATTAGATTCTTACCTTTCCCACCCTCCCTGTTATCTCTTTTTCGCGTCAAGCTTGTTTCCCTCCAGTTTATTTCCTGCCTTACGCGCGCGGATCCTCTGCCGAATCAAGAGTCTCAGTTTTTGCAGGTAATGTGTATGAATCTCTTATGAGCTTTTCTATTGTGTCTGTATTTGGCAGATAATTTAAAGGTATCAACTTTCTCTTGTAATCTGGGCTTACGAAGTTTCTTCCTTCGTACGCTTTTTATCGACCTAGATGGGGAATGAGGTGCAGAGGGAATTGGCTTGCTCTTATTTTGTTGGGTTCATTTCCGTTCATCAATATTGGGGCATTGGTTATAGGTCATGAATTTTTGTTCTTTCTGGCTGTGTTTGATACCAGCTGAACTTTAGGGTGGAAATAGGGTTGATTGACTTCTTCTATACATGGCGATCTTCTGTTTTTATTCTTGTTTGTTTTGCTCAAATGTAATTGATGCTGCATCCTGTTTGGTTTCTTTGGCGATTGGACCATGCCTAGAATGACTGCTCCGAATGGGATTTCTTTCCAAATGGTAAATATGCTTTTGGAGAGTCGGGGAGAGATTAGTATTTGTGATCAAGTATGCATTTGCAATGCTGAATTTGTTAGGAATGTAATGAGTCTCTTTGTTCTTTGTAGTGTATCAACCTGTGAACCCAAGGGCGATAAATTTTGTGAGCACTCATTAAGACAGTGCTCATTCATGGATCGGGCAATAAATCATTGCTCATAATTCAAGGATATGGACCAGAGGTTACCTGTTGCAGGAACTCGATCAGGAGTCGAAGTAAGTTGCTGCTCAGAAATCTGTTTCCCCAGAAGTTCCTGGGAAATGTAGTATCTAGGATAGATTTGTATTATGCATGTTCGCCTCTGGTTCTGATTATTGTAATAATTCTTCACATTTTAATCGTGACAGATGGGAACACTAATTAGAAATGGCTCTGCTCATTTTGAGGATAAGAACGTTTATGCTTCAAACGTGATGCCTCAAAAGATTCGCCCCACAGCTGAGGGGTTGTCATCTAGGAGCAGTATGACGTGGCAGAGTAGTGTATATAGGAGCATAAAGATTGTAATTTTCTCAACCAAACTGAACTTGCTAATGCCTTTTGGGCCACTTGCAATCCTAGTGCACGCATTCAGCGGCCATAACGTGAGTCCGTAGTTTTGTACTTTGATGCCTTGTTGTATTGTCTGATGTGCTAATTATGTAGATTTTGACTGCAGGGATGGGTCTTCTTTCTGTGTTTGTTAGGCATTACACCTTTGGCTGAGCGCTTAGGCTATGCGACAGAGTAAGATTTCCTAATTACTTCCTTTCCAATGGTTAAGATGATGATGAATTAATTAACATGCTGGTGCCTAATAGTTTGCTTGATGGTTTCACATAGGCAGCTGGCTTTCTACACCGGACCTACAAGTATGTAGTGATGTCTTCATTTTTACTCTTAAAAATACCATTCTCAATGATCTTAATGAATTGACCGACCCTCTCAATGCAGTTGGTGGCCTTCTAAATGCCACGTTTGGAAATGCAACCGAACTCATCATTGGCATATATGCCTTGAGAAATGGAATGACTAGGGTTGTGCAGCTTTCTTTGTTGGGTTCGATTTTGTCCAACATGTTATTAGTGCTTGGATGTGCATTCTTTGCTGGCGGACTTGTTTTCTATAGAAAGGAACAAGTGTTTGACAAGGTATATGCCCAACCCTTTCCCTGTTTGCTCTGGTTTGGATTTTATGGCAATTTTCTTCCTTAACATTTTGTTCCTTGGCAGGCAAGTGCTACAGTGAATTCAGGATTGCTATTGATGGCAGTGATGGGTCTTCTTTTTCCAGCTGTCCTACATTTTACACATACAGAAGTGCATTATGGAAAATCAGAGCTTGCTCTTTCAAGATTCAGCAGTTGCATTATGCTTGTAGTCTATGCTGCCTATCTCTTTTTCCAGTTGAATACTCGGAAGGATTCCTACGTTCCTCTTACCGAGGTTGGTTACTGTTCAAAACTCAAAGCCTTTTACTATATATATATATTGGATTTAGCATGTGACAGAATGTTTGCTTCAACTCAGGAAGCTAGTCGTCAGGGCGTGGATCCGCCTGAAGATGACGATGAAGTCCCGGAGATCACTAAACTTGAAACGATAGTTTGGCTTTCGATAATGACTGCTTGGATTTCCATCTTATCAGAATATTTAGTTGATGCAATAGAGGTACAAGAACTTGAACCCTTTTGGTACCTTTTGCTATACTGATTGCACCAAACGTGTGAGTAGTTTTATGTGATATTCAGTTATCAACTTATCTTAGTGATATGTGGCAGATGAATTAAATACTGCTTATACAATATACTGTTTCGACATAATTGAACAATATATCTGTTGTGATAATTGTTTCATAGGGAGCATCGCTTGCATGGAATATCCCTATTGCCTTTATTGGAGTAATCTTGCTCCCAATTGTCGGGAATGCAGCGGAGCACGCTAGTGCTATTATGTTTGCCATGAAAGATAAGCTCGTACGAGATCTACATCCCTACCTTTCCATCAATTTATAACCAATTTGAATTTGCTACTGAAAAAATGTTAATTCGTTGCCCACAAAACGTTACCTATATCATCCTTATAAAAAAATATTATTCATTGCAGGATATATCCTTGGGTGTGGCAATCGGTTCGTCCACTCAGATATCTATGTTTGGGGTTGGTACTTCTATATTTCTATGAAATGCTTGCATAAGGATAAATAATGTTGTTTGTTATAGATGTGATGTGGATATAAGTAACCTCTTTTCGGGTTTAATCCACAGATTCCATTTTGTGTGGTTGTTGGATGGATCATGGGAGAACCCATGGACTTAAACTTCCAACTTTTCGAGACAGCAACTCTTTTCATCACTGTTATCGTTGTGGCCTTCTTCCTCCAGGTTCTTCGTCTTACTCCACTCTCTGTCAAATCATGTAGAATTTATACTTCGTCGATATTGGGGTGAACGTTTCATGGTACTTGATGCAGGAAGGGACTTCTAACTACTTCAAAGGACTGATGTTGATTCTTTGCTACATGATTGTTGCTGCAAGTTTCTTTGTGCACGAAGATCCTTCTTCCGAGAGTCAGTCCTTGTCTCTATAGTCTTGTTGATCTCTCCTTACGTAACCTTGTATTAGGCTTGATTTGTTCCTGGTTCATCATGCCATTTTTACAGAAGGAGGGCCAAAGACATAAGTTACTGTTGGTGCATGACCAAGAAAGCTCACCAATCAGGCCTTGCTCGTGATGGTGTGTACATAATTAAAGCCCTTTCACTTGGGAACATGATATATATTTTTCCAGGTCTCGTCCAAAGCTTCCGTCTTAGTTGTTTTCCTGTTAAACACGGTACTTGTTCTAGCTGATGTCTTGGTAGGCGGGTTATGGAGAGGAGTTTTAAGGATGACATATCATTAATGTTCATACTCCAACAAAAATGGGAACTCTAACTGGCTTCTGTAATGTCTGCTTGGTGAAGATACTATGGTTATAGCTCATCTATCTTGGTGTGGTTTGTTTGGGTTGTGGTACAGTCTGGATTCAACCCTCACCCGACCCGGAAACTCAAATTTTGTATTGATGTTTCCCTATATGTAGAAACTGCACGTTTCGTTTGAACATTTGTTAGTACTGTTTCTTGGTTTTGGTTTGGAGGGAAAGCAATTGTTCTGTTCTTGGCCTCCTTTTCTTTTTACCAGTTGTCTTGTTCCAAAACCAGTGCTCAACTGTATTGATTCTTTTTTTTTAATTGGTTAATTAATTGTACCTCCGTCATGAAGAAAATTATCTAAGAGAGTGATATTGATTGTATGGAGATTAAGAAAGATTATAATCGGGTTGGAATGCCACTCATCAAGTTCAACGTCCACCAGGCTGCAACACGCTAGATGATGGAGAAGCGTGATAAAATTGTTAATTAGATATGTATTATGTAACAACGATCAAATTTATTAGTTTCTTGTAAAGAACATTATTAATGTAAAGTATTATTATGTTTGTGGAACTGCTTATATTGAGAGCATATTCCTCTTTTCTGGTTTTTAGTTCTTGGAGAAGTAACTAAACTCAAAATTTTTTTTATTGTCAACTTTCGTGATTTTTCAGAATTAACAACTAAATATAATAAAATTTTGTTTTTTATTTTTGTCAAAAATGATACTATGTTATCACATCCCCACTGCAAGCACAACAACAAAATGATACTAAATGGGTTCATAAAGTGACTTGTATATCGATTTAATAAACGAAAATCTACCACACTTCATTTTCAAATAGTTAAACAATGTCGAGCGTCACTATGGATCAATGTTGAGTTTGTTCCTCGTCGACTTAATACACTTGTTGATTGGGTTGCTTGTCAGATTAAGATAAATTCATTACCAATGAACGGATTCGCATTGATCAATATTATAGCTCCATTGTTGTAACTGAATCTGGTTTCCTTGTTTGGGTGGAATAAAAGGAGTTCTTATTGGGGGAAAAAAGTTAATCGATAATCAAAAGAGGTTTATACGAGTATCTTGTGTGAATTGACCCCAACAATGGTGAAATGGCCCATGAGGTTTGTTTGTTGAGAAAGGGAAAGGGACATTTGGAGCAATACATCAATATCATTCATAACAATTAAGAATAACATGTCACTTCCAGATACTAATCAACCCATTACATCAATCACAGATAAGAATAGAATATTCATCATTACTATTCATAAAGAAGAAAAGGATCCTAGTAAAAAAATATAGGGTATATACATAATTAGATTAAATGGCGGAGACAGAAATTGAAACACTCTTGTCCTCATTTCATAATACAAATATATAAATAATAAATATTTAATAAATATAATTAAAACTAATAATGTCGAAATGATTCATTCACAGATAAAGAATAACCAACTAATATAATTATTGTTTGCATAGACAACCACGACAAGTGTTCATGTATTGAAAGAAACGCAAAATATATTTGTTGTCTACAATCTTAAGTAAATATCTTTTAATGTACACAATTCAACTTTGAAACTTGTTCTTATTATAACTCAAGCTAGAAATGTTTGTTCTACACTTATAGTTGCAACTGGTAGAAACAAAACTAGATTTATAACCAAATAACTAACGGATATTACTGATGCGCTTTTGTCTCTACCATTACTCAAGATAATTCATCATAAACAAGTTGTTGTCCAATAATAATATCATGAATGTAACCCATCAATTAGTTAATTTTATCATTTAACAAACAAATAATGAGTTGTGATGTAGTGACACATTCCTTATTTTTATTTATAGGTGTGATTTTTTTCCTCCTCATAAGTACCCCTGTCCTGGGAAGGGGCAAAGTGGGCTCGCTCCGCCCATGACTAGATAGACTTTTGTTTATTTATCAACGGCCACCTATCGGCAGTGAGCAACCTGCCTGCAACTGGTCAGCAAGTGGGGTGCAAATGCAATAGAATTTTCAATGTTATAAACGCGCTGCTACGGATCAGGAAATCGCCGGAATCGATAAAGTAAGAATACGAAAGCGAGAATCGAAGAATACAGACACACGATTTACGTGGTTCACTAACACGATGTGTGTTAGCTAGTCCACGGGCGAAAGAGAGCCAGTTTCACTATATCGAGGAGATTACAGATTACAGAGGAGTATGAGAAGTATTTATAGTATTTCTCCATGTGGGTCTAAACCTAATCCAATATGACAAAGGAAACAGTTATAGACCAGGCCTAGAACCCGAACCCAAATAACATTGAGCCCATACACCGCGAGACCCCCGACTACCGGTCGTAGCGGCTGATAGTCCTATTCAAGTCACATCAACATTCAACAATATATTGTAAGAGTTGATTAGAATCACCTCAGCACTGCAGCAGTGTAGAGGAAGCATATGATCCAGGCAGAGGACTTGAGCAATAAAATAAAGTACCCATATGTCATTTATTTTTATTTTTATTTTTAAGGCTACGAATCCCGGATTCAGCCCGGGACTATTGTTTAAATGTGATGAAGTCTATTGATCCTACTCTCCAATGATGATTAAGTCCATTAAGCGCCGATTTGGAAGAGTTTATTTATTTATTTCGTTCGACAATTCATCGAAGGCATATTTATTTACGGATGAACATTTTCTTAAATTTTTGGAAGATTTTTCTCAAATTCCGTTCTCTTTGGATTTTGAAAGCTACATATTACGAATTCGTTCTGAGGCTATTCTTCACCGATGATTAAGTCCACTAAGGACTGATTTGGGCGGATTTCTTACAGGTCAATTTTTGGCAGATTCCAAAGGGGTACTATCACAGATTTCGGGCAATTTTTCCGAAATGACATTTTCTTTCGCTTTTGAAGGCTACAGATCACGAATTCGGCTCGAGGATATTCTCCACTGATGATGAACTCTATTAATCCTTTTCTCCACCGATGATAAAGTCCATTAATCACCAATTTGGGCGGATATATTTTCGGATGACATTTTCGTAAACTTTTTATCGTTTCTTTTTTGAAAGGCCATTGTTCACCCACGATTAAGTCCATTGTAACACCCCGATGTTTTGATCTAGGTTCAACCATAACAAATGAGTAGTGGGTTTGACGGTTACGTACGAAGGGTTACAACTGGAGACTAGGAATAATAATAATAATAATAAATTATTATTATTATAAAAAATATATATGTAGAGGGAACTCGACCAAAAGGGCCGAGCGGCCCAAATTTTCCTAAAGCCCTCCTTCAACGATGATTAAGTACATTAAGCACCAATTTGGGCGGATTTATTCCGGGTCAATATTAGGCAGATTTCAAAGGAGTACCATCACAGATTTCGGGCGATTTTACCGAAATGCCATTTTCTTTCGATTCTGGAGGCTACAGATCACGGAATCGGGCCGAGGATATTCACAATAGATAATGAAGTCTGTTAATCCTATTCTCCATGGATGATAAGTGGATTAAGCACCGGTTTAGGCCAATTTATTTTCGGATGACATTTTCGTAATTTTTTGGGCGACGAACGACCATTTTCTTTGGATTTTGAAGGCTACAGGCCACAGATTCAGCATGAGGCTATTTTTCAACGATGATTAAGTCCATTAAGCACCGATTTAGGCGGATTTATTTCGTGACAATTTTTGGCAGATTTCAAAGGAGGTACCCATCACAAATTTCGGACGATTTTTTCAAATTGCCATTTTCTTTCGATTCTGGAGGCTACATATCAAGAAATCAGGCCGAGACTATTCTCCACCGATAATGAAGTCTATTGATCCTATTCTCCATGGATGATAAGTAGGGCTGGTAACCGGTTCGGTAACGGTTAATCGGTTACCGACTGAACCGGTTATGGTATACCGACAACATCAAAATGGGGATCGACTACCGGTACCGAATTCTAACTGGTTAACCGGATAACCGGATAGCCGGTTACCGGTTACCATCGGTTAATACCAAGAAACCGAGAGGCACTGCTGAGTGCGGAGAATCTTCACTTCGTCTTCTCTTCTCCCTCAAAGCCGACCACCACCATATGCTTCTTCACCTTCTTCTTCCCCTCTTCATCAACAGCCAACAGTATCTCATATCATCCTCCCTCCTATCCACCGCCAAAGCCCATCTCCCCACTTCTTCACCTTCTTCCTTCAACCCACCCCCTGCATCTGCATGCCTCAATTCGTTCCGCCGCCACTCAGATCTGACTATCAGAGAGACGACCAGAGAGAGTCGCTGCCGTCGGCGGATTGTCAAAACCCCACCGCCGATTCAGATTTCAGAGAATGATGTGGTTTCTGGCGGCTCGACGAGAACATGCCGGCGACGAATCGATCTTCCTCTTCCCTAGTCGCCGGTGTTGAATCGATCTTCCTCTTCTCCCGGATCGAGGCAAATCGACTCCCAGCTGTCGTTGCTTGATCAGCTACTGTCTCGCCCTCTGCATCGCGGCGGAGCAATTGCAAACCACCAAATCCGGATTCTGGTGAGAAAGTCGGCTGAAGAGGAAGATGACTCGACATTATCTGGATTCTGGTGAGAAAGTCGCGACGGCGACGTTGGGAGGAACTGGTCGATGACGAGTGAGATAGCTAGCGGCGGCGATGGTAGGTCCGACTTCTGCTATGTGCCCAAATCTCTTTCCCGGCGACGACGATTTTATCTTTGCCTAGATAGCGGCAACGATGGTAGGAGACGAACCTCTGCCATTTCCTTTCCCGGCGAGTTCATCTTTGCTCAGATCCATTCGCCCCGCATCGTCGTAGGTCCGACTTCTTCTATGTGCTTGAAGGGGGTTTGAATTTGATGGTTGATTTACAGTTTACTCATCACGAATTGATTGGGGATTTGGGTTGCTCTCTGGATTTTGCAGATTTGGAGAGGCAGAGTAATGGCTTGCGGGAGATGAATGTGGACTTGCGGGAGAGAGGCGACGTCCAGAAACCTTTCTTCTCTAGATCGATGAAGGCGATAAGGTCGGAGAGAAGAGAATGGCTCGCATGCAGGGGTAGGGAATCGGTATATTCGGTATACCGATTTGCCGCCGGTTATTTACCGGATGGGAGTCGGTACACCGATAGGTGGGTTTTGACTGCCGCATACCGATACCGTCGGTTAACGGTATAACCGGTAAACCGATTACCACCCCTAATGATAAGTGCATTAAGCACCAGTTTGGGCCAATTTATTTTCGGATGACATTTTCGAAATTTTTTGGGGGACAAAAGACCATTTTCTTTGGATTTTGAAGGCTACATGTCACGGATTCAGCCTGAAGCTATTTTTCAAAGATGATGAAGTCCATTCAGCACCAATTTGGGCAGATTTATTCCGGGTCAATTTTTGACAGATTCCAAAGGGCTACCATCACAAATTTCAGGCAATTTTTTCGAAATGCCATTTTCTTTCAATTCTGGAGGCTACAGATCACGAAATCAGGCCGAGGCTATTCTCCATCGATAATGAAGTCTATTGATCATATTCTCCACAGATGATAAGTGCATTAAGCATTATTGTGGGCCAATTTATTTTCGGATGACATTTTCGTGATTTTTTGGTCGACGAAATACCATTTTATTTGGATTTTGAGGGCTATAGGTAACGAATTCAGCCTAAGGCTATTCTTCAACGATGATTAAGTCCATTAAGCACTGAGTTGGGCGGATTTATTCCGGGTCAATTTTTGGAAGATTCAAAAGGGGTACAATTACAGATTTCGGGTGATTTTTCCTAAATGTCATTTTCTTTCGATGCTGGAGGCTACAGATCACAGAATCAGGTGAGGCTATTCTCCACCGATAGTTAAATCCATTGATCTTATTATCCACGGATGTTAAGTGCATTAAGCACTGGTTTAGGCCAATTTATTTTCGGATGACATTTTCGTAATTTTTTGGGTGACGAAAGACCATTTTCTTTGGATTTTGAAGACTACATGTCACGGATTCGGCCTGAGGCTAAATTTCAACGATGATTAAGTCCATTAAGCACCAATTTGGTCGGATTTATTCCGGGTCAATTTTTGGCAGATTTCAAAGGGGTGCCATTATAGATTTCAGACGATTTTTTCGAAATGCCATTTTCTTTCTATTTTGGAGGCTACCGATCACGGAATCAGGCCGAGGCAACTCTCAATCAATAATGAAGACTATTAATGCTATTCTCCACGGATGATAAATGCATTAAGCACCGGTTTGGGCCAATTTATGTTTTGATAGCATTTTCGTAATTTTTTGGGCGATGAAAGGCCATTTTCTTTGGATTTTGAAGGCTACAGGTCACGGATTTTTACGATAAACCATTTTCTGTCGATTTTGGAGGCTATAGATCACGGAATCAGGCCGAGGCTATTCTCCACCGATAATGAAGTCTATTGATCCTATTCTCCACGGATGATAAGTGCATTAAGCACCGCCAACTAATTTTTCGGATGGAATTTTCATAATTGTTTGGGCGACGAAAGGCTATTTTCTTTGGATTTTGAAGGCTACATGTCATGGATTCGGCCTGAGGCTAAATTTCAACGATGACTAAGTCCATTAAGCACTGATTTGGACGGATTTATTGCAGACAAATTTTTGGAAGACTCCAAAGGGGCACCATCACAGATTTCGGGCGATATTTCCTAAATGCCATTTTATTTCGATTCTAGAGGCTATATATCACGAAATCAGGCATAGGATATTCTCCACCAAAAATGAAGTCCATTGATCTTATTCTCCACGGATGATAAGTTCATTAGGCATCGGTTTGAGCCAATTTTTATTCGAATGACATTTTCGTAATTTTTTGGGTGACGAAAGGCCATTTTCTTTGGATTTTGAAGGCTACATGTCACGGATTCGGCCTGAGGCTAAATTTCAATGATGATTAAGTCCATTAATCATTGATTTAGGAGGATTTATTCCGGATCAATTATTAACAGATTCTAAAGGGGTAACATCACAAATTTCAGGCGATTTTTCCGAAATGCATTTTCTTTCGATTCTAGAGACTACAGATCAAGAAATTAGGCTACTCTCCACCGATAATAAAGTCTATTGATCCTAAGGACCGATTTGGGCGGATTTCTTCCGGGTCCATTTTTGGCTGATTGCAAAGGGGTACCATCACAGATTTCGTGCGATTTTTCCGAAATGCCATTTTCTCTCTATTTTGGAGGCTACAGATCACGGATTCAGCCCGAGGATATTCACCACATATAATGAAGTTTATTGATCCAATTCTCCAAGGATGATGAAGCCCATTAAGCACCGATTTGGGCGAATTTATTTTCGGATGGCATTAACGTAATATCTTGGGGGATTTTTTTCGAAAGGCCCTTTTCCATTGGTTTTTTTCGGATACTGATCACGGATTCGGCCTAAGGCTATTCTTCAACGACGATTAAGTCCATTAAGGACCGATTTGGGCGGATTTCTTCCGGGTCCATTTTTGGCAGATTGCAAAGGGGTACCATCACAGATTTCGGGCTATTTTTCCGAAATGCCATTTTCTCTCTATTTTGGAGGCTACAGATCACGAATTCAGCCCGAGGATATTATCCACATATAATGAAGTCTATTGATCCAATTCTCCAAGGATGATGAAGCCCATTAAGCACCGATTTGGGCGAATTTATTTTCGGATGGCATTATCGTAATATCTTGCGGGATTTTTTCCGAAAGACCCTTTTCCATTGGTTTTTGAAGGCTACTGATCACGGATTCGGCCTGAGGCTATTCTTCAACGTCGATTAAGTCCATTAAGGACCGATTTGGGCGGATTTCTACCGGGTCCATTTTTGGCCTATTGCAAAGGGGTACCATCACAGATTTCGGGCGATTTTTCCGAAATGCCATTTTCTCTCTATTTTGGAGGCTACAGATCACGGATTCAGCCCGAGGCTATTCTCCACATATAATGAAGTCTATTGATCCAATTCTCCAAGGATGATGAAGCCCATTAAGCACCGATTTGAGCGAATTTATTTTCGGATGGCATTATCGTAATATCTTGGGGTTTTTTTTTCGAAAGGCCCTTTTCCATTGGTTTTTGAAGGCTACTGATCACGGATTCGGCCTGAGGCTATTCTTCAACGTCGATTAAGTCCATTAAGGAACGATTTGGGCGGATTTCTTCCGGGTCCATTTTTGGCAGATTGCAAAGGGGTACCATCACAGATTTCGGGCTATTTTTCCGAAATGCCATTTTCTCTCTATTTTGCAGGCTACAGATCACGAATTCAGCCCGAGGATATTATCCACATATAATGAAGTCTATTGATCCAATTCTCCAAGGATGATGAAGCCCATTAAGCACCGATTTGGGCGAATTTATTTTCGGATGGCATTATCGTAATATCTTGCGGGATTTTTTCCGAAAGGCCCTTTTCCATTGGTTTTTGAAGGCTACTGATCACGGATTCGGCCTGAGGCTATTCTTCAACGTCGATTAAGTCCATTAAGGACCGATTTGGGCGGATTTCTACCGGGTCCATTTTTGGCCTATTGCAAAGGGGTACCATCACAGATTTCGGGCGATTTTTCCGAAATGCCATTTTCTCTCTATTTTGGAGGCTACAGATCACGGATTCAGCCCGAGGCTATTCTCCACATATAATGAAGTCTATTGATCCAATTCTCCAAGGATGATGAAGCCCATTAAGCACCGATTTGAGCGAATTTATTTTCGGATGGCATTATCGTAATATCTTGGGGTTTTTTTTCCGAAAGGCCCTTTTCCATTGGCTTTTGAAGGCTACTGATCACGGATTCGGCCTGAGGCTATTCTTCAACGTCGATTAAGTTCATTAAGGAACGATTTGGGCGGATTTCTTCCGGGTCCATTTTTGGCAGATTGCAAAGGGGTACCATCACAGATTTCGGGCGATTTTTCCGAAATGCCATTTTCTATCTATTTTGGAGGCTACAGATCACAGATTCAGCCCGAGGCTATTCTCCACATATAATGAAGTCTATTGATCCAATTCTCCAAGGATGATGAAGCCCATTAAGCACCGATTTGGGCGAATTTATTTTCGGATGGCATTATCGTAATATCTTGGGGGATTTTTTTCGAAAGGCCCTTTTCCATGGTTTTTGAAGGCTACTACTCACGGATTCGGCCTGAGGCTATTCTTCAACGTCGATTAAGTCCATTAAGGACCGATTTCGGCGGATTTCTTCCGGGTCCATTTTTGGCAGATTGCAAAGGGGTACCATCACAGATTTCGGGCGATTTTTCCGAAATGCCATTTTCTCTCTATTTTGGTGGCTACAGATCACGGATTCAGCCCGAGGCTATTCTCCACATATAATGAAGTCTATTGATCCAATTCTCCAAGGATGATGAAGCCCATTAAGCACCGATTTGGGCGAATTTATTTTCGGATGGCATTATCATAATATCTTGTGGGATTTTTTTTCGAAAGGCCCTTTTCCATTGGTTTTTGAAGGCTACTGATCATGGATTCGGCCTGAGGCTATTCTTCAACGTCGATTAAGTCCATTAAGGACCGATTTGGGCGGATTTCTTCCGGGTCCATTTTTGGCGGATTGCAAAGGGGTACCATCACAGATTTCGGGCGATTTTTCCGAAATCCCATTTTCTCTCTATTTTGGAGGCTACAGATCACGTATTCAGCCTGAGGCTATTCTCCACATATAATGAAGTCTATTGATCCAATTCTCCAAGGATGATGAAGCCCATTAAGTACCGATTTGGGCGAATTTATTTTCGGATGGCATTATCGTAATATCTTGGGGGATTTTTTTCGAAAGGCCCTTTTCCATTGGTTTTTGAAGGCTACTGATCACGGTTTCGGCCTGAGGCTATTCTTCAACGTCGATTAAGTCCATTAAGGACCAATTTGGGCGGATTTCTTCCGGGTCCATTTTTGGCAGATTGCAAAGGGGTACCATCAGAGTTTTCGGGCGATTTTTCCGAAATGCCATTTTCTCTCTATTATGGAGGCTACAGATCACGGATTCAGCCCGAGGCTATTCTCCACATATAATGAAGTCTATTGATCCAATTCTCCAAGGATGATGAAGCCCATTAAGCACCGATTTGGGCGAATTTATTTTCGGATGGCATTATAGTAATATCTTGGGGGATTTTTTTCGAAAGGCCCTTTTCCATTGGTTTTTGAAGGCTACTGATCACGGATTCGGCCTGAGGCTATTCTTCAACGTCGATTAAGTCCATTAAGGACCGATTTGGGCGGATTTCTTCCGGGTCCATTTTTGGCAGATTACAAAGGGGTACCATCACAGATTTCGGGGGATTTTTCCGAAATGCCATTTTCTCTCTATTTTGGAGGCTACAGATCACGGATTCAGCCTGAGGCTATTCTCCACATATAATGAAGTCTATTGATCCAATTCTCCAAGGATGATGAAGCCCATTAAGTACCGATTTGGGCGAATTAATTTTCGGATGGCATTATCGTAATATCTTGGGGGATTTTTTTCGAAAGGCCCTTTTCCATTGGTTTTTGAAGGCTACTGAGCACGGATTCGGCCTGAGGCTATTCTTCAACGTCGATTAAGTCCATTAAGGACCGATTTGGGCGGATTTCTTCCGGGTCCATTTTTGGCAGATTGCAAAGGGGTACCATCACAGATTTCGGACGATTTTTCCGAAATGCCATTTTCTCTCTATTTTGGAGGCTACAGATCACGGATTCAGCCCGAGGCTATTCTCCACATATAATGAAGTCTATTGATCCAACTCTCAAAGGATGATGAAGCCCATTAAGCACCGATTTGGGCGAATTTATTTTCGGATGGCATTATCGTAATATCTTGTGGGATTTTTTTCGAAAGGCCCATTTCCATTGGTTTTTGAAGGCTACTGATCACGAATTCGGCCTGAGGCTATTCTTCAACGTTGATTAAGTCCATTAAGGACCGATTTGGGCGGATTTCTTCCGGGTCCATTTTTGGCAGATTGCAAAGGGGTACCATCACAGATTTCAGACGATTTTTCCGAAATGCCATTTTCTATCTATTTTGGAGGCTACAGATCACGGATTCAGCCCGACGCTATTCTCCACATATAATGAAGTCTGTTGATCCAATTCTCCAAGGATGATGAAGCCCATTAAGCACCGATTTGGGCGAATTTATTTTCGGATGGCATTATCGTAATATCTTGGGGGATTTTTTTCGAAAGGCCCTTTTCCATTGGTTTTTCAAGGGTACTGATTACGGATTCGGTCTGAGGCTATTCTTCAACGTCGATTAAGTCCATTAAGGATTGATTTGGGCGGATTTCTTCCGGGTCCATTTTTTGGCAGATTGCAAAGGGGTACCATCACAGATTTCGGGCGATTTTT